GGCCTACCACGATACCTACACGGTTATATTCGGAACCGGAGATAATACCCTTATAATCTAGTCGATTTACTTAGAGAACTACTAGTTAGCTAGGATCCCCTAGAACACGCCCCTATAAGATATATTTAACACAGCACTGCTACGGGGCTAATATATCCTTATAGGGGACTTTAACCTATACTACCCCTTATAATTATAGCCACCACGGTACTATCCCTAAGCCGATACCCTACTTACCCTTATAACCCAGTAGAACCTTAACCTAGTAACCCCCCCCGGAATAACTATATAGTACCGCCCGGGCCGGCGTGCTAGCACTATCGACCTTATATAGGTAATATAAGGGCTCTGCTACGATTTTAGCGGCCCGGATAAGACCGTTATCGGGTCTAACCACTACTTATAAATAGCCCGAATCCTTATAAAGACGGATACCTCGCCGACTACCGCGACGATACTACCACGGGACCTAGCCGGGCCCCGCTAGGTCTAGAAAGACTTCGACCCCTTATAGGTCCCCTAGCTCGCTACACGGCTATAGTAGACTGGCCCTCTTATATTACTAGAAGATATCGACTTAGCACTAGATAACCTAATAGCAGACCTTATAAATATAGCTAATAAGGCCGCGCCGCGCCGTTATAGAGGCACCCCTAGACGCCTATCCACCCCTTAATAGAACACGGAGCTAACCGCCCTTACCTAGGAAATAAGGCGCCTCTACCGTAGATATATATCTAGGAAGTCCCGGAGCCGATAGGATAAGTTCTAGGAAGCGGAGAGGCGCCGAGATAAGGCCGTGGCGGTAGCGAAGCGGATATATTAGCGGTACTTACTCTACTTAACCGGAAAGGATAATAGCCTCCTTTAGCGGCTATAGAAATAGGTATAAACTAAAGGGGGCGTACTACTAGACCCCCTATCCGTGCTACTACTATACTAAAACGATAGCGACTACCCGGTAACTATACACGTAGAGAAGGCCGAAGTCCTAAACCGGAAGTTCTTCCCTCCCCCCCTCCTTACTACCCCTAGGCCCTTAGGCGCGGAATTCCCCCCGGGGTAGGATATCCGCTAAGATATTACCGTAGCGGACGTATAGGAGCGCCTTAAAAAGATAAAACCCTAGGCGGTACTAGGCTCCGACGGCCTCCTAGTAGGGCTCCTAAAAGTATATAGACCCCCCTTATACTAAAGACTTAGTACTATCTTTATAGCGTGCCTCGAAACGAGCTACTACCCGAAAAGGTGCCGCCACGCTACCGTGGTAGTCCTTAAGAAGGAAGGCCGGCCGCTGGCCGACTATAGGATAGTAAAGGGCTAACGACCGATATTACTCCTTAGTATAATAGGTAAGGTCCTTAAGGGGATACTAGCCGACCGGATCGTAACCGTAGCGGAGGAGGATCGGCTCCTCCCAAAGGGATAAATAGGTAACCGGATAGGGCGAAGTATAGAAACGGTAGTATAAAGAGCCACGGAGGCCGTAAGGGTAAGCTAAGCCTATAGCAGTACCGCTTTAATACTCTAACTAGATATTAAAGGCGCCTTTAATACTATCCCCTATTCTCGCCTCCTCGAGGTACTTAAAAGGAAAGGCTTCCCCCGGTAGCTTATTACCTTAGTTAGTAATTTCCTTAAAGACTATATAGCCTAGCTATTACTTAATAGCGAAACGGCCCCCCCGTGATACCTTTATAGGGGTATACCGTAAGGCTCCCCGATCTCCCCTATCCTTTTTATCCTCTATATCTCCACCCTATACGAAGAACTAGAAAGGGTTCCTAAAACGATAGTAATAGGCTTCGCCGATAACACGAATATTATCGCTTTTAGTAGGATAGAGGTATAAACACGGCGACGCCTCGCTACCGTATAGCGGATATACCTAGATTAGGAGATAGCGAGCGGACTATAGTTCGAACCAGCTAAGTATATTTATATCCCCTTTATAAAGTCACGCTAACCCTTACCTACCCCGCTCCCCCTTAATACCACTTCGGTGCTAGCGGCGGAAGCGATAAGGCTCTTAGGCGTTTAGCTTAATAGGAAGCTTAACTTCCGGCGAAACACTAAAGAGGTAAAGAGCCGCCTAGCCACCTAAATATACGCCCTTTTAAGGCTTAGCGCGGTAGCGTGGGGGTATAGCTTCGTAGATATAAGGAGACTATACCTTATAGTTATACGACTAATAATCGCCTATTACGCCTTAACCGTCTATAAAATAGGGGCTAGCCCCTGGCACGGCCCCGTAGCGGCACTTATAGCGGTATAAAACCGATACTTCCGACTAATAACTAGAGTCTATAAAGCTATACCGGTTTGGGTCCTCGAAAAAAAGACCTTTATCCCCCCCCTTAACCTATACCTCTTAAGCCTAAGTGCCCGAAAGATCCTTTGGATATAAGAAGAAGGGATAGAAGTTAAGATATTAGCCGGAGTATATGCCACGGCGAGAGCCTTAGCGGCACCGAACCGGCACTATAGGACCTATACCGCCCTTGCGTAGACGGTATAGCTTACCGCCCTAATAGCCTAGGCCGGAACCTCGCCCCCGCGGAAGGCCCTTATAAGGGAATAGGGTTAAGCCTAAGCGGAAGTATAATAGCCCTATACCTATACCGTAGCGGTACTAAGCCGCCCCCCGATATAATACTCCCTCCGGAAATATAGAGGGCTCCTTAAACTATAGAGCTCCGCACTTACCTAGATTAGATTAGAAAAACTAGGCCTATAGGTATTCTTAGCTAAAGCGAGGGTACCGGGCTTCCCTTTACTATAGTGCCTTTACGGGGATAAAGGGGCGGAAATAGCGGAGTATATAGTACTCTAGTGCTAGGAGGTAACCACGGAGGACTATAGGGGCCTTTTCGGTGTCGTAGGGAGGCCGCTCACGACTAAAGAAGACTTATACGATATACTAGAACACGATACCGAAGCCGGGGCAGTTATAAGGTAGTTCCTATAACGGAAGAGGCTTAAGGACTTTCGCCTTACCCTTAAAGTTATAAAGGCCTACGAAAATAAAGGCGATACCGAAGCGGGACTAGAGCGGAGGCAGTATAATACGGCGGATCTATTAATTATTAATAGGGGTCCTATAAGCTAAGACCCCAGCGGTATTAGCTTAGCGCTAAGGGGGGCTACTAATAGCCACTAACTATTATCGCTCTAGTTATTATCGTCCTTATTATCCTCGGTAGCGCTAATACTACTCTTGATATATTCTAGGCCCTATTAGGACTGGTTAGCTAACCACCGCTACTATAATACCGCGGGGAGACCGAAAAGGGGCCACTTATAAGGTGCTCCAGAATAAGGTCTATCTTACCCTTTAGACGTCCAATCTAATAAGATAATTCCTATACCTCCGCCGACGCGGGGCCGCCGCGGCTATAACCGGAAGGTAACGCCCGGTTTAGGGCCCGGCTAAAAGACCAGGACGCTGTCCCTAGACGCTCCTTAGCCTATAGCTTATTAGCAGGGGACTACTTCGGCACTAAAGGGGGAGACGTATAGTAGCAATACCGGTATTACCGGCGGCCTTTACTATTATATACGCCCTATAAAGATCTATAAGACGCTGCTACTATTTTTTAGTAGCGGAGGGGACTTAGAGGAAAATTAGTATATACTACTATAATATACCTACGGCACCACGACGATATCGACACGACTTATATCCTTACACGGACGCCGGCTATTAGTATACTAAAAACAGGCTACCCCTATACCCGTAGTATTAGAGCAGGCCTCTATATTATCCGGGTATATACCTAGGCGCTTACTATAACGAATATAACTGCCCTAGGTTAGCCACCGCGGCACCGCCCCGACACCACTAAGGGATATATACGGTATAACCCGAACTAAGCCCTTCTTATACCGGTTACGATTATTATTAGTATTATTATTAGGAGACGATATCTATAACTATTAGCACGCTACTACTAAGGCACCGCTACGCTATTAGGAGAACTTATATTATATTACCACTACCGCTTAATTATTCGTGTATATAAATTAATACTATACTACCTAGTTAACCCTATACCACCACACCACCGCGGCGCTACCTACTAAGGACTTATAGTCTAGTTATAATAGGAAAATAAACAAGGGAAACTAAAGGGTTTTACTATTAGTATAGAGCCGTAACGATAAGCCTATAGTACTATAAGCGGGAATAGATCGGGAGAAAACCTATAATAAACTCGTTAGCGTTATAGGAAGAAGAGAGGGGGAAAAAAGGTATAAAGACCCTAAGGGATATTAACTATCTAATTCTCTAATAGGGTAAAGCCCTATTCCCCCTACCTACCGCCGGATATAGCAGGAATTTACCTAGGGGAGGCAGGAGACGCCTACCTCCTTTACTCTTTTTATTAACCGAGTAGAAGGAATAAAAGGCATAATCCTCGGGGACGTAGGGAGGCTAAGGCTAAAGGGCTATAGCCTCTATACCGTGGAGGCGCGGCGGCACCCCCTTAGCCCCTACTCCGTCGCTAACGATCGGCTTAGGCTAACCTACCTAACCACTAGCCTACTATACTTCCCGTTAGCCACTAGCCTAAAGGTATAATCCAGATATATAGCAGAGACGAACCGGGGCTATATCGGCCCCGCAGCGGCACAACTCCACCTAAGGAAGTATATAGGGGTTTTACCCGGGTTTTCCCCCCTATAGCTACCCGAGAAGGACCGTATAGCCTAGGAAGGCTCCTATAGATTAGTTAGGATAGCGGAGTAAGATCGATAATAATAATAATAATAACATATTATATATAATATAGTGTATAATGTATAATATATAATATATTATCAACACCTGTAGATAAGGGCACCCAGTGGAGTATAACATGCTGCCTGTCTTTCGGTTGCCCCTCGACTGACTTCCCTCGCTCACTTGCTCTAGTAGGACTACCAGTCGCGGCATAGTTGGGCGGTTCTGAAAGAAATTTAATAATGAGCCGTAGCCTCGTTCAACGTATCGTGTGAAAGGAGAAAGAAGGGAAATAAAAAGCAAGAAAAGAAACCGCAAGTAAAACCTGCTCCGCCGACCTCTTTGCTCCTTTTGGTTTCCCCAATCACCCACCAAACAACCTGTTGGACACGCTTTCTTCTACTAAGATGTCAAAACGCCAGGTTTCAGTATTCGTGTAGCGCATAAGACCAGAGCCCCAACCTCCCCAACAGCTCGACGCCGGATCCCAATCTCTGAAAGTAGAAGTATATCGAAAACTTTAAGAAGGACAACTGTTCCGGACAGCAAGATGGTACAACCGCTGGTAGTAAGCGGAGTCGTATCCAGCTTCAAGCGCAGGCAGCGGAGTGATCCGAGTAGAAGCCCAAGAAAGAAAGAAAGAAAAAAAGAAGAAAAAAACAGAAGAGGCCGAAAAGACGTAGAAAAGGGCGGAGTAGAGGGCGATGAAACAGACTTTATGATGGGCCGGTTTAACAGCCATCATCGTCCTCACACTCGCTCATGCTGCCATATCCCGTGTCCGCTTCCATACCAACAAGGGATTTTGTAATGCCTAGGCATCGGTCGACCATCTTATGCCGCACCACCTCGTCCAGCCCGCTCTGTTCGCCCGGCGTGCTGCCTATCCAGATTCGGAGACTACCCGCCAGACTTTCAAGCGTCGTGCCGAAACCCTCAAACGCGCTGGGCTGATTATAGAGCTCGTCCATCAACCTAAAGAGAGCGGTGCATCCGAGGAGAGACATGTCAGCCATCAGCGAAGGCTGAACAATCTCTTCGACCAGCTGGACCATCTCTCGAGGGGATGTGGCTTTCTCGGGGTGTTGCATCTTGGAAATGACCGTAGAGCAGCGGAGGGCGACCTGAAAATCGGGGGCCGTCTTGGTGTGAGAGTACGCGTCGAGGAGCGACCATGCCGCGTCATTGACCCGTTGTTGCGGGCTGCCAGAAGGGGGGCTGACGCTTTCCTCGTCGGAAATTTTGTCCGACCCATTCCTTTCATCTTGTTTGTCGTCGAGGAGAATGGCACGAGCAACGAGAGCACGGCCTTGGGCAGAAGAACCCACGGGGGCGGAGCGGACGGCATCTCGAATGAGCCCTTGAACCGTTTCCTGCGCGGCGGCATCATACTCCTCGGCGACCAGGCGGGCCGACAGTGCACGTTGGACGTTTTGGCAGGACCACCAAGCCGCGACGGCATCCATGGGAGACCGCACGGCAGCATCGTCAACCACAGCGTCCATGCCGTCCGCGATTCCGGCCATGTTCTCGGTAGTCGAGAGGTTCCAGGCCAGGTTATACGCACATTGAATGACGGTATCATTCAAAACCTCACCGCAGTCATGGTCAAGAAGGGCAGCAAGGTGCTCGGGCAAGTCATCTTCACTGGACTCTTGCCGAATTCGATCAAGCTGTCGCTTTGCCTCACTCCACCGAGACCTCGCCAACTTCGCAGCAATAGCATTGTGCAGTCCCGTGGGGCCGAAATCCCAAAGGAGGACGCGGATATGAAGTGCCTTTAGCATCAGTCGGAGTGGCGTGTCGGGCAAGGTTCCCGATGCGAGGAGCGTCAACGCCAGTCGAAGCTTGTTGATCTCCACATCTCCGCCCGCGAGCTGAGCATCCAAGGCGATCGACCACGCCTTCACGCGGGCAACTTCCTGCTCTCCTGTGAGCCCGGTAAGCAGCTGATATCGACCGAGGCCCATCGCGTTCCGCAGACTCAGTTTTATGGTATTGAGTACCAAAGCCGCCGCCTCCAAAAAGAAGTTGTGCTCCGGGACCCAAACTGTCTGGATTGCTGTCAACCATGCCTGCCGTCGGATGTGAATGGGTGACGCCAGAGATGGCACGACCTGAAGAGGGCTATTGGCTTGTTGCAGTCCCTTCTTGCCCCTCTTGTCGGACGGGAAAAAGACGGACGGCATGAAAACGTATAGCACGATGCCGAAGAATAGAAGGAGCTTGAGATGTGAGAGGAGGCGAGTCGCGGAAACGGCATGCCCGGGCACGTGGAAGTGCGAGTTGGAACCGAGATGACGGAGGAGATGAGCAGGGAGCGCAAATAGCCCACGGCCCTCTGGGGTCTCGTTGCTTTGCTCCTCAGTTCGCACGGCTTCGAGGATAAGAAGGCTGGCGAGAGAGCCAACCATGAGCTTTCCGAAATAAGGGCCAACGTTGTTCCAACGCCCATTCTGCTGAGGCTGTTGCTGTTGTTGTTGTTGTTGCTGTTGCTGTTGTTGCTGGATCTGCTGCTGCCGTAGCATGGCTGGATCACCGGCGCGGAAGGACTGGTGTGGCACGGGATAGGGCTGGCCGACAGCCATCTGGGCGGAGAGAATTCGCTTCATGTCGTCGGGGACCTGAATCAGTCCCTGGGCGGCTTCTGGCGGCTGCGAAGTTCCCATGGGAGGCGTGGTCATATAGTGGTCTTGAGGATACTGCATCGGTGTCGGTGCCTGCTGCATGCCGTTGCCCATGTTCCCGGCCATGCCACCTGTCATCGCGCCGGTCATGGCACCCGCCATGAAGAGCTTTTCGAAAGCGGCAATCCGAGCTTGCATCGCGTTGTTCTCATCCATCAACCTATTGTTCCGTTTCTCCAGGTGTCGAATGTACTCCGTGGCCTTGCTCAAAACCTACAGATGTGTTAGCTCAGTACGTCCAAGCCACCAGGGGTCGTGGGGCCAAGAACAAAGAAAAAGAAGAAGAAAAAGAGAAGAAAAGGCGTTTCATTGAATGAGCCTCACGTACCGTGGCCTTGTTGAGCTTATGAGCCGGTGTCAGCCCGTGGAGCTCTTCGCGATCCTCCGTCGTATCTTCGCCGCGCGCGCTCTTGGACATGATCCGCAAGCTGGGCACGCTGTCTCTCAGAGCGGCAATCTTGTCGTTGAGATTTGTCCGGTATCTCTTCTCGATCATGTTGTGAGCCGTCTTCTTGACGGGTTGATTGGAGTGTTCCTCGTCCTCGTCTGATCCATCGGCGGAAGACTTGCGTTTTCGGTTCGTCTTGCTGGATTCCGGCGCGTCAGGAGAGGAACGGGCGGTTGCCGCTGTGCCCTTCGCTTCGCTAGTCTCGGATCCGGGACTCGGTTCGCTCCGAGGAGACTGATACTGGAGGTGGGCCGGCATGGCAATGTTACGAAGCTTTTCCTGCTGGGCAGCAGTGAGGTGGAGCGGCCCGGGAGCAGTTGATTCTGTCGCGGGCTGAGGAGTGGGTACCTGTCGGGAAGGCAACGAGTTGGTGGTCAGGGCAGCTGTGGTAGGGAAGAAATCGGTCGGTGACGTGGTAGGCTGCTCAAAGCTGGCGGCAGAGGAAGGAGAGCCAAGTTGCGGGTGGTTGTCCTGTGGCTGCGGCTGCGGATGCGGATGCGGATGCGGGTGCTGCTGATGGTTTTGTTGAGGCGGCGGAAACTCCCAAGGTGCTGGTGGGTAGACGGGAGCTGGAGAGGCACCGGTTGGGACAGGACAGGGGAAATTGAAGGTATCGCTTGTTGGAGGTTCTTGACAGGCCCAATGCGATGGGTCATACAATAGCTGATGGTCGGGGTTGGGAGCATCAGCCGAAGTGGTGGCAGTGGTAGTGTCGGGTCCAGAGGCAGAAGGATCGGTCTTGACGTCGTCAAAAGCCGAGTCGTCAAAGGCCGGCAGGGCACCCACGTTGGACTCGTCGAAGCCATACAGGGCCCCAGAACCTTGGTCGACCATCTCGGTGGGTTACGGGAGATACAGCGATGATGGGCTGACTCAATGCATGGAGCAATGGGGTTAATACCCTCTGAAGCCGGGGGCGGGGTGCTGACAGCTGAGAGAGGAAATGAGATAGCCCAACCGAAGGCCGGAGCGGTGCAGAACCACCAAGGAATCAATTCCGACGATAGGTACTGTTACGGAGTACGAAGTAGCTGCGATCAGAACACCCTGGTAACAGAGGCGGCTTGAGATGGTTCGAGACGAGCCGTTGAGGTGGTTGGGATCGGCGAAGAGCGGACTTTGAATGACACAATAACTGGGGAAGGTCGTACGACGACTATGTAGCTGCACTTGATGGAATTGGGCAACGAAAGGTGAAAGGTGGGAGGGCCGGGATGTTGAAGCTGGGGGGGAGCGAGTAAATCGTATGATCAAAATCTCGGCGAGGCTTGGGTCGGATTTTCAACGGGGCGAATATGTTGATATGAATAAATAAAATCGGCGAAAAAGACAAGGGAAAAAAAAGGAAAAATAAAAAGACGGATGGTAAAAGTGTTGCGATGAGATGGAGGGTCTCGAAGAAACGAAAACGAAGAGCTTGCGGCGGGTGCGTTGACAACAGGAATCGTATGGAAGAGGAAGACTTTGAGAAGTGGTTGGAAAGGGGTGGGGGAAAGGAGAAGTCGTACGATGTGGCGCGTCTTAACCGGGGCCAAGGACATCGTCCCGGTACCGCCAAGCCGATCGGTAGCGGGGCCTCCCAGTTTTTTGTTTTTCTTTTTCTTTCTTGCTTTCTGTGACGTACTCCTCGTACTCCGTACCATGCTCTGACCAGCAGGATGAGGTCCTTAGTGCCTTAGGTAATCACTTAGTAACGAAGTACACGAGGCACAGAATTGTGAAGCGCGCACCTTCGCATGCCGTATTACTCTGTACTTCGTGCTTTGTAGTTCCCAAGGCGGTCCATTCTGTGTGACAACCACGTATATTATATTATGTATATGGAAGAGGAAAAGAGATAACTTAAAGCTCAATCCTCGGCTAGATCTTCGGAGATCTGACTAAGGTACACTAATCCTGCAGCCTGATTAGCTGGTGGCGGTGGTCACGTGACTACTGCCGCAACACTTATAACCGTGGTTACTGTGTGGTCTGATCTGCGAAGTATAAGGTAGGTACCTCATGTTTGTACCTTATGTATTGTTTCAAGTCCTTTCGTACCAACGCCTCGATGGGAACTGGCACATGCCCCTTCTTTATGGACATAGAGGTTATATACCAGAAGTAAAGATAGTAGAGATGAATATAGCCTCGCTATTGCAACTACACCTCTAGCTGAGGGTACGAGACGGTAACTTTGAATACAAAGAAAGAAAAGCAATGGGATGAGTGGAAAATGGAAGATATAAAGGATAACCTCCTTGGAACCACGGCCTCCCTACAGTGTCCTGCGACGCCCAACCGGGACCAACCGAGACACATCGTCCTTCCCGCCATCTCCCACATGTGCGCCTGGCAAGGCCATCCCGTGCCTGCTCATCTAAATTCCCCGCTGCCGGATATCGTCTATTGTGAGTATGGCATAATATGTGCAGTCCCTGCCTCCTTCGGGGCGCCCTTCCTCTCTCTGGGTATGTACCGTCGTCGTCGCGACCTCTCTCTCTCTCTCTCTCTCTCTCTCTCTCTCTCTCTCTCCCCATCATTAGCCACGGAAGCCACAAGCCTCCGCATGTCTTCTCTGTTCAATCAGGAGCCGCTTTGCAGTTCCTCTCCCTGAGGTACCACCCACCCCACCCTACCCTACCAAATGTCGTTGTCCTCCTGGACCAGCTCCATGGTCGGCGTCTTGGGCTCCAGCTTCTTCATCCGCTTTCGATCCGCCCTGCTCACCAGCGACGGCGTCATGGGCATACAGGGCGTGAACGGCTGGTAAGGTGAGTAGGGCACCGCGGTGCCCGGCGTGCGGGCCGTCATGGGCGATAGCGGGCCCGCGCGCGCGAAGACGGTCTGTTTCGTCACTGTCTGCGACGACGTCGGCGACGCCACGGCCGGTTCGTACGCCCGTAGCGGCAGCGTCCCGCCGGTGCGGACTGCGGAGGGTGGGGCTTTTTTCTGGAACGTCGCCCCGGGTTTCGGGGACGACGGCAAGGGCGGGAACCGTGTGATGCTGGGCTTGGGCGACCCCGGGAGCCCTATCAGGGGTGTCTCCGAGGATGCCGAGGCCGGGTCGGTTTCGCTCCGAGGCGCTGACCGGCTCCGCCTCTCCTTCTCGGCCAGGTGTGCCCCTATGCGCTCGTCGATGCTCTGGGTGCTCTCCGGCGAAGGGCCGGGCGAGACGGGGGAGATTTGCCCCTGGCTGGGTCGGCGCAGTTGCTGGACGGCACCGAAAGGCGCTTGGTTCGACGGGACGGGAGGCGGAGGAGGAGGAGGAGGAGGGGGCAGAGGTGCGTAATGCCGCGGGGGGATGGTATTCATCTCCTGCGACTCGGGCCCGGGAAATGTTCCCGACTTGGGCGTCATCATGGGTGACGAGATGACCATCCCTTTGACGCCACTCTTCTTCCTCGGCGACCGCAAGGCCGAGAGAATGGACGAAGTCCTGGACTGCGTCTTGTCTTCCTTGGACAAGTTGAGCTGCGCCGGCTTGTTCTTTTCCTTCCGGGACATCCCTGTGGATGACGACTGGTCCGACGTAGACGTTCGCGAGGCTGTGGAAAGCACCGGCGTGTCCTGCAGGATAATGCCCTGCTGCTTTGCCTCCTCGTGCTCTAGTACATACTTGTACATCTCCTCGAGCTGAGTTTGCGCCATTTGTCTGTCAGTGGCGACCACCCTCTGGTCGACCGAGAGATCAACTCCGGGGGCGCAGGCGCTCGATGACGGCGACGGTGCGATGTAGGGCGTCTGCGGGCTGGGGAAGAAGAGGTCGGCTCTATCCGGGGAGGAGCCGGAGAAAGTGCGGACGGGGCTTCGAGGAATGCTGCGGGGGGAAGTGGGCGGAACGATCCTGAGGTTCGGGGGGAGTGGTTTCGTATCTTCTTCGATGAAATCTGTTTCGTTGTCGCCAGCGGCGAGGATTTCTCGACGCCTCTTGGAGAGCACGAGAATGAAAAAGGCCACGACTACAAGCGAGACACCATACGCACCAGCGATGGCGCCAACTTGGATGGGGAGAAAGGCCGGGTCCGGGTCACTCAAAACCTCGGCGGAATCGGCGTTGGGAGAAAAGTTTTCAGCATCAGATGCTCGGGCGATGTGTACTGAATGGTCGTGGTTCTCGTAACTGCTCTTGCTCTGCAGAGAAGCCACCAAGGGAGAGGCATACGCGTGGCAACAGCACAGGAGGGAGAAGAAGAGAATCAATGATGTAGATCTAGAGAGAAGAAAAGAAGGCCAAAGTGCATTTTGTAAATAGGGTCCTGAATCAACTCGGACCCCGGGCATCGTGAGCAGGGCCTCGAGGACGCGGGGAGGTCTTTAAAAGGCGAGCCAGGAACGATGATCCTACCTCCTGAGGGTTGATCCGAAACATATTGTGATGGGATGGGGGAGACAGAGACAGCAAGGGGAGAAAAGAAGACCGGATAGGCGGCACACACAATGCGTATATAGTTGGAAAGCGTTTGATGATGTACGGGCTGCGTCGAGATTGGCGCTGTGCCATGTGAGCTGCATTCTGACTTGCTGGAGGGCCCATGTCTGGGCCCGGCACTAGCAACGGCCAAGATGCATGCTCTCCGCCACTGGTGGCACTCGCATACAACGTACAACGTACGGTGAGGGAAAAAGACAAAAAGGCCGTAGCGCCTGCAATGGGCCCCAGGGCAACTGCCATAATGATGCCGTAAGAAGGGGGGGGGCTGGAAGTATGGAGGTAGATGTTGATATTGGCCTCGAAGTCCCCTTGAGAGATGGTCGGAGCGGGGGCGCGGGAGGACGAGGACCGTCCCGCGCTCTGGTTGGCTGGATCTGCGTGACGACCAAGGGAATTAAGCGCCGACCATGACAAACCGGGGTAGTGATTGGCACGAGATGCTTATTAGATTGGCCAATAATCGTCTTGGCTTTGCCAGCTCGGACCGCCCCTGTCCCGATGGCTATTAGTTACGGGAGTGCCGGAGCCCGTGATATGTTTTCCTTCCTGGCCCCATGCCAGCAGTCGTGAACTCGCTTTTCAGACTCACCACGTGGGGTTTTAGCACCAGATCCTATTGTTCTCAGTTCTGGCGATGAGAACACTCCAGGCGTGAAACCAATGGCCAGCATTGAAACGAGGTATAGGCATCGAGGATGCGGGGCAGAGGAGGCAACTGCGCTGACCTGCGAGGAGCCATATGGGGGTTTGACTGCGTGCTACGAATACTCCTGGAGATATATGTACGAAGTAGGGATATGTATAACATGCAGAAGACTACATAAATAGAAGCAAGGGGCAATGGATGTGTGTGTGTGTGTGTGTGTGTGCATGCTTGACGTGTGAGACGAACTCTACGGAGTAATACTCTATGCCTACTACGTACACGTACACCCTGACTGCTTTTGGGTTGGGCTCTATGAAAGTTGGTCCCCGCCTCACGAATCCTCAAGCCCAACCCGACCATACCTATCTTGTAGCTTACCTGTGCCCCGCCCCACCGTAAAAGTCGGATCTCGTTTCTCGATCGACTTGACCAGAGAGAGCAAGAAGGCAATTAATGCGGATACTATGTCTTGACGAGCAGACAAGCGAGACAACGAGCCGCAGGGTGTCAGTGTTCAGGATTCTCGTGATTAATGCGTGATGGGGTTCGAGAGCAATAACATGGGCGAACTAATGTGCTCGTGGCTCTATCACATCACCCACGTCCTCGAATCAGAAGGCTTCAAAGCGTGACAATGTAGATCAAGGAAACCGAGGCGACGAATTGAAGACGATATCCGCTTTAGAGTCGACTCGAGATAACTAAGGTAGGACTCTGCTTAGTGCCCTCGAGATCGCAATCACAAGCCGCTAAGCTGCATTGTACTTGTTCTTGCAGGTGGTTGTTCCAGTCGTTCATTCAATTTGAATCCACAGAAAGATTTCATGTGATAGATTGGATGATGGGATGAATGATTGTGACGAGAGACGGCGCTACTCTGTACTTGCTCTGTCCTCGCGAGCATCATGAGCATCGTGATGTGGGAATTCGAAAGGACCGGAAGCGGTGTGAACGATTGCATGAAATCCAGCCCCCCATTCTGCGTTCGGTTTGCCGAACGTGACTAATAGAACGTAGGTAATAAGGCAAGCTTAGGTAGGCAGGAATTATTCATGGATGACTAATTAATGCTCTTCCATTTCCGGGTTTAGATCAAGTAAGTCATGTGATCTCGTGCCCATGCTCCACTCGAGATACGTACCTCCGTACAGTAGCCCTGTTGTGTTCGCGACACTCAAAACATCGCATCACGCGTCCATCATATAAGGTACGGATTCATATGAACAACAACAACAACAACAACAACACCACCAACAACAACAACACCACCAACAACAACAACGGAAACACAAGGTTTCGGGCGTAAAAGTCCCCATTGGCTGTAGCTCGGCGGTTTCAATACCAATATTGAAACTGCCTTACACTGTCTCTTCGAAACAGGCCTCGAAATCCGTTCACCCCATCATTCTCATCGTTCCCATGCGACCTCCCCAGACGATCCATGGACTTCTCTGCTCATCATGAGCTTATCCAGCTCCGCCCCCGGCCCGGCTGAATCTATTCTGGCGACTCTCAACGGCGCGCAATGCCGAGCTGTCACTTCTCCCGCCGCCACGGTCGCCATACTCGCCGGCCCGGGAAGCGGCAAGACCCACACCCTGACTTCGCGCGTGGTATGGCTTGTTGACAATGTCGGCTACCAACCAACCGACATCATCGTGGCGACCTTCACCGTCAAGGCGGCGCGGGAAATGAAGGAGCGCATCGGAAAGGCCCTCGGCCAGGGGCGAGAGAAGAAGATCGTCCTCGGTACCTTCCACAGCATCGCGCGTCGGTACCTGGCAACCTACGGGAAGCACATCGGCCTGGACCCAAAGTTCGGCATTGCCGACGACGGGGACTCGAGAGCGATGATTCAGAGGATCTGCAAGCGGCTGGGACTTGGCGTCGACCCGGCAACGGCCCGGGCCCGGATCAGCAAGAAGAAGGCGAAAGGGTCTTCGGACGACAGCCCGAGGAGGCTCCCCAACGGCAAAAAACCTGCGCCCGAGAACCCGGAACTCGAGACGTGTTACCGCGAGTATCAAAGCCAGCTGGGGCGGTCGAACTTGCTCGACTACGACGACCTGCTGACCAAGTGTGTCCAGCTGCTGCGGGGCTATCCTTCTTGCGTGTCCAACGTCCAGGCGGTCCTCATCGACGAGTACCAGGACACCAATGGGGTACAGTACGAGCTGATGAAACTGTTTGCGCAAGCGAGGCAGCGCATCACCATCGTGGGCGACCCCGATCAGAGCATCTACGCATGGCGATCGGCCGAGATACGGAACCTTTTCAGGCTTCTGAAGGAGTATCCCCAGGCAGACGAGATTACCCTAGAGGAGAACTACAGGTCGTCCCAGGCCATCTTAGACGTTTCCCTCAAGGTCATCCAGCAGGACAAGAAGAGATACCAGAAAGCGCTGCTCCCCGTTCACAGCAAAGGCACGCGGCCGGTCCTGCGGCGTCTCAAGACCGCGGCGGTCGAGGCCGAATGGATCGTGGCGGAGATTCGCCGGGTGGTTCTCATGTCGGGCAATATGATGAACTACGAAGACGTGGCTATCCTCTTGCGGTCAGCCGCCCTCTCGAGGCACATCGAATCCGCCCTGGGAAAAGCCGGCGTCCCGTACAGGATGGTCGGTGGGTTCAAGTTCTACGAACGAGCCGAGATCAAAGTCGTGGTCGACTACCTCCGCGTCATCCATCAACCTGAGAACAACGACGCTCTAGCACGCATTATCAATGTCCCCCGCCGGGGTATCGGCGAGGCCACCATCGGCGCTCTACTCCGAGAGGCAGAGGAAGCCGAAATAAGTCTCTGGGCACTGCTGGACAAGCACTGTCGAGGCGACCGGAGGGCCAAGACGAACATCAAAGCGGCGATGGAACTGAAGATCAGCGGGGGGTTGCTGAAGATGGTCAAATCCGTAAGGAAGAAGGTCGAGGAACCTCCTCCTGGTAGTCCATGCTACCATTTGGTTGATCTGATTCAGAACTTGCTTTCCCAGTTGCATTTTCACAAGTACGTCGAGGAAACGTGGCCCGAACAACACGAGAGCCGGTGGGCAAACGTTCAAGAGTTCCTCAACCTGGCGGGTGATTTCATGAGGGATCTGAGTGCGAGCGAGCAGGACGATCGCCTGCCCGAGATTGAAGGGCTGCAACAGGAGAGAGAGACGGACGCCTTGGGCCGGTTCTTGGCCAACGTCGCGCTAGCGTCTGACGCGCAAAAAGGCGAAGCTGAGAACAAGCCAAGTGTGACAATATCCACTATCCACGCAGCGAAAGGTCTAGAATGGCCAGTAGTCTTCGTCCCCGCCGTATACAACGGATCGATCCCCCATATGAGGTCGGACAACCTTGATGAAGAACGGAGGCTGCTATATGTCGCCATGACGCGGGCAAAGTCGTTGCTTTACCTCAGTTGCCCGCTCTACCACCACAAATCTATGGGAGGAGGTGGTAGTGGCGAGAAGACGGAACTGTCACGGTTCATCCCCTCGGAGGTCCATCCGTACTTTGCCAAGCTGGGTCCGTCGTTCAGCATGGAAGTCATACGGCACGTGGCCCAGATTTTGGGCCGCGAGAACGCGATTCCTTCCGCCGAGGATATTTTCAGTGGCATGCCGCTCATGGAGAGGCTGGAGGATAATTTGCATCCCGAGGATCCAGAAGAGGGAGAAAAGTCGGGTGATTTGCCGTCCGCTAAGAACAAGTGGCGGAACCGCCGTCCACACAGCATGCAGGGCTCTGCCGACGACGATGCGCACGAGGCCGAATCCGGCCCATCCTGGCACGCTACGACCATGACGTCGTCTTCAACCTTTACCATGTCATCCCTGCCAGGATTCACCACGGCCAGTAAGCATCGGTCACTCGTGGAGGCGGAGGGGGAGGGGGAGGGGCTATCGGCGTCGGTGAAGAGCAACGACACTACTCATTCGAAGCCGGGAACCGGAAGACGAGGAGGGACGACCAAACGACCGGCAGACCAGTCAAGTCTGTGGGGTTTCGTAGCGAAAAGACACAAGTCGGATCTTTCGAACCTGGCTTCGGACTTGCAGCGACCAGACGGCGCTGGTCCCGGTCCCGGTCCCGGTCATGGGCCTAGCCTCCGTCGCCAGGTATCAGCAACGTCCGGCTCGCGCAGCGTACAGCAACTACAGCACGGCCAATCCCACCAGCAGACGGAGCCGCAACGGGGCGCCATCGCACCAGAACTCGCACGACACAAACTCGGGTCGGCGGCTGCTGCGATGAGACGGCCGAGGAGGCCAGCCCAGGACCCTGCCATCGAGGGTCCGAAACTTGGTTACCCCAATTTCTCCAGCTCGCCGCCCAGGAACCCTTCGCCTGAGCAGGAGAACCGGGACAAGGCCGGAGAGCAAGAGCAACAGGCGAGGGACAGGGAGCGGCCGGCTAGCTGCCTCCACGTAACGACTACGACGACGGTGACGCAAGGACACGGCAAGTTCGTGAGGCCGGCAGCGATACGAAGGGAAGGGGGCATGCCGCCGCTGGATCGGCTGCGTAGACCGTTCAAGAAGCTCACGATGAATAGAGGGAATTCGGCGTAATGCATAGACATATATGGTGGAGGGATGATGAGCTCTGGACTGGAGTTATAGGTATGTCGTACATAGCCCGGACGGAGCAAGATTTGATAGAATCTAGAATCACAACATAATTTTGATACTCGACTTCTGATAAGGAGACGTATGCAAGCATAATGCGTAGCTTGATTGAACGGTATTTCTCGGCAAAGAACGTAAAGCAGTGTCTTCAATTTCAGTCACGGTTGCTCACTGCCTATAGTTGGTTCCAACCAGGGACCAGACCACTCGTGTAAGTGAGGCCCCAGGACTGAACAGGGTAATTACACTGGTGATACGAAGACCTATAAGATGGGCCCCTGTTTCGAGACTATATGTAAACTGATATTGAACTCGGAGGCTGGGCTAAGGGTAGGTGTGGGGCGTGGCTGAAAAAAAAGTTGAGCTGAGGGTAGGTACGGGCCTCTGCGCCTTTAATTAATTAGTCGAACTATTTCGGGATCGCGTTAAGTACCTTATTATAAGGAGTATTTTATTAAGGTTTATTATATTAGATATTATAAAGAGTGCTTTTCTATTATTACTAAGAGGACCTTTATATTATCATAAAGGTGTTTTTCTCCTACCTATTATAAGGGTGGTTACCTAAGATATCTAGTCACGTGACCTTAATAAGTTATAAACGTATAACGCATAACTGTATCGGCCCTGCATAGCCGTGGTCTAACAACTGGTCCTGTGGGGAATCGTCGGTGTGAAAACGGTAGACTCTTCGGGCTTAGGTATATTAAACGAACGGTGTTTATATAGGGAATCCGTTCTGCTTAAGTACCATGGCCCGTCTTGCCTAGACTAGCCATTTTACCTAGCTCTTCAACCAACGCAACTTCCTTACGTAATAATGCTAGGTTGATCTTGTGTTTTCATATAAATAGCCCCATAGCACCCACCCCTTAGCTCAACTTTTCGCCCTTCTCGGACCCACACCTACCCTTAGCTTAGCCTCCGAGTTCAATATCAGTTTATCTGTAACCACCCTGTTTCCCCTTTCCCAATTCACATCTCACTGCAATCCGATCACATCATATCCTATCTATTATACCAGCCTTTAGACGGCATAATACAAATCTCATAATTACAAAACCCTTTTGTTGAGACCCAAAGTCTCTCTGCCATACGAGAAACAGCATCCCGAGATCGACCTGCACTATACTCTTCTCACCCTCCTTTTTCTCCATCAAACACCACACTCCAACTTGTCCACACTTTAACTTCACACCCGAAGAAATCATGTCCGTCTATAAATCTTCTCGGCCTATTTTGACCGCCCGTGCTCTTCGCACTCGCCCCATCGCCCAGCGGTTTTTCTCCAAGACCACCCCTCGACTCGCCCCGTCTTCTTCCAACAACACGAACCCGAGTTTCCCGGCCAGCCCCAAGGAAATATGGCGGAATGCATCCCCGCCTGTTCGGTTCGTTCTCGTTGCCGGCCTCGTCGTGGCTGCATGCGCCGAGGGAGCTATGTGGAGCCATTTCGCCCGCAGCTGGTGGAAAGGGGCTCCGGGGGAGGGCGAGACTCCGGGGGCGGGATCGAAGTAGACGGCGGATATAATAGGCCACCACGGTGGTTGACATGGCATATGGGCCTACTTTCGAAAGGGTCTCCTGGCTTTGCAGGAGTGCTGTTTGCAGAGACTCCTCGACATACCCTATGTTGGTTATTGCTTGGGACAGGACGATGAACTGTATAGATAACCTGCGTGAAGATGATATCGCTTTTCGCTGGTTTGCAAACCACCTCCCCCCCAACTGTTTATATGTATATATAATACCAAACTCTCCATCCTGTCTCCCCCTTTCATGCGTCTCTCATCCTCCACGTCCCTCGCTGGTCGATACCCTCGCCGAGCAGACCCGCTACGACCAACACCGTATACCTCACCAGTCAGGGGCACTCCCGCATCCTCCACCAGCCAAAACCGCAACGGGCTTCCTTACAACCCTGGGCCCCACAGGTTGGACGCCCGGCTTCCGCCCCCTCCGGCCCTTGAAGCCGACCTTCGCATCCAGCGCCGCAAAAGGGTGCTCCCCGCTCTCCCCCTTGCGCACCATCCACTTCGTCGTCCCCAGAGCAGCATCAAGCTCCTCGACGGGCGGCAACTGGACGTAGACCATCCCGTCGTCCCGCTCCTCCGCTTCGAAGGTCGCGATGCTCATCTCGGCGTCGTTGCGGCAGTCGCCCGACGTCATGTCAAAGTTGCGCTTGTGGAACGGACATGATATGTAGGGCGCTTTGCCCGCCGCCTCCCCATGGCTGCCGTTGGCCCCGCTGTCGCCTTTCGCGCCACTGACGTCACTAGTCGTCGTCCCGTTACATACCGTGGGCTTCGGGTCCTCGCCGACGAGCCCGTCCGAGAGCGCGAAAGCCCGCTTGTGAGGACACATCTGCTGCGTGGCGTAGTACCGCCCTCGGACCCTCCACACGGCCAGTTGCGTGTCCCCCCTCTTCACCGCCGCCGACACGCCGCTCGGCGCTTCGTCCGCGCCCGCAAAGTATGACGCCTCCAGCATGGGCTGCCACGTCAGCGAAGACCACCGATCCCTGAGCCCCTTGAAGTCTTCCTTGGCCGCTGCGTCCTTGGCCCAATATACCGGTCGCTGCTGGTCCCGATCCACCTCCACCTCGGTGACCTCGACCGCCTCGTCTGTGTTCGCGAATTGCCGGAACTGTGCTATCAGGTCGGGTGATTGGATGGCCTCGGCCCACTCGTCGAAGAAGGAGTCAACGAGCTCCTGCATCTGCGCTTCCAGGGACGCACAGATGCCCAGCTTGTCGTCCAGGATCACTTCCTGGAGGTATTTGAGCCCGCCCGGCAGGTTCTCGAGCCACCGCGCTGTACGCTGCAGCTTGTCCGCTGTCCGCATGTAGAGCACGAGGTAGCGGTCGAGAATGGGGATGACGTCGGCCGGGGGCACGTCCTTGGCGAGCAGTTCGCTGTGTTTCGGGTTTGCGCCGCCGTTGCCTGCCACGAAAATGTTGAAGCCTTTCTCCGTCGCGATGAGGCCGAAACTGTGCAAATGCCATGTTAGAGATTCGTTCCGCTCTCCGAGAAAGGCTTCCAAAAAAACGGGTATGGACTCACTCCTTGTTCTGCGCCTCGGCGCACTCACGGACGCACCCGCTGACGCCGCCCTTGATCTTATGTGGTGCGCGAATGCCCTTGTATCGCTCCTCCAAACGCACAGCCATGCCAACGCTGTCTCCGATACCGAACCTACACCATGTCGTCCCGACGCAGCTCTTGACGGTCCGGAGGGACTTGGCATAAGCATGACCGGATTCCATACCGGCCTCGACCAGCCTCCTCCAGATGTCTGGCAGATCCTGCTTCTTCGCGCCGAACATGTCGATTCGTTGCCCGCCCGTGACCTTGGTGTAGAGCTTATACTTGGCCGCCACCTCACCGATGACGACGAGCTTTTCCGGAGTGATCTCGCCACCGGCCATACGAGGGACGACACTGTACGTCCCGTTCCGTTGGATGTTGCCCAAGAAGCGGTCATTCGTGTCCTGCAGTCCATGTGTCGTCTTGTCCATGACGTGCCTGTTCCACAGCGAGCTGAGAATGCTGCCGATAGCGGGCTTGCAAACCTCGCAGCCGGACGAGTTCCCGTCGTTGCCGACTTCACGCATCACTTGTTGGAAGGTCTGGAACCTCTTGACCATGATGATGTTGTAAAGGTCGGCCCGTGAAAAGTGGAAGTGCGGGCAGAGATGGTTCTTGACCTCGTTGCCCATGGCGGCCATGGTTTTGTTGAAGATGGTCGTGACAAGGGGTAGGCAGCCGCCGCAGCCGGTGCCGGCCTTGGTGCAAGATTTGATGTCGCCAATGCTTTTGCAGCCGCCTTCTTTGACTGCCTGGATGACGTCGGCTTTGGTCACGTTGTGACATGAGCAGACTTGGGTATCATCGGAGAGGTCGTCGCCGTCGTCGCCGCCGTCTTTCTTGGCCCCCAAGATAAGTTGGCCCGGGGGCATATCCAGCTCCTTCATAGACTTGACCATGGGAACGAGCTTGATGTAGTCACTCGTGTCCCCAATCATCATCCCCCCTAGTAGATATTTCCCATCTTCCGTAAAAATGTACTTTTTGTACACCTTCTGAAACGGATCTCTGTAGGTAAGAGCCTTGACAGGGATGGGAGCAGGCGATGAACCATTGACGCCACCATCCACGCCGTTCGTGCCGTCGGTTGGGGTCTTGGCTTTCTTTGCGACGCGAGGCGGTAGGTACTGGGGCCCGTCGCGGTCTGCAAAAAAGTCGCCGAAGCTGGCGACGTCCACCCCGAGCAGCTTCAGCTTGGTGCTGAGGTCGGGACGCTTGAATATCCTCGGCTGGTGGAGCTTGGCTTGCGTGAGGTTGAAAGACAGCACATCGGCCATCTCGACGCCCGGCGCGATGAGACCGAAAGTCTGACCCTGCCAGCTGGCGCACTCTCCAATCGCGTAGATATCAGGTTCGCTGGTGCCGAGGTCGTTTCCAACGATGATGCCTCCGCCGCGCTCCGCACACTCGATCCCCGCTGTCCGGGCCAGGTCATCTCGAGCTCGAATGCCAATAGCAAAGCACACAGTTGAGCAGGATATCCGTTCACCATCCTCGAAGAGGAGGCCTTGTACGTGATTGTTCGGATCCACCTCGATCTTGGCCACCCGCTTGCTAAGGAGAACGTCGAGACCCAGTTGGCGAACCTGCTCGACGACCATGAAGCCGGCATCCTCGTCAAGTTGTCGGCTTAACACCCATGGATTCCTCTCGATGAGCTTCACCTTGTCGTAGCATTCCAAGTCCATCATCGCCTTGGCGGCTTCCAGGCCCAGCAGGCCACCACCAACCACAGCAGTCGTAGTGCCTCTCCTCTGGTCGGCAAACTCGATAAGGCTGGTGAGGTCCTCGATGGTGCGATAGACGAAGACTCCCGTGGCGTCGTGACCTGGTGTTTGCCGGGGAAGGAGAGCATCGGAACCGGTGGCCAGCACCAGGACGTCGTAGGAAAAAACCTCTCCGGTTGAACAAGTCACCGTTTTCGCCCTGGAGTCAATTTCCGTTGCTCTTGTATTTACTAAATATCCCAGAGCTCCTTCGGGGCCTGTGTGATACTGGGAGAGCATCAGCCATCAACTTCACAGGAAAAGAGGTGCTGTAGTGGCAAGGAGGAGAGACGCCATACCCATTCTTTGGGATTCAAGTAAAGATTCTCGACTCTCCGGTGCTCAAAATATGTAGTCAATCCGACTCTGTTGTATGCCAAATGCGGCTCTTCTCCGATGACCGTAATGTCGTATTCTCGACTTTGTGCGTCCAGCTTGAGCATTTTTTCTCTGCATCATTGTGTTGTTAATAAAATCAGAACGCCATGATATAGGGAGTCGTAGGATCCAGGAGAAGATAATACATAAAAGCACTGCCCACCATCCCCAGCCCGACCACCACGAGCTTCTTACGTCCGGACTTGTCGGCCATGTCGACAGCCATCTTTGGCCAATTGTCAAGGAAGTTGAGTCTATCGGAGTGGTGAAAAGCGAAATCGGGTCAAGAATTCGTATGATAGAGAGACAATGGAAAGGAGGAAGAGGCAGCGAGAGAGGAAGAAGGGGAGGATTGATACAAGAATAGGGTCAGGGGGGGAAATCTTCCACGGTGGGCTATATTTCCTCGACCGAGAAGACAATATATTCGTACAGATTAAGCATTGGTAGTGGGCCATCAAATCCGAGAGGGAGATTCAGAAGCTGAATTCCAGCATCTCCGGTCCAAAATCATGGATAGAGGGGCGTCGCATCTTGCACCCAAGCACAGCCATTTGATGCCGCTCCTTGATTGGATGCCGAAATCCCTGATGGAGTCGTACATGTTGAAGCGGGTGGGAGTTGATTATCTCTATCTCCACGGGGTCTGGATCACGTTATGGAATAATGGCCAGAAATTATATCGTAGGAGCCGACAGTTGAGGGAATAGGATGGATGTGAGGATGAACAGTTGAGGATTGAGGACGAACGAGCAGTACCTTACGGATCGAGATAAGAAGATAAGAGGTGACTTAAGGGGACGGGGGCGAGGGGGGTATGGGGCCCACTTGATAAGGGAGACGTGCATGCCAAAACACGATAAGGCTGCGTTGACCAATCAACGACGGCCCACCCCTTGCTAAACGGCGGGCAAAGTAGGACGCCGCGGAGAAAGCGACTTGGTAAACCGTTGCACCACATAAACATCCGAGGAGAAACCTTGATCAGCATTAGTATTACGTCGTAGTTTACGGAGTACAGTAATCGTCCAACTTCATAAAGCTGCAGTCCTGAATGCGGTTATTCCGAGTCTTGTGCGGCAAGACGACAATGTCGCGCAGTTTGTAATGCTGGGAAGTCGATAACAAATCCTTTCTTCTCCTCCGTCTTCTTCGTCTCCCAGCCCTGACCCGAGTAGACACGGTGCCATCATTCAGGACCCCCTCGTCCTCGGGGTATCGTGCAATAGTTCTAGTTTATTGTACATCACGCGTCATATCCCCAAACCATGAGGGACGGTGCCCTGTGTATGGTTGGTTGACCTTTTTTTTTTCACCCTTCATATCTTACACCTCAAACCCTCTCACGCTTTCTCTAGAGGTTCACCCCGTGCCTCTCCCTCGGAACTCTTCCTGAAGCCGAAGAAATAGTTGCCCACCTTCTCGCTCCCGTTCACCTCCCTCCAACCCAGCCCAGGGACGTAGACCACCCCCATGATCCGCGCATTCGTCCAATCGCTCCCCGCAAACCAGCCCCTCAGCTCCCCGTCGTCGATGTACTTATTCCAGTCGTGCGTCCCGGGGGGCACGATGCGTAGGATGTCCTCCGCCACCAGATTTGTAGTAAACCAGCTCAGCCACGTCCGCGCAATGGTGCTGCCGACCAGCCAGCCGCCCGGTCTCACGAACGCCGCGCACCTCCGCAGGAACTCGACCGGCTCGTCGACGTGCTCGACAACCTCGAACACCGACACGACGTCGAACCGGTCCGCGTCCGATTCGGGCGGCGGCAGCGTCTCGACCGTCGCGGAGAGGTAGTTGAGCCGCGGCGGACGCAGGCTCGGGTCGCGCCGGGCGTGGGCGCGGGCGACGGAGAGGACCTCCGGCGACGGGTCGATGGCGGTCACGCTGGCGGTGGTGGGTAGACGCGCTGCGGATTCGGCGAATATGCCGCCGCCGCAGCCGATGTCGAGGTAGCGGAGGTTATGAGAAGGGTAGGACGACGCGGTCATGGGGTCCGGGACGGACGAGGACGAGCGGCACTCTCGGATGAAGTCGTGGCGTAGAGGGTTCATGAGGTGGAGGAGGCGGGACGGACCCTGTGGGTCCCACCAGGACGACGCGAGGCTGTTGAAGTGGGAGATCTCCTCAGGGTTGACGGAGGAGAAGGTCGACGAAGGGCGACGCGAGGGAGGCGCGGGTGAAAGCGGTAAGGCGCATGGCGACGGGGCTGTGAGCTGTCGAGGTGCGAGAATGGATCGGGATGACGATGCTCTGGACAGTTGACGCAGGAGAGCCGTAGTGGTTGATCTTGAATGGATGGCCATAACGGCGTGAGTGGCTAAGATATCAACGGGATCCCACCTAGATCTCCCAATTGGGGGTCGGCGTGGCCCGATAGAATACCAAGAGCGTTTGAAGCTTGGTGGAATTGAGATTTCTTTGCTCGAGCTCGCACTCCGATCGCTTGCTTACTCAGCTTCGACTGCACCCCGTACCGCCAGGACCCTGGGAGACGGGTGGGGAACCTAAGGTACCTGACTTTGTCAGACATTCCTCAGCTGACTTCCAGGTTATTAATCACGTCTGCTTACTTGTACCTTGGACGCCCTTCGACTTAAGGTACCTAAGGTAGGTAGCTCCGATCAGTAAGCATGGAGTTTCTCGTCATCATCGCAAGATGCTAACCAATTCAGTTCCGTCCATCGGATGGAAGCGTTCGGCGGTAGCCGTTGCCGGCATACTCGGCCTCTGGGGCACATGGAAAACATATCCATCCCTATTTCCTCGTGATCTTGTGCCATTTCCCGTCTTTCTGGCAAGATCGTCTCTTCTTTCGTTTCTCTCCTTTTTGTCTCTCCCCTTCTTGCCCCATCCTATTTTTTCCTTCTATTCTTCGTATCTGGCGCCTCCTCCCGAACATCTTCAAACAATTGCTCGCGTCCTCTTTGCGTTTAGTAGTAGTACTACTGGTCGTACCTTGGCGAATTGACCTCGTGGCAGTACCTGTACCTGGACGGTACCCCTCCTCCGCATTTGATAAGACGAAAGCCCCGCGATCCGATAAGTTGGTCCAAAGTACCTCGAGGGGCCGACCGAGAAAGAAAAAAAACGTCCCACTCCCGCTTCTTCAACACAGTCATCATCTTGTCGCAACGTTTATACGGCGTCCACGACTTCCTCTTTTTTCCTCCTTATACCCCCCCCATCAGTCGCCATGCCGTCGGAGTCCTTAACTTTAGATCCGTCGGCCTTCGACTCTATTCCCGACGCCCTCAATGCCTTCCGTAAGCTCTTGCCACCCCCCCATCACCTGAATGCGCAACACTCTGCGACAACGCAGATCAGGTTCCCGACTAGACCATAAACCTCCGACTAATGATAACGTGCACCCAAAGGCAACGGTGAATTCCTCGTCGTACTAGACGACCCTTCACGCGAAAATGAAGCCGACCTGATCATAGCCGCCGACTCCATCACAACCGACCAAATGGCCTTCATGATCCGCCACTCATCAGGCCTAATATGCGTCCCCCTCCCCGCCGCCCGAGCCGACGCCTTGGACCTACCCCTCATGGTCCCGGCCCACGCGACACAAGACCCCCGCGGCACCGCCTATACCCTCTCCGTCGACGCCGCCGATCCCTCCGTCACAACCGGCATCTCCGCCCACGACCGCGCCCTCGTCTGCCGCGTCCTGGCCGACCGAAACTCCACCCCCACCAGCCTCCGCAAGCCGGGCCACGTCCTACCCCTCCGTGCCCGCGCCGGCGGCGTGCGCGTTCGCCCGGGCCACACCGAGGCTGGCGTTGACCTCGCCCGCCTCGCCGGCCGAGGCGACACCGCCGTCATATGCGAGCTCGTGGACGACGGCGAGGAAGTCCCCGGCCGTGCCGAACGCACGGGCTCCGGCATGCTGCGCGGCGAACAGTGCATCGCTTTCGCCCGCCGCTATGGCCTCAAGGTGTGCACTATTGCTGACCTCGTCGCCTATATCGAGAAGACGGAGGGGAAGCTGGACGTCAACGGGTCGGCTTCGTAGTATGGTCTCCCCCCCCCCCCCTTCTTCCCCCGAAGACGTCTCGGCTAGGGGACAGATGGCAGATGGGGCCCCCAGAGGTCTGGGCTTTATCCAGAAGCTGAAGGCATGATGAGCAAGAGAGGAGGAATGGGTCTAAGTCACGAATCGCCATTCCAAAGTACAGCGTCATAGATGCTGCACTCGCTGCATTCATTGGGTTCATTCAGGTGGGCATGGCAACGAAAATTTTCGGAATTGTCTGGTTTATCATACACAAAAATTCAACCACATGCATATACATGTATGTTTTTCTTTTCCCGGTTTATTTCAGGCGGCGTATCACAGTTGGAGTGTGGTGGGTGCGACTCAGGTCAATAGAACACGCATTGCATTCAGTTGCATTTTCGATAAAATCATTCTACCTCAAGTCTCGTGCCCCGTCTTCCTACATGTACACAGGCAAATCAAACTCGGTATCATACGTTGGGTTGGCCCGAAGATGGTCATCATCCACATCCCAACCCCACCTCCTGACAAACTCAACGTCGAGCGTGTCCTCCATCATCTTGACGATGTATTTGCCAATTACCGGCAGGAACTTCCACCCGTGGAACGAGCCGCCCGTCGCGATGTACAGATTGGCGCTTTGGGCATGCTGGGTGATGAGGAAATCGTGTGTCGGGGTGACCGCGTCCCTAAATCACCGCATATGTCCCAGTTGGTTAGTTCGAACCCCAACAGACAGATAGCCCAAACCGACTCGTCGCCTCTTTTATCCCACATGTCTCGCACTGCGTGAGGCGAAATGGGCGATGGGAAGGGGTTCTGTCTCACCAGCACATTCGGTAGCTCTCAATCTCCACGCCATCCATTTCCTTTCCGTATAGTCCCTTCATCGTGCTCAAAGCTCGAGTCTTGAACTTGTCCGAAAATGCCTCCTCCTGCCATGTGCCGTACATGGCTTCGTCCGGCGTGATCGACATCTTCTGGTGAGAAGCCTCGTGATGTTGCATATTGGTGAATCCCATGTCGCAGTTGAACTTGATCACACCATCGGGGGTCATGGACATGCTTTCCCCTGTGTCCAGTAATGGCCGTTAGGTATATCCATCCCATCATAGAGGCAAGGGCCGCAAGAAGAACCGAGAACCGCGGAGAGTGTTCGGACCCACCTTTCACTCCCTCTACGACGTTCTTGCAGACGGGAATATCTCTAAACCTCTCCTTCTGCGCACCCTTAAGGGTCCCAGCGAAGCTCATGGCCCCCGTGGCCACCACCCTGTGGCCGAGATGGAACTCGGGCCGGCCCGGTTGGCTCGCAGCCAGTAGCTCCGCGGTTCGTGCTCCCGCGCAAAGCAACACGACGTCCGCAGCGAGTCTGTCGCCCGAATCAAGCAGCACGCCGGCACATTTCCCCTCGGGGTCGAATTCGAGCTTGCCAACGACCCCCTTGCGGTATCGCGCCCCCTCGCCTCTCGCGGCCTGGAGCACGGCTTTGAGCGCATGGTCCGCCTCCGCCCAGCCGCTTCCGGGGTTGAACATGATCCTCTCCAGGTCCCCAAAGTGGGCGTCGGCGAACACCCCGTTCCAACGCCTCCGCACTTCCTCGACCGACAGCCAGACCGCGGACGTTTCGGCCCCGAGCGCCTGGTACGACCGGAGGCTGCCCTCCCCGTATCCGGTAGGATCTGCGCGCAGCATGCCGACTTGGTGGAAGAAAGGGCTGTACAATTCATCGCTGCGCCACATGGGCATGGCCTCCAGCATCAGGCGCATGTACAGCGGATCGGTGTACTCGTCGCGAACAATTTTGTTGATGTCGTGCGAGGCGGCGCATGGGTTGGCAGAATCGGTTCTGTCGATGAGCGTCACCGTCTTGTCCTTGTGGTGTCTGGCGAGATAAAGAGCGGTGGCGGCACCGAAGTTCCCCGCGCCCACAATCAGGACGGTCTTCGCGCTGTTGAAGTTGCTCATGGTCATGGAACGCTGGGTTGAGCGTGAGTACAGGAAGGATAAGGATATATAAAACTCTCCAATATGTCTGCAAGGCTGGATTTTTCAAGCGCGGCAGGGAAGCGGAAGGAGAAACAGTTCTTATACTCGAGTCGGGAACTGGTTTCATCTGGCCGCCCAACACCGAAACAAAAAGGAAGGGGGGGGGGGGCGAAAGGGGGGGATCAACAGCAACGAAAAGTCATTTGGTCCTTTTCAAACTTTAGTAGTAGCCTTAGCACCGGAAAGCGCCCAAGTGCCTATTTGGTCGTATCGTTGTGAACGGGATACCCAAGTCCGCAAAGGTGCGGTGTTTTGCCGTCAGAATGGTGGAACGTCGGTGCATGCCGCGGTACCCAAGGTAGGTAGCTACCTTAGCTACCTACCTTAGGTGTCCTGAGCGGTGGACCGGCTGGGCACCTGGTCGTTTCCGGACCAGTCAAACCCAACATATTTTTCTGCAGATGTCCGCATGTGAAGGTGATGGATGGGATGTATGCCTCGAGGGGGTTTTTTTTTCTCGTCTTTTTATCTTCGTTTTTTCTCCTTTTTTTTTGTCCTTTTTTTGTCCTTTTTCTTTCTGTGTCTTCTTCTGTTTCTTTTCAAATTTGTTCTTCTTCCCTTTCCCGTTCTTGTGGTCCCCAGTACGATGCTGGTCCATGTGCGCCCTCAAAACGAGACAAAAGGGCGTGGAGGAAAAGGGCTCCATAATGTTAAAAGTCCCCTCAGGATATACGGACGCTGTTCCGGCGGGATTCCGGGGTGGAGCCCTCCATATCCATAAAGCTAGCCCCGGCCCCGGAGCCGCTCTCGGCGGACCCCGACCGCCTTTCAGGCAGCCAATAAGACCGCCCAAGATGCCTTTGTAGTCTGTAGTCTTGTTTTCTCCTTTACCGACCTTGTTTCCTCTTTTCTCCGTTCTAACGGCTGCTGGGCCTGGTTATCCACGTGCTATCATAGAGACGACAACGTCAGTCCTCTAACTCCTTGGCCTTAATCTACTTCATGCCCATTTTGACTTATTTTTATTCTGGCGTAACCCACGGATGTATAATCTGACGAGTAATCCTTCCCCATCCCCCCCTCCCAGCCCCATCGGTTTGGGGAACAAAGTACGTTGCCGCACAGGGCATGATCTTGTGTTCCCTCTTGAGTGACCATTCGTGAGAAGTTTAGTCTTGACGACTTGGCGGGCGACAAGAAAGCCGCTGAAAAGAATACGATAGGTCGTAGGGATTTGGCCCCAATCTCCGCCACTTGCCTGAGCGCCACCATCCGATCGTGATGTAGCACTCCCTTGTCCGGCCATGTCGTGCCATGATGGGAAGCTGCCATGTCCCCTCTCTACCTTTCACATCGTGGCATACCTTGCATAGACGTGATGGCTGTGCTCGGCGAACCTGAATCTCGGACGAGAAGGTCCTCGGATACGCCAATGTAACAGCGGACGTGCTTATTTGTATGTACATAAGTCCCAACCCACGAACGCAGAACGTGACTGCCCGAGAACGTCCAAAGTAAATTGACGTGCCCTTCAATTTGAATCCCCTAGGCCCGCTTCAAAACTGGCGGCAACTTTTTACAGCTGCTTCTAGCATGGCCGTAAACCAACCCGTCTCTCGTGCTTCCCTGTCTGGCGGGGCCTCTGGGGTAAGAAGGGGGGGGAGGAGTGACCGGGCTGTAAAAAAAACAGTGTCCCTGCGTTTCTCCGCCACTTGAGGTAGAAAGAAGTCGCCAAGGAGAACTCTATCCATTTCATGCCGAAGCGCCGGTAGACAGACGTATATAGAACTACTTCGTAGACCATTCCGCTCGGCAAATGATCCCGGAAACGAGGTGGCTGGACGCATGCAGTGCCAGACCCCAGCCCAGGTAGGTGACTAGGACAGAAGTCGGAGACTTAACCAGCCAGGCAGGTCAATATATACATGTCTCTACATGTCACCATGCCGCAACTCATGTTTCCTAGGAACCCATGTTTTTGACGTTGTCGAAGGAGCACGATGGAATAAATCGTGCTTACTCGGTGTGCGGTTTTTGTCTTGGTCGTCCTTTGCTGCATGACGCTTCTGGCCACCGCTATTTGGATGTGGTGGGCATGCGGGGTCCTCCCCCACCAAGAGGGGGTTCGCAGGATGGCGGGCTTGTATTGGCGCTAGTGTCGCCTGTTGGCCCTGTCACATGTTGGCCCTGTCACCCTTATCGCACACAGAGGCGGATGCCTAGTCTTCTCAGAGGGTGATGTGCGGCACGTTTTTTTCCTTCTTGTCTTTCCTTCCTTTTTCTTCTTCTTGGAGGGCCGCCCGCACCCTCTACCCCGTCTACTAGGGGGGCTTTGCTGAGTATTGCTGTCAACAAAAGTTGTATTCGTCGGCACCGCGGAACGCTCATGGTATGTTCTCATGTCTGACGTTCTTTATATGCCGCTCAAGCTGGTCTTTTCTGGCGAATCCATCCTTGTTCTGGCAACCGGGAATAGGACATTTGAAAGGCTTTTTATGTTTGTCCATGTGTTGCCTATGAGATAGTCAGTCGGGCATGATCCACACAGTAGAATAGGACGACCCATGACAGACCGGAACATGCAATTGCGCTCGAAAATGACAATGTTTCCATGTCTATCGACCCCACCCTTGGTACAACTTTTGCCGTATGAACATCTATAAACCCCCTTGCCCCTATTTCGAAGTTGTGCGAGGTCGATGTCGTCGAGGTCCATCGGGTCCGGAGGTAGGGAAGCTCCCGGCTTGGAGTTCATCGACGGGCTGACGGGAAATCGAACGGCACTCGTCTCGGGCGATTGTTTAACTACGGCAGAAGTGTCCGAGTACGCCCTTTGATGGGAACCACCTACGTCCCCGGTCGACAGAGCAGTGCGACTCGACCCAGACAAGACTGAACTCGGACTCGTAGGATGCTCAGAAAACGTCGAGCCAGGCGCAGGAGCAGGCGCAGGAGCAGGCGCTGCAGGTGGAACTGGAGCTGGAACTGGAGCTGGAACTGCAGCTGGAGCTGGAGCTGGAGGTGGACGTGGAGGTGGAGGCGGTTGCTTTCCAGGCGCTTGGTTCCATATATGCGTCACCTCTTGCAAGTTCTCCAGGAGCGAGGCCCGCATATCCCTGGATTCGAGTCAGTAGGTGCAGCCAAGCGAAAATTGGCCGTGGGAAGAAAGGACGAAGGAAAATCAGGGGATGCGACAGCGGAGCATTGAGGGAACTAAAGAAAGAAAAAAAAAAGGGAGGGGGGGGATTTAGGAAAGAGAGAGACGAGGCAAGGACGAGCATAGACCTACTTTAGTGCCTTGTGGGATTTATGGGCGTTTTCAAAAGTGGTCAAATCTGATAGATGGGCTGCACTGTCCTGGGACAGCAGACCGTTTACCCTCTGCTTGATGCGGTTGTCGTCAATGAGATCCTCTGCAATACGGGCAACCATTGTCTGAAGGTGAATGATAGTGTCGCCAATGTCCGTGACTAGACCCCTATCAGGCTCCTGGCGGGGCGGAAGGGTGGCAAGAGCCTCGGAAAAACGAGCATGGATCAGCTCGCGAAAGTGTCTGGGCGAATCGTCGGACGATCCTGGCTGTAGCACAGCGTAGATTGGAGCTGGCTGGACGTGACAGGGTGAATGCAACGGTGAATAGGAAGGCGAGCGGGGCTGGAGATGCCGTCGGGGTTGGGTTTGGACCTGAGATGACATGTTCATGGAAGGGTAAGCGCTGATAGCCCTCTGAAGCGTCATACGGCCTGTTGACCAACTGGCCTAGCCCGCGTGTGGAACAAGACAACAATGGAAAAACAATGGGAACAGATGTCGAAGTAACTCGGTAGGCGCCGATATGCCGAGCATCGGTCTCAGAAGCTGCTCCTCCTCCCTTCTGTGAGACTGCGGACGGACGCAAAGGTGTGGTGCATAGCGAAGGGAGGCCAAAGATAAGTGCACGACAGCTAAAGAGAGTGATGGCGAGGCCTTGTGTTGGATTGGACGGCTGACGAGCTGTGATAGACTAATTCTGTATCATGGATGCCCCAAGCGACCGAACGCTCGATCAGGACCAGGACCAGGCGGTTGCTCAATTTTCAGACGTAACCCATACTGGGGGCTACGGGGATGTCGGGGAAAACGCGGTCGTCGGGAAGGGGCCGAAACGGGTGACGTTGAGTTAATTGATTGTGTAACCGGGTGGGTTGACTGACAGGTCGATAGCTGAGTAGAGTAGATAGGTGACGGGGTAGTACGGGGTGGAAGGAGAATAACTTGATGGTCTCTCGAAGAGTATGAGGTCTCATAAGGCAACAGTAAGCCGCTCACAGACCAACCTCCCCTCGTACTCAGCTCGGGCCTCACACACGGGTCATTATTACCCACTTACACTGGGCTATTGCAGTGCATGGGAACGTAATGACCGAGTTCTGGGTGTTGCTCCGTCCTTCTACCTAGGTAAGGTACCTAAGGTACCTACCTTAGGTACCTTACAAATTTCACGGAAAGTGTCAAGTGATCTATCCGCTTCCCGCGGCCACGCCCTAAAGAACAACAGCGACCTTGCGGCTCCGGCCTACCCAAGGCTTATGCCTCACACGAGCAGGGCTTCGAAGCCCTTATTGCCCACGCCTACTCGAACGGCTACAGCCTCGTCATGAACGAACAATATCCTCGTGGTGGGCCGCCGATGCGTATCACGTACCGCTACGGGAAAGGTCGGGCGCCTATGGCTCAAGAGACTTAAACCTAAGGTACGGGTCGAAGGTACCTTACGTAAGGTAGTCGTGATGCTTTTATGGTGGTTTGAACTGACCCTCTCTAAATATATGGCTACTTAAGTTATATATATAAACAGGTGTGGTACTTAGGTAGCTTATCATACTTGGCGGGCCCCACCATTTTACTGGCAAAATACCTAGTCATCTGTACTGGCTCCCTAGTAAGGCCCTGAAATAAGGAGTAATAATCGGCCGTTAGGTTATTCCACGCCGAGGGAGGTCTGTGCGACACGGGTTAATACTCAATTCCAACATTAGTGAACTTGTCTGCACCGGCATTAGTCTTCCTTTTCCGCGGCCGCGTTCTCGCCTACCTACATATATAATGTAATTATCCGCTATGGCGCGGCATACTACAGGGAAAAACTACCGTCACAGAGGTACTCGAGGGAAGCTAAAGTGGGGGTAATGCTCGAGATGGGGGCTGATAACACTTTCACCCGTCTTGGCGTCTGCGCAAGGATATGCGGAGGTATTATACACTGTACGTATATCTACTTAGGTAGGCAAGATGTTTTCGGTATAGTTCCAAGGTCAATACTTCGAAAGTTTTAAAGCCACTGTTGTAGCGGTTGGCGGGATATAGAGGGGTTCTAGGCTAAATTAACCAGAATTCCCGTAAAAGTATCGACGCAACCGACCAAACATAGGTACTAAAATATTAGCTATAGTATATCGTGCTTGCGTACTCCGTGTAATTACGTACTTCTTAATACGGAGTACTTCGTATGGTACTTAGCCCGGACGGCCGCTGCCGTGAAGCGCCCCAGACATGTCCCAGACATATGCCCAATCAACGGGCTCAGCACTTTCTAGGCGGCATTATTTCTGTCAACTCCCCGCCCGAGATTCGGGGGCCCTGCTTTTTGTGGAAGACGCAATGGCCAGGAGGGATCCTCGTTATCCAACCGCAGGTGCAGTCAACGAACGGCCCGTTCAAATGCCCACTTTACGCACACCGGCCTACGGCAACCTGCCCTACTACCACCTAAGAGGTAGGGACTTGAGGTAAGGAGGGTTGTTGGAGGGTGAGAAGGATGTCCCTGTTTGTTTCCGGGCCCACGCCATCTCAAATACAACCAAAGAAAGATCACTGCAAAGTGTCGATGCCAGGTCATCATCCGGATCATCCGCATCATCTCGTTGGCATACCAGGAGAGCCGGCTCGGTCCGTGAACAGATATCATGCCAGCCTGCCTATCTGTTTCTTTGTGCCGATAGCCTGGTTTCTCGCTCGATTCTCAACTTCACCAACCTCACCCATTCTCGACGGTCCCATCCTTTCTCTCGATTCCAATTCCCGACCCTAGGTATATCGTGCCCCATTGTTGGGACTTGGGTTCTTCGAATCGGGAAGACCTTCCCCACGCTACATATATCACAATATTACTTGCATCCTTTTGTTCTCGTCGCCGGTGAGTTACGGCTGGTTCCTGAGTCCCGGTACTTGCGAAGGCAACACACGAACCCACCCTCATCTTCCCTCCTCGTGCAACGTCAGGGCAGGCAAGGGGGAGAGAAAATGCGGGTGTCCCGGGAGAAGAAGGAAGATTGAACGGAGAGAAAAGGAAGGTAGAAGGGATGACCCCGGGGTGGGGGGGGGGGGAAATGGTGCTGTCTCTCCTGGCATTTTAGACCAGCAAGGCGCAAGGCGCAAGGCGGCACCCTTTCTCATTCCTTCCCTTTTGTTTCCCTCTCTTCACTTTCTCTACATCGTCTGCACAAAGATCCCAGTCGGTCGGCGCTTAGACATTTTTCCGTACGTTTGTACCTACGGAGTAGTGCACCGTTGGTCGTTGGTCGTTGGTTGGTACGAAGTACGTACGACATCGTACACGGTGCACGGCAGTCGCACCCCCCTTTCTCTTTCCCCCTGCTCCGACCGCCTTCCCCCTTCCCCCTTCCCCCCAAACGAAACCCTCGCTGTTGGCCACTGTTCCGTCGTCTTACCTGCTGCCTCCTTCATCCCAATCCCCTGGTCCAGCCCTGCTTCTGTCGCTTCGTTTTCTTTTCTCCCTCTCCATACAGACCTATCATTCAATCTCTTGCCGACACCTACCGACACTCCCACTATCAAGTGCCGTTCGTCCACAAACAAACATATTGTGTGCGGTTCTCTCCTGACTCGCCTACAGGTTTCCGACCACCTGGTGCTCGGCCAGGTCATGGGCTGCTCCCGCTCCAATGCTTGCGCCACCGCGGAAACGTCTGAAATTCACTCATACTCATTCACCTCCTCCTAACCGTCTCTTTCCTCCTTCACCCTCCTCACCACCTCCTCCTGCTCTACCCACTTCTAGCCCCGGTCTCATACCATCTGAGTACTGGCTCTTTCACCCGGGCTTCGGCTCCGAGCCATGCTTCTCTTCCGAACTTCGTCTTGGCTTCGACCTCAAAGTGGGACTGCTCCCTGCTTCGCAATCTTCAACATCGGTTTCATTCTCCAGGGATCCTGCTAGTTCTGTGTCCTCCTCTCTCGTCGACCTACGCCAATTCTCCGATCAAGTTAGCCGTTCAGATCCGTCCCACTTGAGCTCGGGCCCCGCGCACCCGTCCGTGCTGACTTGGCCCGATGGGCGTCAGGCTCTATTGCCTCGCCTTGTCGCGGGTAGGTGTTCTTCACAAGCTGCCGTGCCGCCAGCCCGTCAAGTCTGGGGGGAAAGCACGTCGACTACCAAGGGAATAATAGGGGCTGATCTACCTCCAGAGCGGCCTGCCGCGCTGTCTCCTGATAATACTTCTTGGTGCTTGAAATCCCGTCCACTGCCATACGCCGTACCCTCGGGTTCTCCGGACAAGACGTGGACCCTTGTCCACAAGAGACCGCACCCCACTACCATTGACGATGACATTCTTATCGAGCCTGTCCTTCCCAAGAAGGAGAAGTTGAAAGCCTTCTTGGGCGTGATGAACCCCTTCTTAGATAACGCCAAGGACAGGATTCGCCGGCTCGGGCCGCCTCCGCCACTCCACAACCTTGAGGTGAACGGCTATATCAAGTTTCGATTACGGACTCCCCGGTGCTCGGATCAGCCCCAACCACAAGGTCGGTCCCAGAGCGTTGACTTTTCTGCTTCGAACAATATGTTCATCGCTTCCGTGAGCCGCAAGGCTCTTGGGCCTCCTACTCCGTCATCTTCATCATCGCCCTCCTTGACTGTCTCATATTCCCCTAAAGCTCCGCAGCCGCACGTGCCAACGGCACCCGAAGCAAATGTTGAGCGGCCTCCCCCAGACTTCGGTTGGCAATCAAAATTGAATAAAATGGAGCGGTATCTTGTTGATTTCTGTGAGTACCCATGTTACTTTGTACGATCTGTTTTGTGTCGTCTTGCTAGGCTGACATTGATACGTGGTTCCCAAGACCTCTCGGCCTGGTGTGCAGGAAGGGCTATCCTGTCCTCGACAAATTGCTGGATTCAAGATATAGCGCAGATGGGCGACGGTAATGCATGTGTCCGCCACGCCATTCTAGCTCTGTCAAGCACATACGTCCTCGACTACAAACCCGACGAGAAAATCCGGCAGGCGTCGAATGCGTACTACGAGAGAGCCGTTACCCTACTCACCGATGCGCTGAAGGACGAACGGGAACTCCGGCCTGGCGGCAGCGAGGGCACCGTGGCAGCCATAGCTCTCCTGAATATGATGGACGTTGTTTCGCCCGAGCATCGCCGATCCAAGAACCTACTCCCCCGCTGGCTGGAAGGAGCGCGCATGGCATGTAGGCTGCTGGACGCGACGGATCCCGGCCATCGTTACTGGAATGCGGAAAACATTCAAACTTCGCACGCATGGGTGGCCAACACGATTATCTCGAGCCGAGCTGCCATTCTAGCCCTGCCTATGGCGCCTCTTGATCCAGCCAACACGGGCGGCCAGCAATTCCAATGGCTCCTGTCGCACGGCAACGAGGCAGAGGCGCGGAGGATACATGGCGCCTGCGGCTTCTCCCCAAGGCTCCTGCACCGAATAGCCCAAGTCACACACTTGGCCGCGCTGCTAGAAGAAGATCCAGATTCTGTCACCATCCCAGAAGTAGCCACCGCAATTTTAAAGGAACTGCACAATCTCCGCCAGTGGTCTGAAATCAACCCTCGGGGTCACGATTCGACGGATGCACTCCTAGCCCATTGCGACAAGCGGCTGGGCCCTTCCGGCGTTGTGGTAGACAGAGCGAGCATGGCCGATCTCACAGCTGAGGCATGGCGACTAGCAGCCATCATATACTCTCTATGTCGTCTGTACAGACTTCCTCGGAGCCATGATGAAGTCATTGTCCACATGGCGAAGCTAGCAGCTTGCATCAACCGGACGCCGACATCTGGGTCACTGTTTACTGCCCAGGCTCCATTTTTCCCAGTCTTCCTCTTAGGCCTCCTCGCCGTGAAGGAGGACCATGTTCAGAGCGCGATGCGGTGGTTCGAATCTGTGATGCAAACGTATTGTCGATCGGTATGTGTATCCCTAAGAGGCCCAGCTGCCAATTACCAAGCGCGGCCGATGCTCACTACTAACATTGGTCAGAGTGTTCCACCTGTCTACGAAGCCCTTAGACGGGCTCGGAAACTGTTGCCTGATCATCTTGGCAATCCCACTACCGACCTCCCCGATCATATCGGACACCGTTATGCATGGTGGGAGACACTCGTAGCAGAAGTCACAAGGAACGAAGGCATACTCTGCTTGGTTTAAATGATGTATAATTATTGGTGAGCTTGAACCACGGTTGTTTGGTGCCACACCTTCATCGCGCTCTATAGGAAAAACTAGGTAGCTAATAACTCAATGTCACCAGCTAGTCAACTGGATCAGATTCTTCGGCAGGAAAGTCGAGTACCACTACATCCAACAAATCGCACTGTCGCCATCATTGGGAGATCCCTCTCGGCCCTTCTTGAGTTGGACAAGGTATTGGCCTATCCAACATTAGCACTCGTTTGAACCCGTAAAAAGGCAATGGAGAGCAGACAGAACGGACGACTTACGCATCTCTGAGTCCGGTGCGTGCCAGGACTTGATGACGGACAGACCGGCCTCCTCGCACATTTTCAGGACGTCTTCCTCGTCATGCTTGTGTGAATCAAACCACTCAAATTCGAATCCCTTCGGAAGCGTCTTATCGCCAATGGCGACATCCTTGTTGGCCTTGAAGAAGAATCGATGGCGACCTTCGTGGTCCTCCAGCTCCGCACAGCACTCCCAGTCCTCGTCGCGAAGGTACTCCTCACCGAGAAGTTCGTTGGCATAAGCAAATCCGTTGGACCAGAACTTGGCATAGAGGTCAGGATGAGCATGGTAGGCCGCCCAAATCTTCTCCCTGTGGTTCTGGATCGTATGTCCGTCCATGCCAGCAAGGATCAGATCTTGGGGCCGCATGAGGCTTGCCCAGCGCTTGAGGTTGGCAACGGCAGTGTCCCAGGAGTCGTTGAAGAGGACCGAACCGAGAGAAAGGAAGAGACGGGGAATGGCGGGATCCAGGTCGGCAACCCAGGACAGGCCACGGTTGAAGTCGCCCCAGAGGCCAGCACAGGTGACATTCTTGTGCATGGGGGTTAGCATGTCAATGTTTGTCTTTAGCGACACACGGGAGATGTCCAGTGCGAGATAGGTGGAAGAAGAGCGTCGCTTTTCGAGCACAGCCAACAGATTTTCCACCTTCCGCAGATCACTATCATTCGGGGTATTTCAAGTCAGCAAGCCATCATTCATTCACTGGTTATTCTTTCATAGACTTGTGTTGCTAGTGCTGTAATAGTACTTCCTTTAAGGTGTTTGGGTAAAGGGGAAATGAAAGTACCCAAGAAAAAAAGGGGCATAACGTGAAAGAATGGTCAACATACCCGGCTCCAAGGTCGACCATGGTGACGCCTTGGGGAATGTAGTCTGAGATCTCGGTGCTGTTGCGTGCAAGGATAGCAATCTCATCAGCAGTTTGGTAGAACTCCGGCGTGAAGATGATCTCGGCCCAGATGGCAAGACCCTTGTCGTTGTAGAGAAGTTCATCGGGCATGACAGGGGTGGTGCCCGGGGCATGGCTGTCAAGGAGAACGGCGAGGAGGCGGTCACGGACACTGGTAGACATGTCGCTACCGCCAATGTCTAGAACAGTGCCATGAGCAGGGATATTGCTATAGATGGGAGTCATGATGATAGATGGCTCGTGTCTATGGTGTGGATCAGAGTTATGGGTTGATTTGAGGAGGTTGAGCTTGGACGAGCCCAGCAGTTTGTGTTTGTTGCAGTAGGGGAGAAGAGGTAAGGAGAGGTGTTGAGATGTCTGAGGATGAATTGCACTCATGCTGTAGAACCGGCAGAAGATCTTGACTTTATATCTTGAGTTCTTGGACTCAATGACTGATAGAGAGGAGGAGGTTAGTGAATTGCGTTGCTTCCAGGGAAAGGTCAATAACGGGGGTTCTTGCCGAATCACCTCTCATGTGCCTTCCCAACGCCATTGTTAGGGGATAGGAGGTGAATCACAGTTTGCATATGGCACTTCGAGTACCTACTAAGAACCAACCCCTCGGTTCCTTACATCTCCGCCCGCTCAAAGCCGAATCATGCGGAAGTTTGTAATGTAGGCCTGTTGAAGCTAAGGCAGACTGATTAGGCCTCGTTGCTCATCATGGTCATTCACCGACTCTCCCTCCCAACGCCTTTATTCTCTTTCCATATGTTATATCCATGAGGCCCCAGTCGAAGGAATGCACCAACTTGTCTATGATTGTTGGTGATCTGAACTACTCCATGTCCATCATAGCCTATCTAAAGCCGTCACCTCTCGGCATCTTCTGATAGTGACAGTTGGGGAGCCTCTCTCTTCTGGTCTCATACCCGCAGTATGATGAGCCAAGAAGGCAAAAGGGGGAGGGATCGCCGGGCGGACTATCACACAATCTGTATTGCATAGAATGTGACCACTGCGACAAAAAAGAAAAAGAAAAAGAAAAAAGAAATCCCTACTTGACGTAGATGTTCTAGCGGCTGATCATAATGTGGTAATAGGAAAATAGGAACATAGGACGTTGAATTTTCCCGGTCTTGACCGCTTAGAAGCAGTCCGCCGCCGGACCTCGCTTAGCTTCCCCGCGGCCTTTCCAGAGTTCTATGCCGCCTACGTCGTCTATACGGCCTATGGGGGGGGGCGATAAAGAACCCGGCGTTGAGGACTATGCGCTGCAGGCCGCCCCAACATATCACATACCAGCCCTCCCTCCGTCCCAACGTGCTAACTTGCTGCCGAAAACCTCCCTGCTATAACTGGCCGGCCGTCCAACCCCTGCTACACCCTACTGGTTCCAGAAACCCGGAACCAAGGGAAAGGGGAAAGACGCGGCAGACGCAGAAAGTCCCAATGGGGGTGATAAGATGGAGAAAACGACACAAACGACACATGATAGAACAAGGGGCGGCACGGAGAGTGCGGGCCGCACGCTCTGGGAGCCGCAAGGTCGGTTATGTTGAGATACATAGATATTCCGGTTAAACGAACGGACGAACGGACGAACGGACGGGCCGCCCCGCTGGGAAAGCCTTGTGCGGGGCCAGAAGAGGTGTATCTTGCGAATGACTGACATGTCAAGAGCCAACGAAGCATGGAGGAAGACGACAATTGTCCACTGGGTAACGGTGTTGGACGTCACTGCCGAGTCAGGTGATGCCGATGTCTAGTAGGTAACAGGGAATCGGGGTTGAAAATACCGGCATGGTAACACCCGAGTGGCTTCATGGCTTGTTGGACCAGATCCCTGGGATGGTAAGCGGCGTGGGCGGCGGTCTGGACAGTTTTCTGATGGCGGGGATTCGAGGGCTTAAATGGGCCTCGAGCAAGGGATAACCATAACGAAAGGATGCGTATCCGCAGGGAAATCGGATCCCGACGCCTCTTCGTGTAGGACCTTGCTTTGGGAGGGGACAAAGCCACAGGTTTACTTTCGTTTTAGGGATTTACTTCGGCGCATGATGCCCTTGCATACTTGCAGCTTCATGTGACTTCCACATCTCTCGAGAGCAACTGTGTGTTAGCTATTTGCCAGCCGGTTGGGAGAGATCATCCTCGAGTCCCAAAATCTGTCAGAAATGGCGGCAAACAATATTTCTTCACATTCCATGAGGCTTTGTTGGTCCAATGTTTGTTGGTGATAAAGACACATCAGCGGCAGATGTGTATGTAGGCGGCACCACCAACATAACAACCGGGAAGCTCCAATGGGACCTGGCGGTCAGTTCTGCAGACGCTCGCACTAATGGGAACCGACATTCTCCACAGACCACCTGCAAGCGCAAAATGACGCCAAGACTGGCGCCATAGCCGATGTATCGTGGTGGGTGTCTCCAACCAGGCCTGACTGCTTCCTGGGCGAGTAATGAAAACACACTTCTAATGGTATAGAAGGCCGATGGCCGGCAGGCTTGTTAGTAGGCGAAGAAAAGCAAGTAAGCAAGCACGGTAGTAGGGATTAATATGCATTGTCCTCTGAAGAATCCGGGAGTTGGCCGGTTGAAGGTTCCTACCCGGCTCAGCCTCAGCCTCAGCCTCAGCCTTAGCCATAACTATAGCCACAGGCCCCGCCTCATCCAGCCAGGAGCAGAGGAGCGGCCTGTTTGTGCGACCGCCGGTGCCTGTGGAATCGCGATTTCCTGGAGCGATGAACCGCAGTTTCGGATACACCTTTGCGTGCCGGCCCCAGCATTTGACGTAGCAGGTTGATGTTTCGTAGGCTCTGGAAGTCTCGCTAGCACTTACATCATCTTCGCCGCTTACAGGTCTGCGTTGATGACACGGGAATACGAAGTATTTCACCTTCGTAGCTAGGTGCTCTCAAGGCATGAGATACGAACGAACGACTGACTTCAAGAGGGACAAGACCAGGCCAGGACCATGCCGTTTGTCCGTGTCCTCCGTCGTGGGCTGGCCATCTGAGAGTTCATCAATCGGGTATCCTTGAGCAGGCTCCATTCCGCCAGTATCCCGCGTTCACGTTAATCTAGGCATGTACATTGAGGAAGTACGCACTAATGCTCAGCTGCTACTGTTACACTAGCGTCTGTGCTGGTTATTTCCCGTTGATCTTCACCCGGGCGATCAGGAAAGGTGGCGGCGCTTGGGGAAATGATGTTTTGGATCTTGACTTGGGTAGGGGCATTTTTTTCTCCTGGCGAAGTGGAAAATAGTGGTCTGAGCGCGCAAGTGATTTCCGAGTGATTTCCCTCGTGGCTGCCACATGACGAGGCGCCAAGGCTGAATAAGCCACTTAATCTCAGATCCTCAGCATCATCTCCCCTTAGGGGCTTTGACGAACGAACACACGTTTGTGCCGAAGGTTCCAGCAACTTTATCAATTCCCGGTTGGCAGCACTAATCTTTGGATATACTAAATGGCATTCTTCCCGTCGGTTCAGGCACCGTGTTGTTCTCACAATCGAGGTTGGCTTGGGAGCCGAGCCCATGCAGATGAAGGCCACCGACGTGATCGCTCGGTGTCTAAGGTAAGTTAGGATCGACTAACCTGATAAATCGTTCGTAGGTAGTGTTTTATACCTCCCAAGTAGTATTTCAGTCGGAAAACCTGCCTTGGTGACGCATTTAATTATTGACATTTTATGAAGATTCAATGATTGTGGTTGCTTTGTACGGGGTAGCTGAAGGCGCCCCTGTCGCCCAGGATATTGCGAAGAATAAGATTCGTCGAGATTCGAGTTCCCGTGTTGGACCGAGAAACCATCGGAATACAAAACAGACAAATGTTCTTCGGCAGATCCTGACTGTCTGGCCATTTCAGACTTCATATGAAGTTGAGGCGGTATGTGCGGATGCGAAGCTTTCGTACACGTCATTATAGGTACTTCGTAGTCTCCGACTACCTCCTAACAATTATCCGCTGAGATGCCGCTTTCTCGTCGATCATAGGTGGCAAGATCTGGCAGGTTCAGAGCTAACGCATTTAGGTAGCCCCATCCATAAGGTGCCGCCTTATCAGTATTAGATTCATGGATGTTAACTGTCCTGAAACGTGATACTTGACAGGTCTGTAAACTCGTACTCCGTGTGCTTAAACGGAAAAGAGACCGAGACTCGCTTTGCGGGACAGTGCCGGCGACTCCGAGAGGTCGTTACGATGGTGGATTTCGGGTATTGTTCCGAGCCAAGGGAAGGGTGCAATCCAAGCTGTTCTGCAAAGGTAAGACCAGTGTCTTTACTACCTTACGGAGTAGCCCACAACGGACGTGGTGGAGCCGTTCTGCTGAACGCCTATTCGTACTTCGAATTAAAGGCGGGATTTTCTGATATGGGGTAGGTTCCGATGGTTGCGGCAGTGTGTACCTACCTAAGGTAGGTGGTTTGAGCATGAAGTAGTTATTCTAGTCTTAAATTAGTCTCAGGTAGGTAGCCATTCCCCCACGTCCCGCGGCCTGGCATTTCTAGTTCAGTAGGTGGCTTGGTTCACGAGTCCGAACTGGCTATCATCCTTCATAATTATGGTAGTCAAGCCGTAATCCAATCATTTCGACCAACCTGTTGACATGGCATAAACCACTCGACTTCGGAAACACCATGCCTGAGGTAGAGCACGCGGTTCAATCTACGATGACGGAGCTGCCCTGGTCTTTATTTATGAATACCTAGGTACGAAAGGAGCACGAGCCCCTGAAGCCGGTGACCCGCACGCATCCCTGCCATTTCTCCTGCATGGACTCCTTCTAGCGTCATTCCGGAAACCTGTCGAGTGGGCTAGCCTCATTTCCGTGCTTCATGCATGGCCCACTGCGCTGGCTTTGAGCTCCACAGGCTTCGTAGGGAGCAACCAAACCCAACGATAACCCTACCTAGACGACGATATCTGACTCTACGACCCCATGCATCATTGCGGCTCTGGCCAAAAAGTCATCATGCTTTTGGGAGAGATTAAAGAAGATCATGTGCCTACGGAGCGACCCCCTGAGTGAATTGAAGTTAATTACAGTACACTCCCAAAGTGGCCTGCCAGAACCATTTATGCACACGGGCAAGACGCTGGGGTTTTGAAACCACTGTGGACAGTCCTCGAACGCAGAAGGTGCGATGAAGTATGAGTTATATTACTGGATGTTTTCGTTCTCTCTTGGCCGGTCTTGCAGTGGCAGTGGACTCATGTACGAAGGATCTTACATACAACGTAGCGTGTGACGTGCTCCTGTCCAATTTATGCACTTAAATATATATATATATATATATATATATGAATACGTATATACTCCGCAGGAATGTTCGATCGCGGGAAATATCCTTACCCGCTACCGCTACCGTACGTGTATAACGGCTCTGGGTGCACGGTTGCACTGGTGCACAGGACGTTGAAGGCTGATTCCATACGGCGTACATACTTACCTACGTCGTATTCAGTCAAGTAATTACCTTACCTATTAACGTACCACCCTTTCTAACACTAGAAGGCAGCCCATAGTGCTTCGTTTTTTCGGTCAGTTTCTAAGGAAACGATTGGATTGTGATTCGATATTGAATTTGGTGCAATGCTGCACAAGTTAGAATTTACTGAGAATATTATGGTGATCTTGCCGTAGCTTCAAGCTAATAGGGTCGTTACATTGGTAGGTCGAGCAGGGGTGGTACATTCGACCAGATACGTTGGAAATGAGGCGACGTCTGTATCCGCACTCCCTAAGGTACCCATATCCCCGCCAACTATTTCGTTCCTCCCGAGTGGTTAAGGTATTTATAAGCTGAGTGAGGACGGAGGAAGGTTGAGTAGTCACCCTGCCATTAGTTGCGTAAAGAACTTCGAGAATCGAAAGATGTGCGCAAAAGCAGAGTTATCCGCGGACGCTTATCTAGAGATGCTAAAGGCGGCCTTGAAAACGAAGAAAAACAGACGGAACGCATGCCGGCAAATAGGAAGACTACCTAGGTATGCGAAGATAGAAGATGGGAGATGGCGTGCGAGAAGCTACTTGGTACATTGATTTGAGTACCCCCTTTTACTCCCAGGCCACAATCATGACATGCCCTTACGCGCGTACTCAATGCAGCCCGAAGATTGAGTGGCTTATTCAATAAGAATAGAGATTCTCATTGCCTCGCCTGCTCAAGTCGCAGAAAATTCTAGAACAAAACTTGCAAGGGATCCACGCGGATATCTGTTCAAGTTCGTCAGGGGAAACGGATGGGAGAGAAGACAAAAAGTCCAGATGTTCATGTTATGAGAGCTGCAATGGGGACGACCTTATACCTGTATCACATTCCTAGATTGCAAATCTCATATCTCAAAGTTCTGGAAGCAGCTCCTCTTGGCTAACAGAAGTGATAGACTGACCGACTCTAATCAGTGCTCTTCTTCAGTGCTGGTCGTTCAGAAGAAGTTGTGCACGGTAGACACCGTACTATCGGGTCGGCAGGTTGAGTTATGTACAAGTAGCCCCGCCGCACCTCCCCCGCCGGCTGGGGGGGGGGCGGTTGGCCCTGACCATGCTTGCCAGTTTGTCGATCATTCTTAAGTACCAGTACTCACCCTAAATACACTGTATCATACTGTGTAACCTATGACCCCTGGACCGACTCCATGTCGGCTTGGCGCCTGAAAAACATGAGAAATATGGTACATATGTATTCTAAAATGTATTGTATTTCCACAACCAATATCTTTAGTACACCAGGTTTTATAGAGACTTTCGAGAGACCTGATGTTGTGCTTCATCTACACGTAACTGGGAATAAGGGGTCTGGGAGCAGTAGGGAAAGGTTATGGATACGGACCATTTCGTATGTACCTGACTACCCAAGTTTGCAAGTTCGTTTCAACTTTTGAGTCCAGAAGATGCCCCCCGGTTTCCCAAGATAGTAACAAATATGGGCAACGTCCCTGTGCGCAACAAGCCATGCTTAAGGTACCTTAGGTACAACGTATTGATGGGAAGGGCAAGTACTTACCTTACCTTCTACCTTACCTAGGTAGGTAGGTAGTGTATATCGTACATATACGAAGTACTGCCGCATTACTTCGTACATCGTACAGGATAAACATAAGGTAGCTGGTGTCTTGGTAGATTTATGCTGCAGATTGGTTGATCGGGAAGTCTCTCATTTTATCTCATTTTATTCTGTATCACCCAGTAAAGTACCAGGACACCACATTTCTCGCACAGGACCAGCACCCAAACGGTGAAAGCCCATCCCGGAAGGCCCCCTCTTCATAATCTGATCCTCAGTTTATATACCAACGCATCCTCCCGTCCCCGTGTCCAAATCGCAGGGTTCTCATGCTGTCTCCTGTTTGCCGCCTCGACCACCTTCGGAACCACCTTCGGAACCACCTCTCGGCAGTTTAGTGCTTCCTTCCATACCTTCATTGACACCATCCCACAGACGGCCAACTACGGGCATTTCATGAACACCGCCTACGTTATCTCGGCCCTAACTTGACAATCGAGGAAAGATTTCCACCAAATTTGGTCCACAGACCATCAGCCGATCGTCCACGTCGTGTGTCTTCCGTGATACGATTCGGTCACGCTGGTCTCTAAATTCGGCATTCTCTACTACGAACATCCACTGGGCGTTCAGCAGCTGGAGCTCCCGACATTTACTTTTTTCTATAAGGTAAGTTGTGTCGAAATCTGTGTTCACTGATCCGCTTACTTGTTCGCTCCCCTTCAATCCAAGTCACGAGCTTGTTATACCTCAAAACTCCCTCATCCAGACACCTTATATCCATACCCACTGTCGTCAGGAAGGCTTTCTTTGATCGTGACATGTCATGGAAGGGAGGGCCTCTTCTCGCATGATCATCTTTGCATCGCGTACAGAGGTCGTGTTTGTACCCATCAGGAGTCCATGTCCCGGCAGTCGCGTTTTGCCTTCCCCACACCACACTTTTTGGCACATTCCTATTGGCTATAATATCCTTCATCCCTGTCGTTTCCACACCTCATTTGGTACCGGTTTTTTTTTCTCGGGGTCCTTCCTCCTCCTTTTGAGTAAGGTACCAGCTCCCTCCTTTATCAAACTTTCCCTACGGCCCCATAATTCAGAATTCCTTTCTGCCCAACCCAACAGTGAGTGACCTGTTCACCCTGAAGGATTCTTGGTCTGTGCTTCCGCCAGGCTGCTTGATACCTCGCCTTTTCCTTTCCCCAAAGAAACTTCCCATCACCATCTCCCAATTGTGCATCAAACTTGACCACCCGCCTCGATTAAGGCATCTCATCGGTGTCTCTGTGCCTTGGATGCAGATATCTGCCGATCTCATCATCACCTAATCTAATTTTCTTCTTCTTTTTATTTTTTCCTTTTCATCAAAAGCCGTTATCTCATTGTTTCCATACACTGACGCGCCCTCCTTGCAGGGGATTTTACCCTGAATAATCACCCGGTTTTCTTTCAGAGCACCTTGGTCGTCTCCTAGCAACTCGATCTAATCCTCGGGGCCTACGCTTTACTCCACCTTCAGCTCGAGAGCTCGAGCACACTACGAGACAGGCGATCAACTACCGAGAGCAACAAGCAACGCGGGTCTTCGATTGTCGTGGGTCTTTCAGAGCGAGCCGTTGCTTTGTTACTCTTGCAGTAGTAACGAGGCTCGGTACTCTTCATCACCAAACACACAACGCGACTCGGTAAATTTATATAAAAAAATCGGTCAGCCGACACTATACTCGTCCTTCGACTCGTCCTCCGGCTCTATTTCACTTTTCACAACTCCCCATCGTATACTCTCGCGGGTTTTCGCTACCACCCGCAAACTGTATTTGCGGTCAACCATTCTCGGGACCGCGTCTCCCACCCCAAGCCCCAATACATATTCGTATTGGTCATCTCCTTGAACCGAACTCCACTTCGACTTTTGAGCCTCGACCTCACGGACTGGTTCTTTGACAGCGTAGCCTGGTGCGCGCCGTGTCTTTACTCAGAGCTCACTTTTAGCGTTAGGCTCTGAGGGCACAGTCACTGTAAGCACATCCCTGGATAGCATATTTTTCATCTATTTGCCCCTCTTATCTTCTCGCGTCTGTGGATCGTCCTCGTCCTCTTGTCTTCCTGTACCTCTTTTTCCATTCTACCTCGTCACATGCTGCCTGTCTCTCACTTCCCATGTTAACATGGCTGACGCAGCTAGGCAGCTCTCGAGTTCTCCCAATAGTCGTCCTCCTCCACTAGATCGCATTTTTTCGAGCCTGCAAAAGCTCCCTGGGTCTATCACATCGAGCCTCATGGACATTGGGAATATCATGGATCAAAACAATATGGCAGCTATGCAGCAACCACATCATGGCTCGGGAGCCACGTCCGATCGCCAAATGCCACAACTTCCCCAGCTCACTGCGAGGAATTTGCCGGAACCTCCCATGGACCGTGCTGGTTCTCCACATGGCTCCGAGCATTCTCGTTACTCGGCTCCTCGTTCGACCCTTGACGGCATGCACAGGTATCCTTCTCCCAGCCCCATGCACGGTCCGCCGATGACAATGCCCATGCCTGGCCACGGACAGCAGCAACACATCGCACCCCCGGCCATCACCATGATTCTTCCTGGGGCACCCCACGACATGGCCATGCCCAAGACTTCATCTGCCCCCCAGGCCCAGGTCAAGGCCTTCCCGTGCAGTACTTGCGGCAAGCGATTTGCCCGAAGGAGTGACCTCGCCCGTCATGGTAAGTTTTTGTTGCTCCGGACAATACGGCACGGTTTTCTGACTTTGGATAGAACGCATCCACAGTGGCATTCGACCCCATGTTTGCGACTTCCCTCAGTGCGGCAAGCAGTTCATTCAGCGATCTGCCCTGACTGTGCACCAGCGTGTCCACACGGGAGAGAAGCCGCACATGTGCGAGCGTTGCGGGAAGGTAAGGGCGAAGTCTGAGGGTGATGGTCGTTTTTTAATGCATAATAGGCTAACAAATATGCAGCCGTTTAGTGACAGCAGCTCCCTCGCCCGCCATCGTCGCATCCATTCGGGAAAGCGACCGTACAAGTGCCCATATGCCGATTGTCAGAAGACATTCACACGCCGTACAACCTTGACGCGGCATCAGAACCATCATACCGGGACCGTGGAAGAAGCAGCGGCAGCAACGGCGGCGGTTTTGGCTGCGCGCACCAGCGCAAAGCCAGGCTCGGTGCGCTCTGATGGAGAAGGCATATCCAACCACGGATCACCGCTGACGACGCCTTCGCCCGGTCAGCGGACTCTCTCCATGTCCCCTAGTGCCGATCAGATGCAGCGGAACAATGCGGAGTTCCAGTACATGGGCAATGCCTCCCTCCCTGTTCACATGCAACGCGACATGCACGTGGGAAGCCCCGTGCCCACGACCTCGGCAGCATACAGCAACGGAATCCGACCTACCTCGCATCCCACTGGGTATGGCATGATCCCGCCGCAAACCTTGGAGCCGAGTGTGGAGCAGCACTCGGGTGCAGGAAGTGCCGGTGGAAGCCCAGCTATGGGAAGCATGGGCTGGCAGTCTCCTTCTCACGTGGCTTCGCCCTCGCACAGCGGCAACGGCAACGGCTACATGTACCCGGAACCCGAGAGCTATCCCTCGGGTCCGACCCTGAGCGGCCAGATGTTCTACGGCAACCCTGCTCCAGTCCGTCGGCCGCAGAGCACGGAACCCCCGACCGGGTATGACGTTAAGCCGCGTCACAACGAGGTGTGGACGAGTGCCCATTAGTAGTCTGCGCATCTGCCAGGCGCAGCAGGTTAATTTTGTTTTAAAAAAGGCCCAGTTGTACAAGACGGGCCAGACCAAAGAAGCCAACTGGACTGATTTCTGAACCACCCAGTTACCCATCAGCAGATACCCCTGATCTGTACTCATACTCCACTCAAGCCTGGCCCCCAAAATCCTTATGTGAGGTGGAGGCCTCGTTTTGTCGGGTTTTTTTTTGGAGCACATACCCTTTCTGTATTTCCATGATGCTGTCACCGAATGGGTTCGACTTGCTCTTGCTTTTGGGCTTTGATTCCATAAGATACGACTTTCATAATACCTGGGCAAGTGGGGAATCTGGCATTGGACCACGACCCTGCCATCTCTTTCTTTGCAGCAACACGATACCACCCTGGTCACAGTGCCAGAATCACGTTTCTTTGCTTTGTTTGCGTCTGTTTCCTTTGTTTTCTGGCAACGTTATAGACTTGGGGGAAGGCCCCGACGGAACTGTGATGATCACTGGTCTTCTCCATAGCCCGAGGCAACGGGCGAGGACCATGGAGTTTTCGAGATTTCTCGCCGAAACCCAAACCAAAAACAGTTATGGTGGACACCGATCAGGGTCCGCGAGGAACAGGAAAGGGACAAAAAATACAGGACAGGTCTCCAGAGACTATACGTGTGCCACTTCTTTTCTTTCCTGTAGCTGTATCATTAGAGATGTACGGAGCTGCTTACTACTTTTTAATTGTCAATTATTTAAGACGTGTATGCATGTCATGAAGTTTCAGGCATGTTCGGAGCACCTTTGCATATTCCTCGAACAAAAGACATCGTATACTACTCCAACCAAACAACACTGGATAATCTGGCATTTGATGGTTCTTCTAGGACACCGTTTCCTGTGTATCTACGTATGCGTACGAATATTGTTTCGTATGACAAGACACCGGCATGTTAGTTTGGATCTCTGGTAAATCCCGTTCCCTAGGTCTTTGCGGGTCTACCGATGCACGAGCGGATCGTGGTTACCGTTCATATGTTAAGATCTGATGCCGTTTTTAGGTGGCGGTGGTGGAGAGGATGATGGAGGGATCCTTTTGGCAAGTTAATAGGGGAGGTGGCAGCTCCATTGCCCGGTGCTTCCGCATAAGTTAAATTCTTGGGTTACTATCTGTAACTCTGGTAGACCTATTCTCGTTCCGTTCGACCTTCCCCTACACTACCTAGCAAGCAGGGTGTGTGTATAGAATAGAGCATAGGCATGTGTGTATATATAGAGCTTCAAAGGTAAATAGGCACTCTCAAGATAGCTACACCGAGAGTCCACGGAGAGAGAAGCCATGCATAGGTGTAGAATGCAGTAATAAGAATTCCTGAGAATAGTCATGGTGATTTTATTTTGTCTATACCGGTGTGTTCCTCTCTAGTATACCAGAATCCCGACGTGCTGAGACACCAATCCAGCAATCCCACACCCGGGAACAGATTCTCAGTTCCTTGCCCTGCCATAACGCCGTGCTTCACAAGGGGGGAAAAAAGTAAGAAATAGAAGAAAAAGAAGAAACCCCCAGGAAATCGCCGCGTCCTAGCCCATGTCCCCTTGAGTCAAGCCTCATTTCTTTACATGGCTGAAATCCTTAAGCAGGTGTTGCATGTGCACGTTCGTGGTCATAGCCGAACGACGAGAGGCACGTTTCTTTATCCTCTTCGTCGAGTCCATCTTTTTGATAGTGCTAGGGTCGGCACTGGCTGGCTTTTGGCCCGCTGCAATGAGCTTCTTGACAATATCCTCGCTACTGGGCAGAGTCACCCGCCGCCACATGCTCTGGAATTCGGGCTCAACCTTGTGGTGGAGGCTCGGGTCGTCGATGAAGATGTGTTTAGGGCCCTTCTTCTCCCGGAGAATCATGATCTTGTTCTCGCGCTCCAATTCATGAAGCGCAGCATCACACTGCGGCCACCCTTCCTTGAGCTCTTTGTATACCAGAGGCTCCATGGTCGATTTGCTCTGAAGGTGGGCCAGGAGGCTGACTTTGTCTTTGATACCGCCGAGCTTGCCGAGGTAGAAATAGGTGCCCGAGTCCCATTTTTGCTCGCTGAGTTGAGGATCCGGTGTGAACTTGACGACTTTCTGGGATCGCAGGGCATCCACGATCCTTTGGCACATGGAGGTGCTCGGGTCTCGAATGTGCCCGGCATCCTCCAAGTGCTTCATGATATCCCGGGCCGTCTTGGGCTCCGTTTGAGCACGTAGATACTCGTGGACATAAGTCATCATGAGAATGATCGTCGAAACGCTCTCATCGCTGCCATCGGCGGCTACCTGGCGCTTGGACGACATCGTCTCCCGTTTGGGTCCGGTGGTGCTAGAAGACGGCGTTGGAGTCGCAGGAGTGGGAACTGCATTTCTCACACTGAGCCTGCCCGAGGCAGAAGCCAAGGCGCTGGAGAAAGACGCCTTCTGCTTCTCGAGGAATGACATGGTGATTCGGGAAAGGTGAGTATTACGTGGAGTATTTAAGGTATGGCCGAAAAAGACGGCAAAGTCGAGAAAACCGCGGGCGGATATTGGTCTCGATGAGACGAAAAAAAAGAAAACAAAAAGACGAAGCACTAAAAGCTAGGATGCCGGAGCACGTGTGCGCAGGACCTTAGCCCACGAAAGCGAACCTACCGGTCCCGGCTGCGGATTCTTGGAAGACGACGGGAGGGTCCGTGGTGGCTCGGTCTGTACCGGCGCACCTGGGGACAACGACTGCAGTTCCTTCCGTTCCGAAGATCGAGATGATCGAGCGGCCGATAAGATGGGAGACGCAGCTCGTGCCTTCTTAGGACTCGAGGTCGAAACTCGAGCGTCTTTTTCCTGTACCGTGGCGGCAGCGATTGCGGTGGACGGCAATTCTTGAGCTTCGCACTCTGGGTCTCGGGTGTTGATGTTCGGGTCAGCCGAAGCCTTCAAGAGCCTAGCCCACTCCTCGAAGCGTTCACGTTCGCCTGACTGCTCCTCTGGACAATCCTCGAGTGCCTGCACGAGTACGAGCGGGTTAAGCTCGAGGCTTGCCTTCCTCTCCTCGTCCGTCTGCTTCGGCTGGGCAGACCTGATCAGAGCTTTCTTTTTCCCCTTCCTCTTCCTCTTCTCCGTTGCCCGTCGCTTCTTCGGCGTCGATTCCGAGTCTGATTTTCTTTTCCTAGCGGACTGTAGAGAGTCCGGCTGCTCGACAACCGGGTTGGATCGTCTTCTCAAATCGGAGATCCGGTCGAGACAACCGAGTGCTGTCCTTAGGAAAGACGACCGCCGCCTTTTGGATTCGGTAACAACACGCGGAAGACCAGGAGTGGAGTCAGCAGCAGAGATACAGCCGTGTTGTTCGTCGTGGGACTCGTCGATGATGAGCGGGGTCTCTCTGCTCCCTTTGGTAGTTTGCTTGCCGTTGTCGTTGTCTCGGCCCTCGTCGCGGTCGCAATCGTCGCAATCGATGGGGATGGGCAATTTAGGGCTATCTCCCAGTCCGACGGGAACGGTTTCTCGTTTCTTATGAAGAGTCCCTTTTGAGCAGGAAGAGACAAGGTCGGCGTGGCTATTTCCTGCGGGATTGGAGGGGGATGAAGGAGAATGAGGAGCTTGTGAGGTGGTAAGTTCTATGTCGACCATCTTGTCAATTGGCATGGGATCTAGACGTCCTTTGTCAGCAGCCGTGCGCGCCACGAGAGTGGATGTGGCGCAATATCACCAACCACCATATACTACCGAAGACATGTGGCGCATGCTACTGAACTCTATCCCATTAGAGGTAAACAATGCGATGACAAGTAGCAAAGTGCAAAGTGTCCTGGACTCGGAACTCAGGTGTGCAGATTATAGAAACAAAAAAATAAAGAGAGCACAGGAAAGTCTTGTAAAATTGAACACTGACTGAGGTCAAGTCAAGTGCGTGCATTTATCTAGAACTCTTTTACTATGAGCAATGGCTGAATCTACAGATTGTCTTCTTCAGAGGTGCCTTGCTTTTCCTATTATAAGCCAATCTTCAATGCAAGACAATACCCAACTTCTCTGTGACTTAGACCATCAAACACATTGCAGTGTAGGTAATAAAGGTTAGACCATGTTGTTATAGGAAAGCAGTCTTTCACACATTGTTCATAGAGAGGAATGTTGTTATGATGTCGAGCTTAGCGCTCTATACCTTAGTTAAAGCATAGAACCTTCAAAACTGGTAGCCACAAAACGATGCCTACCTCTTGAAAACAGATTCATAGAAGTCTGTGAAGTGATACGAAGTCAGAGGATGTGACACATGTCTATCAGCAGTGATCTTTTAGACATAAACTTCAACGTGACTCAGCGTATCAGGACTGTTGTGGTTGACCGAGATCGGCCCTTCGGACCTAGTCACATAGTAATGGGGGGTCTATAAACGACCCGAGGTCCAAGAAAGGTACAATGTTCTCAAGTGGAGGTGACAACACCATGTTCTGAAGGACTGGCTACAAAGAGAACAGCCGTTCTAATTAAAAGGAATACAACGTCGCTGGTCGACATCTATAACGCCCTAGCAGACCGACTACAAAGCGTCGAGGAGGTCTGAATCATGCCCAATCCCAAAAGTTTTCCTATCCATGCAAGACCTGAATCCCTCCCAGCGGCCGACGCCGTCCAATCACGCTGGTTATATATGGTATGCAACTCTCGGAAGCGTGCGTCGTAAAAACCGACCGCCTGCAATGACTTTGCGATTGAACAGCCAGCTTTTGTTGCGGGAATATCGGGATCGGGTCGCCTAAGCCTGCTGCTGTTGCTGCTGCAGATATTGGTAGGCGTAGTAGCCAAGCGCACCGCCGAGGAGGATGATAACGTACACGCCGACGCCCAAGCCGCCGGAGGTGTCCTTCGGGCCAGCGCTGACGGCAGAGGTGGAGGCAGCCTTGGGGGCAGGGTCGCCAGACTGTATCGATGGACATGTTTGTTAGCGCCATGATCACGCAATACCGGCGAACGGGCTGATCGGGCGCTCCTTCCGCTCCTTCCAACTCTGGTAGGGTTGGTACTTGCCTTCCTCTTCAGAACGCCAACCTCGAGCTGGGCAAGCGTTTCCCTGGCCTCATCGCTGTGGCCGACGTCCTCGAAGGCCTCGGTGGAATCCTGGCCAGCGACATCAAGAAGGACCTCCTCACCACCACTGGGGAAAAGGGGTAACTGTCAGTATGCGATGCGTGCGCCAAATGGCGTAGGGAGCCGCTGATAAGGCAATTGATGGGAGACCATCAAAGCATTCGCGAGATTCAGGGTCGCTACTCACGGATGCTCATCGACAAACTTGGTGCAGTCGTAGATCTTGTCGTGGACCACGATGAAGAGGTCCTTCTTGGTGTTGTGCTCAGCAACATCCTGGTAAGTGAGTTCGAGGCCCATCTTTAGAGATTTGTCGGTGACAGGAGTGCTTTTCTGAACAGCTCAATGCGTGAGGCTTAAGGCGGGAGAGGCGCAATGGAACAATGCTATGCGAAACGCTTAGAAATGTCACTGGAGAAAGATGGGTGTCGGTCGGTGAGCGAAAGGGATCAGGCCAGAAAATCGTTTCCCGGATAGTGTTGAGTGCCACGATGTGTATATTAACCAAAAGAGAAAAAAGTCGAAGGTCCCCTGGAAAAATGGGGGGCTATCATTAGGAATTGCGGTGGTATCCGCTGATTAGGTGGCCAGAACCAATCAGAAGACGATGAATTAGAGGTGGGTGAGATCTGGTTGGACAAGACACAGATTAGCTACTTTTTTCCGTGGAGACACGGGGCGTAAGTGGGTACCGAAGTACCTAGGGGCTTTTTGGTGTCGGGACGGAGACTCGGGATGTCCACTTTCGGCCTGGAAACTGTTATCCCCGTCGGCATCCATGACCTTCTATCAATTGCACAGGGTGGGAACGAAAGAGGGAGAGTCTAGACGCGTCTTTCCATGCGAAGAAGAGAACGGTGGGATCTTGGCGTCGTGCACGACTTCTTCCCTGAGCGTCGATGGCCCCGGGAAACGGGTACGCCAAACGTTCTCTGTTCCTTCTGACACTTTGTCACCACGGAGTAAGCATCGTAAAGCACGGGAAAGAAAGTTGGACCATCGCCAAGCTATTGGAACACTCAAATACCTAACAGGCTTCATGTGACCACTTTTCTCTCAGCGGTCGAAATCACGTCCCGCATGCTCCCTGTCCTCTCAACGCTTCTAGCTCTGCTAAACCACCTACCGCCTCGAACCGCCGCCAATGTCCTGGCCTAATCTGTAGCTGGTGACTTTCTCCCACTCGATCTTCTGTCTCGTCACAGGCAGCTGCCGACGCAGGCCTTTGAATGCACCCTCACTAAGGTCTGCGAAGCCTTTGTTGAGCTCTGTTTGATACTTATTCTCCGTGGTCGAGATTTCCTTGACGATGCCCACGCCCGTGCCAGACGGAATGGAGGCCGTGGATGGTCGGTTCGTCAGGAGACGGACATTCCCGTCCTCGTAGTAATGCACATCGACCTTGATGGAGCCTTCGAGGGTCCCCGAGGAAGGGTCAAATATATAAAGAGAGCGCCATCGACCGTTCCTGTTTCCGTTTGGTTAGCTAGGCGGCGCCCTACGTGGAGGAGTTAGGGCAGGGGAGATGTCTTTCGACGAAGGGGACAGCGTTACCAGAAGTTGTTGGGGCTGTATTTGTTTGAAGCAATGATGATAGCGACCTTGGTGTCGTTCTCAATGGGGTACGCGCCATAGGCAGCATTGGGAAAGTGTTCCTTGACATAAGGACCGAGGCTCTTCAATATGGATTTGCTGCGTCGTGGTCAGCGGCGTGCAACTGGAGCTCTCCCTGGTGGACCATTCCATTTCTCCTTACACCAAGTCCGATTGTGCACCCTCCAAAACGTAGCTCTGAACACCGCTGGCTTTCTACAAGGTCGTCAGTTTTTCTGCCTCGCCATCTTCGAAATTGTCGGTCGCACCTGGTTGCTGTGGTCGAACGTGAAGCTTGAGCTGCTCTCGACGTCATAGTACCGACCACCGCCCAAGGAGCTGTGGGAGCTGATGATCACCTGCGATAGCCACCCCCAGTTCAGTCGATCAGGGTCCAATGCGACGGGGGAGACCACTCTATCCACAACGAACCGGCTGACTGCTCTCGGGCAACTTGACAGTGATGAACTGCTCCTCGTTGTATTTCTGGAAGGCGGGACCGAGGCTGGAGACAACGTCCGGGCTCGAAAGCGCCTTGATGTCTTGGACAGCGTCAATATTCGAAGGGATTGAGAACGGGCTGCGAGCGATGCGATTTACCTGCTATGACATCTGCGAGCTGATGGGCGTCAGCTTGGAACGGTAATTACTTCGTGCACCCTAGCATGGGGAAATGAAACGGAGGGTGTTTGCACGAACTTCGCCAGGAGGAGCTCCCTCCACGAAGGCCGAGACTGTCTCGACTTCCGAGGACATGGTTGTTGAGCGTAGATTTCGTGATCCAAGTAGTTGCGGTGAGACAAGGACAATGGCTTGGTCGAGTTTATTATAGCTGTACACTGGTGTTCGTGGAGACGAGTGCAGCTTCAAGGTACGAAGTAGTAATTACGGCACCTGTCCCCGAGCCACGTTAAAGTGAACCTCAAACTGGGGAATCTCGGTGCGGGGCAGGATGTCCACTGCCAAGCACTGGACTAATACGAAAAAAAGGACCGTCAGTGCAAGACTATTTAGCCCACAATATTTCTGCGAGCAATCAAGTCACTCACTATCATATCCCGATTCCCCCACCAACAAACACCAACGATCTCACATGGGCTCTCCACAATCATTGTATGGAGCTGGAAACAATAAAAAAAAGTGATTCTGCTGTCTTCGCGTTCCTAATCACAGCTCTCATCCTAGGATCGGTCCTCATTTACAATGCAGTGTGCTGCAGTATGGCTTATGAAAAATCTGCGCAATTGACTGGCCCACTTCGCAAACGATCATATGAGCTTGCTTTCTCTCGATGCCCCTGCACAGGCAAGTCGACCGACCATCACTAACTAATTACAAAGCTGGCTGTCAGGCTGTCATCTATTATTCGTCATTTTTCTATGATGTATCCCGGAGACCAGGCCCTCTCCAGTTCACCATGCCCTTGGAAAGGATTTCCAGCACTTGGCCCGTTCAATATTCCAAGACCTTCTTGATGTTGTCATATATCCCTGGTCGCCCATGTCAGCACGTTCCAATGCAGGAGTGTGGTAGAGATACCGTGGGTCCCGTGGGAGCAGAGAATATGATAACTTACTTGCGACATCCGGAATGTTGAACTTCTCAAACATCAAAGGCGTCGGGATGCTCCACCCCGCCACTCGTGCAACTGGCGCCTCTAGTCGCAGGAAGGTGTCCGGGTCTTCCTGAATCGCCGCCGCCACTTCCGCTCCCGTACCGGCGTTCACCATGGCCTCGTGCACCACAAGGCAGCGGCCAGTCTTGCGCACGCTCGCGTACACCGTCTCCTTGTCCCAGGGATATATGGTCCGCAGGTCGATCAGCTCAACCGAGATCCCCAGCTCTTCCTCCACCTTCTCTATGGCCGACATGCACATGTACAACGGCTGACCGTAGGAGATGACGGTAACGTCTTTCCCCTCCCTCAAGATCTCCGCTTTGGAAAGCGGAAGCGTGTACGGTGAAGTGGGCACCTGCTCGACCGCCGCGCGGTACAGGATCTTGGGCTCCATGAAGACGCACGGGTCGTTGCTCCGAATGGCCGAGAGCAGGAGGCCCTTGGCCTGCAGCGGCGACCGGGGGATGATGACCCGCAGGCCGGGGATATGGGTGAACAGGCTCTCGGGTGACTGCGAGTGGTACAAGGCGCCGTGCCCGACGCTGCCGCACGGCATGCGCACTGTGAGACCGCCGGCGCTGCGTCCGCAGCTCCCTTCGCGGTACCGGTACTTGGCCGCCTCGTTGACGAGTTGGTCGAATGCAGGGTATACGTAGTCGGCGAACTGAATCTCGGCGACAGGCCGCATCCCCTCCGCCGCGGCGCCAATGGCGAATCCCATGATGCCTTGCTCGGTGAGCGGGGTGTTGAAGACGCGGTTAGCACCGTACGTGTCGGCCAGACTCATGGTGCAACGAAAGACGCCGCCGAATGCTACGTCCTCGCCGAATACGAGGACTGAGGGGTCTTGGCCTAACGCAGTCGAGAGGGCGTCGTTGATGGCCTGGAAGAGGTTCATTTTCCTCGTCGTACCATCGCGGACTTTGGGCGGTAGCTCCGCGCTGGAGAGGGCCGTCTGGGGTTCGTGGGCTAGGAGAGAGGTCGTGGAGTAGTCGATGGGGACGTTCAGCTTTGCGTTTGGTGCGTGTGTTGAGTAGGACCGTTGCACACAGACCGCGAGGGAGCGAGGGGTCCTGAGCGAGGGAGCTACTGCCCTCCTCGCCGAGTGTGATAGAATTCTCTTCATCGTAGACGTTCAGATGTCTTAGAAATATGTTTGATTGAAGATGTGAAAGGATAATCTCAGCCGTTTCCTTACCGTTCATTGACAAGAGAGCAGGCGGTCTTACCCCACGAGACTTCTCGAATTGTGTAAGCCGAGGGGCCGTAGACCAAGTTATGATGCAAGTTCGGCTTGCGACGGCTTTTGCGGGGGTCCGTATCAGGGGAAGGCCCACTACAGTGGTCCGTGCAGTTACGCATCCACTTTACTCCAAGATTAGATTGTTGCTGTGCCAACATGTTCCAAGGTAAGCCAAGCCCTTCGATCAGGGAAAGCCCACAATACCAGACTCTAATAGAACGGTTGCTGAGCATAAGACAAGAACTTAAGACATGCACGCATAAAACATCATCATTCAGCACTAAGCTCTCCAAATTACAGCATTCCGGCATCAACATTGACAAAGATACGAGAGTTTTGATTACTTCTTTGACCCCACAGCTATCATGGCGCCGAGGGACTCGTCTCCGCGATCACCCCATCGGCGCCGCGAGTCCTCAGGCACACGACATTATAAGCGAAGCTCACACCACGAGCGCCGCTCCTCGAGGCGACCTCCGACAACATCCAGCTCCGAAGACAGTCGGCCCGACCGGAACTCACGCCCGCGCCCTCTTTCGGCAGAGGCCCTAGCACGGCTCAACGAGCGGAATGCGAGGGGCATTACCGATCGATCCCAGGGGCGGCGTCGGCAAACCGGTTCAAGAGAACACGACTACGATGAAGATCGTAGGAGGCGGCGTGAGGAGCGTAGGCGGCGGCATTTAGAGGAGAAGTGGCGACGGGAAGAAGAGGAACGTCGAAGAATGGGGGAGGAGGAAGAAAGCCGCGATGATCGCCGACACAGTGATTACGACGACTTGCCACGACGTCCCAGGAGGGCGGCTTATCGACACCACAGAAACTACTCCGATGACGGGTACGAGAGTCCACCGCGAACACCGCGAACACCGCAAAGGGGCAGAAAGGACAATAAACGGGTTGTCAGCGGTGCCGCCCTTGAGGAGGGCCAGGGATGGCGGTTGGGCGGGTTTCTAGGCAGGTTACGAGGCGGAGGAGGAAGCAGTGTACCGAGCGTTGACCGGGGGAAGGAGAGAGACGAGTCGGACTATGATCCGCCGGCGCCAGTTCGAAAGAAGAAGAAGAAATGTACGTGCCGGTTTCTTCTTGTCACCCTTCTCCCCCCCCCCCCCCCCCCCCCAATCTTAACTCTGGGCTGGAAGGATATAAGCAGCTGACCTTTTCCCCAGGGATATTTCTCGGTATTGCGGTTGTGCTGCTCGTAATAATCATCGTGGTGGCCGTTGTGGTTAGCCGGAACAACGCATCGAACGATGACGATGACGACTCAAAGTTGGACGAGGAGAAAAAGGACACCATACCGATGCAATGGCGAGGAACATATCTCGATCCGTTCAGCTGGAAAAGTACCGACGACTTTAACGTTACCTTTACAGATGAGATGGTCGGCGGGCTGCCGGTCATGGGCTTGTTCACGGAATGGGATGACTCGGCCCGCGCGAATGACCAGGTGCCACCGCTGGACGAGGAATGGGGCTCCTACGAGGAGAAGCCGGCGCGTGGTGTAAATGTTGGCGGCTGGCTCAGCCTGGAACCCTTCATCACTCCGTCCCTTTTCGACTACGACCGGCGCCACGGTATTATCGACGAGTACACGCTCTGCCGTCACCTCGGGCCCCGGACGACAGCTGAAGTTCTGGAGAAGCACTACGCTAGTTTCGTGACCGAGTCGACGTTCAGGGAGATCCGTGATGCCGGGCTAGACCATGTGCGGATCCCTTTCTCCTACTGGGCGGTCGAAGTATTCGAAGGAGACCCTTACCTTTTCCGCACGTCTTGGCGATACCTGTTGCGGGCCATCGAATGGTGTCGGAAGTACGGGTTACGCGTCAAGCTCGACCCGCACGGTATCCCGGGATCGCAGAATGGGTGGAACCACTCGGGCCGGCAGGGAGCTATCAGTTGGTTGAACGGGACGGAAGGGGCGGAGAACCGCAGGCGGTCGATCGAATTCCACGACCGGCTCTCCAAGTTCTTCGCCCAGGACAGGTACAGAAACGTCATTGCGTTTTACGGAGCGGCCAACGAGCCGAGGATGACGGAGCTGACGTCGTCGGACGTGATTGCGTGGACCGAGGAGGTGTATCAGCTTGTCCGCGACAACGGGGTGCGGGCGCCGGTGGTGTTCGGGGACGGGTTCATGGGGCTGCACAACTGGCAGGGCCGGATGACGGGGCACGACGACCTGGTGCTGGACGTGCATCAGTACGTGATCTTCAACCGGGACCAGATCGCGCTGTCGCACAAGGAGAAAGTGGAGTTCGCGTGCAGCGAATGGACGGAACAGGCGCAGCAGAGCATGGACCGGTCGACGGGATACGGACCCACCATGTTCGCGGAATGGTCGCAGGCGGACTCGGACTGCGCGCTGCACCTGACCAACGTGGGTCGGGGAAACCGGTGGACGGGAACGTTCGACACGGGACAGGAAGCGACGAGCGTGCTGGAGCCCCGGTGTCCGACGCTCGATGAGCGGTGTGACTGCACGCCGGCCAACGCGGACATTGGCGACATGAGCGACGGGTACAAGCAATTCCTCCGCATGTTCGCCGAGGCGCAGATGCACTCGTTCGAGAAGGGATGGGGATGGTGGTACTGGACGTGGGACACGGAGAGCGCTCCGTTGTGGAGTTACAAGAAGGCGTTGGCGGCGGGCATCATGCCTACGAAGCCGTGGGATCGCGATTTCGACTGTGACCGCAACGTGCCCAGCTTTGATAACCTTCCGGAGTTTGACAAGCGGTGAAGAAAACCCCCATCTTTGAAGTTGAGGACCGTCGAAGTCGCTCCCTTCTGCGGGTAAGTAGCCTGAGTTGAGGATTGCCTGCCAGAATGGGCATGGGTTGGCTTTTGTTCCATGGTGTGATTTGAATCGGAGTGATTTGGAAAGGCTGCAATACGGTATAAGAAATATGGGCCACCTTTTCTACGGTCGAGCTGTTTGCATGGTTGGGGCATTTTGTTGTTTCTTTGGAGTTTCTGTAGATGTTGGTTGCCTTGCTTTGTAGAAAGAGGACGGCGACCACTAGTGGTGATAGTGGTGATAGTGGTGATAGTGGTGATAATGGTGATAGTGGGCAGGAGTAAATCTCTCACGCTGGATTGAAAAAGTCCTACCTAGGCATGTGAGAACCAGGGTGAAGTGTTGATGCTCGATTGAAGCTGTCGAGGGACGGATTGGAGCTTGGAGTCGGAGGAAGTTCCGATCCTACCCCCCGAAACCCGGAACTACCCCAAGACCCGCCCTCATCCGACGTCACCGGAAGTCCCGCTGATGACACAGAGTGACAAACCCCTTATGAAGAGGTACACGTGTACTTTGTGATTACCTTTACTTCATACATTCGGCGCCGGTATTCCTCGATTCCTCGATTACTCCGTACATACATACATCATCACCACGTTCGGAGTACATACACATACCCTGAGATACTTGATCACAAAAGGCGTTTACTAATTGTTTGTTATTTCTAAAGGAGACGCGACGCGGTCATGATTACAAATTACTCAACGCTGAAGTCATCGTCATCGGGCCTAAAAGTTACCACCGGCCGGAACCGTTGGGCCGAGAAAAAGAAATGAACCTCACACTCGTCTTATTTCCGCCTGTCCCAACTCCCACAACCTTGACCCGTGACACGCCAATCCAAACGGGGAAAGGAAATAGTACTCCGGAAATGTCACTAGCCTCGTTCCCGGTTCCTTTTCTCGGGCCATTAGGACGCCCTTGTTGAAGAGATCTCTGAGCTCATTATCGTTCCTCTTCTGGTATATATCCCTTTCTCTGATGGATGTAGATGCCAGGAGAAGCCATGAAGGCCTCGATATATAGGAATTCTATCCGCTGTCACCTACTTGATCCTGTCCATCATTACCACTGGATTTGTCTCGAAGAATCTAGTCTCGTTCCAATTTACTCCCGCCTCCCAATTCGGGGCATACTGCCATGGCGCGCCGGCAAAAAGAAAGAGACGTCGAGAAGGACCCAAACCGTGAATACGACCTGGGTGTCAAGCCTGAAGGCGATCCTGAAGGGATCTCTGGAACAGAATTCGAGTCGATTCGGACCCGTGAACCGGCCTCCCAATCACGGCCACATTTAAGCTCCTCCCACTCCCTGAGAGGATCTAGCGATCGATCCATCAAGCGCTCAATCAGTCTAACACGGTCTCAAAACGGATACGGCTGTGACGACTATTTGCCCGAAGATGATGGTGAATTCAAATCCTTGCCCGGAACAGCCCATCCTGCCCGTGACGACAAGGATCCCTTCGACGTAGGCTTCGAAGGAGGTGAAACCGATCCCACATGTCCACGAAGCATGTCGAAGGTCAGGAAGTGGATAATAGTAATCATCGTCTCACTCGGGAGCTTCTGCGTGTAAGTGAAGGGAACCAGCTTGTATGAGATGACGCAAAAAAAAAAAAGGAAAAAAAAAGGAAAAAAAAGGAAGAAGAAGAAGAAGAAGAAGAAAAGGGACATGCGTTCGTTCATGGCTTCGAGTACTCCAGAGGCTGCCTGAATGACCGACTAACTTAGGGGTGAACATAGGACGGCTGCGAGTTCCATTTACTCATCCACGTATGCCCAGATGAACGCAGAGTTTGGCACCTCGAGGATCGTCGCCACTCTCGGTCTCAGTCTTTTCGTACTCGGCATCAGCTTTGGCCCCATGATGCTGAGTCCATTGAGCGAGTTCTATGGCCGACGGCCTATCTACATCGTCGCCTGGTCGCTCTATCTCATCTGGACCATACCCTCTGCCGTGGCCAAGAACATAGAAACGATGCTCATCGCCCGATTCTTCACAGGCCTCTCGGGTAGCGCCTTTTTGGCCGTTTCTGGCGGGACGGTAGGCGACCTCTTCAACAAGCAAGACCTGCAAGCCCCTATGATTCTATGGTCCCTTGCGCCCTTTTGCGGCCCGGCACTCGGTCCTACCCTCGGCGGTTTCATCAATTACTTCACCAACTGGAGATGGACCTACTATGTCCTAATCATCTGGGCTTTTGTCATGCTTGTAGCCATTGTCTGTATCGTTCCCGAGACGTATCGTACGTCGAATCCTCCGCATACGAAATGGATACTTGGATTCTTCTTTTTTCTTCTTTCTTTTTTTTTTTCCTCTTCTTTTTTAATCATTGGCAAGGAAACACGGGAGCTAATGCGTGCCACGTAAATCTCAGATCCTGTGGTCCTTCGTGCCAAAGCCAGGAAGATCAGGAAAGAGACAGGGGACGAGCGGTGGAAAGCACCCATGGAAAAGACGGACAAGTCCATCGCGAGGACCATCGGCCTGTCGCTCCTTCGGCCATTTCAGCTGCTCTTCTTCGAGATGATGGTCCTCAACCTCTGCATCTTGACCGCCCTCTTGCTGGGCGTCTTGTACCTCTTCTTCGGCGCGTTCCCCCTCGTCTTCTCCACCACGTACGGCTTCAACCTATGGCAAGTCGGTCTCGCCTTCAACGGCATCATTGCCGGCATGGTCATCGCCGCTACGAGCGACCCTTTATGGCAGCGCATCCGCAACCGCCTTGTCGCCAGGCTGGAGATGGAGTCCGGTGTGGAAAGCAGTAGCGAGCCCGAGTTCCGGCTGCCCCCTGTCGTATGCGGATCCGTCCTCGTCACTATTGGCCTCTTCATCTTTGGCTGGACGCTGTTCCCCTGGGTTCATTGGATTGCCCCTATTATTGGGTCAGCTGTCTTTGGTGCTGGGTGAGTAGGAGTATTTTCTTTTTCCTTTTTAGGGGCTTTGTTCTATGAAAGACCCAAAGTGCTTATGGAACAAGGGGTTCACACATCAGCGTCCCCGTGACGACGCATGGAGTTGCCTTGAAAGTGATTGATGTGTCGAAGGCTCGTTGTGAGAATATCCCATCTGGCAAATGGGCTTCTGGTCTCGGCGGTCATGATTTAGTCATACTTCCGCGTTACACTGCATCTCGAGTCTCTGCATGAGTATGCTGCTAACCGTCTTGGCTCCCCCCCACCAGAACCCTGCTTGTCTTTAGTGGCGTATTTACATTCCTCGTAAGTCGTCCTCAGTTTTCTGTTTCTGCAAAATGGCCCCTGAATTCTAGGGCTAGGGGCCTGGCTAGGCCCTCGACGGCGTCGGCGTTGAAACAGCATACTAATACAGCAGAGGCGCAGGTTGATGCGTATCCCCTGTACGCGGCGAGCGCCTTGGCTGCCAATGCGTTCACAAGGTGCCTGTTCGCCGGTGAGTCTGTCCCAAGTGACACGTCACACATATGTGATGCCGAAACCCGTGCTCTCTCCCCAAGTTGATGCGCATGCTAATTCCATACCGTCACACCACAGCTGCGTTCCCTTTGTTTGGAAACCAGATGTATGAGAGGCTTGGATACCCTTGGGCGACGTCGGTCCTCGCCTTCGCAACGCTCGCGATGCTACCATTTCCTTACATATTCTTCAGATATGGCAAAAGGATTCGAAGTCGGAGCCGATTTGCCGCGGGCTGAAGGGATAGTTTGATGCCTGAGACAGACATTTTTCAGAGCCGTTGGCTTGACGGTATTGTGCATTTATTCGCCAAAGCCTGGGGCCTTCGTAGGGACATGTTACTTCATCGAGCGAATGGAGGGTGGCAAAGACATGGGCTTGGGGGAGCCTCTCGCTAACTCTTTCGATAAGGAGCAATCGTCCGGGATGCGGTGTCAGAGGGAAGCTGTTGATTACTAGCCAGCCCTTCGCCCATCCAATGAATCCCTGGCTGGGTCGCTGGCTGGGTCGCACCTTGGGACGCCCTTCCTGAGGAAGAATCGAATCGGCCAAGTCTGGTTTGCTGCTTGCTTGCTACAAGTGCAAAGCTGTTGCTCTAGGACTAGTGAAAAGTGAAAGCCGCTGTGCGTCCAGAGCCTTACGCGCGCCACCCAGCCCTCTCGACGTAGGCCTGTAACACTGCTGCAGCCTGGAACTAGTAGGTGGTCATGGATAGAATCAGACACAAATATAGAAGTGATTCTGGACTGACCAAGGAGGGCTTAGTCAGGGCTAAAAACCGCTTCGAGATGCAGGTCCGGAAGGTGAGGAGTTGAAGCGAGACCTTGATTGACCACAGAGGTACAGCATGTCAGCTGAGAGGATACGGTACCGTAAATACCAATGGACCGGAGTCAGCCAAGGCAACATCTTCTTGGGAATGCGACGACCCCGCCCTGTCTCTCCCGGCGTGACAGGCGAACAGAACGAATAGCCGCGTCGAGGGAGGCGGCGGAAGAAGAGACGAGAGAAGCAGTGACTCCGTTGCCCTATGACCGTGATGAGGTGTGGTAGTGTGGTATATCCGTACGTTGTGTACTCGGTATTCCACCAACAGCTATGAGGTGTGTAATTAGCGAAGTGCCCCAGTCCCCTTGACCGCGACCTCGACCACCTCAAGTCCTTGGATTTCACCTGGACACACAAGATACGTCCCCAGGCTCCTCAACATCTCGTAAGATGTCCAAAGGATGGCCGTGCCCGACGTGGATCGTTTAGCTGATGTTTCAAGCCGTTTGTCTCAGGGTGGGCACCATGGCATCTAGTGTGGCACTCAAATGTCCGACATATAACAAAAAATGCATGTCTCAAAGCCATGGGTCGAATCCCCTTGGTTCTTCCAAGCACATCGACGACGGGGGTTAGAGGGAAGTACGCTGTACTCAAGACAAGGGGTCTGCCCTGTTAATTACCATGGCGCCATGTCGATTTGTAAGTGAGGCTAAGAAGCGTGACTCAGTCCGAAGAACCCCGTTCGAAGGCGTAGATATACGTTGGATGCGCAACTGGGCCTCGGCCTTGACACAGAAGTAGACACATGTAGATGGTCTGCAGTCTGCTCATAATTCTTACCCGTCGAGTGCATGGCTGCTGGGGAATCCAGAAGTGCAGAGGTTAGCAGACATCCCATAATACAATCATGTTGGGCATTTGAGCCCTGCCTGTCATTTCGTATCACATGCAGTTCGTCTGTATGCTGGGACATAAACTGGGTAACGCTGTCCATGTCGAATGTCGTGCATGTCATCTTAATAGAAATAACAGCAAATATATCAGCCATCTGGACACAAATGGTGAGAATACATGCCCCTACATCAGCCATTTAGAGCTACCTTATTCAGAGGAAAGTGGGTGTTCCAGAGTTTAAGGTAAGGTACAGCGTAAGGTGAGGGAAGGTGAGGGTAAGGTTAGTGGGCTTGAACCTCAGCTGGGTAAGGTAATGAAAAGTACTTCGTGGAGTAAGGTACCTAGGTAGAGACACATCGACTATGACCCGGGGGACGGTTCCAGGACACCAGACAATGGATCACGGGCTGTACAACGTACAAACATGTCCATAATGACTGGCGATTTCCTCTAACTCGGATTTGGCCAGGACAAGTTTCTCTATCTGAGCTCCGATGGTACATAAAAAACCATGATCCATCATCACCAGGTACCTTACCTAGTGTAATCGGCGACTTCTTGCATTGGGACATACTCCGTACTTCGTATACGGAGTATGAAACAGAAAAGCTGCTAATTATTAAGGTACTCATCACCTTACCTCAGGAAGTCACTGCCTGCGGAGAAGGTACGAATACATGTACGAAATACTAGAGTGAGTACTTTACGAGTCGGAGGTGTGAGGGGGAAAAATGGGAAAATCCAGGAGACGTAATTCCTTAGTCGCCGTTACCTCGGCTAACGTGCACTTTCGCCTGAAATAGCCCCTGCGATTGCAGACATTCGAAGTACTGGGTACTCCTCACAAGGTACCTTGGTAATTTATTTTATGCAACCGCAACAGTTGTGGTCCAAGTCCGTCCTCCTCCACGACCCCGCAGCCCCGAAATGGTCCCTCAGGAAAGCTTTCTCCTCGGACTCTGATTCGCTAGAAAGCCCACCGAGGTGTTTCTCCGACCCATGGATTTTGACATGGTAAAAAAGTTCCTTGTACCCGTCCTGACCAAGCCGAAGAGGTGAAGAAAGTATCCGTAATAGGTAAGCGCCATGAACATCACTTTTGAGTGTTGTGTTCTCCCTCCCTGGTAGTCACGGCACAACCCCAAAGAACCTCACATGCTAACTCGTGTCCTCGAGTCACCCCCCGAAGACCGAGGATCGCTTTTCGAGTACGGTACGAATTGCAAGAAACCGCCGCCGACGACTATCCACGATCGAGTGCAACCAGACCCCGCGTCAATGGGCTCTTCGCTTTGCCCACCTGTTCGTCCTCCCCTCCCGCGTCACGTCTCTGTAACCTCGAGGATATTGGTCGCCGACCTCGTGCTGCATGTCAATGCTGCTTTGCGACTACCAGTAGACCCCGCCGGGTAGCCGCATACCTTACTCTCCTCTCGTCGCCCCCTCGGCCTCTCAATAGGCCCTGTCGCCCTTGCCTACTGCGCCAGGCCCTTTTATGTATGCGAGGCCGTGACCTGCGCAGCCGCAGCCGCCTCGTCCCTCGCACCCCTCCCTTCCCCGTACATCGTACACTAGGGCTCTCAACACCAGTCCGACGCTACAGCCACGGCCACGGCCACATCTACAAAAAGAAAAGACAAAACCCCCATCTCTGTGCTGGGGCTCTATCCGCCCCTCCATCTCCAGCCGCCGCCGTTCCTGGGGGGTGCCCGCCACGCAAGACACGACTGCCGTCGCCGCGAACGAACGAGAGCCCCTGCGCTGAGACCTCGTCGTACAAGAAACGCCTCTTACCTCGCCAGAACGTCTCCCATTGGAGACCCCTATCCTGCTGGGAAATACGAGCTCCGTTCCTGATCCTGTAGCGACCAGAAGTGTATCTTTTGATGGTCAGGGATCAGCAGTCCAAGCGAGGAATAAGGCTACACCATTGTTCGTTTTGCCCGGCTGCGCACAGCGCTCGCGTTAGCGTTAGAACAAATCTTCGGTCGCTCACGCCCCGCCGCCCGTTCCCAAGTCTCAAGTCAGCGGCGATTCCTGCCTTGAGCTATCCCAGCTTTTGCTGATCTGGATCCCATCCAAAGGAAAAGGACGAAAAAACGAGGCTTCTTCCTCTCGTTCACGACAGGACCAGCCACCGGTTGGGCGGCCGGTCTTCGTTTTCGGTTGGGGTCCATTTGGTGGTGTAGTGGTGGCCGACAATAGCTGAGCAACACCCCCGGTGTGTGACATTTTTAGCATTTTGGTGCCTCACTGCAGGAGGATCGGCCCATACCATACCTGTCCCACTTGCCTCGCTTCGCCGACGCCGCCAGCAAGACCTCTGGAGCCAGTGTCGCCTTGAGAGACAACATCACCCTGGCTTGAGGCTTGCGCCGGTCGTCATCTCACACAATATCTCCCGCGTCACCATCGTTCCTCGCGATCCCCCTCCCCGCACCGGGGCCTGGAACATATAAAACCCCTTAGACAGCATGCCGTACCAAGTCGACGACAACGCGGGAGACGTTTCAGATGCCGCGTCTGAGAATGAACAAGAGCCCAACATACAGCCTACAAACAACAACAGCGACAATAACAACAACAACAACAACAACAACAACAACAACAACAACAACAACAACAATATGCCTGATCGCAACGACAACGGCAACTCCACTGGTAATCAGGGAGAAGCTAAGAAGAAGTACGACCCTAAAGATCCTCTACGCCCAAGGAGGAAGAAAGCACGCAGGGCTTGCTATGCCTGCCAGAGAGCTCATTTAACATGCGGTAAGCTTCTCCCACTCCCACAACCTCCCCAGGCTGTTTTGTTTTCTTCTTTTCTTTGTTGGTCCAATGTTCGCGTCCGTTCTCGGTGTCCTGACGACGGGCGACGACGACTGCCTTGCTTCCATCACCCTGACCGAACTCTCGCCGGTCTCCTCATGAGATCTCACGGAGCCCAAACAAGCACACAGACTAACCCAGCTGTTGGAAATAGGAGATGAACGCCCATGTCAGAGGTGCATTAAGCGTGGTCTGGCTGAAGCCTGCCAAGACGGTGTACGTAAAAAAGCCAAGTATCTTCATGATGCACCCCCAGAAGCCCTCAGGCCTGTTCTCGGTCCCAACTATAATCCGGAACCTACACCGACGCGGCCCAATGGCGAGCGACATCCAAGTGGCCCCTCGGAAACTGCTTCGACAGCGGGAAGTGCCTTCTTCCCCCAAAACTCTGCGACATCCTTTCCGGTCTATTCAGGGGCGCAGACGCCTGTCGGGATGCCAGAGGCCATGTCCTTCCCGTCACCCGTTGTTTCGCCATCCTTCGCCCACAATAACAGTAATGCAGCACGGGCGGATTCCATGCCGGGAATGATATCACCCCAAATAGCCAACGATCCCATTAATTTCAGCACCCTCTTCGACCCCAGCAACCCAGCCCTTTTCAACTTTGACTTGGAAGGCCTCAATTTCGGCAGTCAGTATGGCGCCTTGGAGTTCGGCATGCTGGGCCATATGTCCTCCGGAGCCGGAGCCGGAGAGACACCCCCACAGGACCACGGATTATCTGGGCCCAGCAGCGGTGATGTTAACTTTGGGTCGGCCGGCGTCTTTGGAAATGGTAACAGGCAGTTTGGCCAACAAGTCTATGATAATGGCATGGTGAATGATCTCATCAAACTAGACCCTTCCTCAACCGGCCTCTACCAGCAAGGCAACCTACATCATGCGCTGCCACAGGCCTACGCCATCGCCGCCGGCCCCAACAGCCTTCACAGCCCTAGCACGGAGACCACTGCGAGCCCGCAGCCAGCGAACTTCACGTACGAGGGCTCGCCGGGGGGCAACTATAGCAACGTGGTGGGGACGCAGAACATGGTCCCGTCAGTGGCCCCTCGGCCGAAGCCCAAGCCGGGCGTATCGCAGAAGAGTGGGACTATCTTGGGGAAGAGGCAACGAGATGCTTCGTGGATATACGAGTCAGTCAAGGAGCCTTACCAGTATTTGGCTGGCTTCCACGCCCTAATCGCCTTCCTACAGAAGCGGTTTTCCGCCAACAAAACTTTGCGCATTGCCAAAGCCCTAGCGAGCATCCGCCCGTCGTTCATATCGTGCATGAAGACGCTCGATCGGAGGGATCTGATCTTCATGGAGAAGTGTTTCCAGCGAACCCTCCTGGAGTACGAGGACCGCATGCACCAGTGCCCTGCACCCACGATCCTCTGTCGCCGTACTGGGGAGATTGCCGCGGTCAACAAGGAATTTGTGGCGCTGACGGGGTGGACGAAGGATGTCTTGTTAGGAAACGAGCCGAACCGAAACGTGAACACGGGCGGTGCGCCCTCGGTTCCCGGAAGCGGTTCGGGGACGGGACGGGCGGGGCTCTCGACACCCAAGCTCTCGGCGGCGTCTCTCAACAACCAGCCCGAGGGCGAAGGAAGGCGCAAGCAGCCCGTGTTCATTGCGGAAATCCTCGACGACGACAGCGTCATCGAATTCTACGAGGACTTTGCGCAGCTCGCCTTTGGCGACAGCCGGGGCACCGTGTACAGGACCTGCAAATTGCTCAAGTATCGGACGAACGAATCCGCCAACCACTCTGCCGTCGTGCCGGAAGCGACTTCCCAGAAGGACCCGCGGAAGAGCATCCTCAGCCATCGGGTCACGCGTATCGACGGCGAGCACGGCATCTCGAGGATCGAGAAGGACGGAAAGGTGGAATGTCGGTATTGCTGGACGATTAAGCGTGATGTGTTCGATATCCCCATGCTAATCGTCATAAATGTGAGTTCAACCCCTTCAACCCCTTCAGCCCCTCTCATGTTCCTCCTCGTCTCGTGGTTGCGCTAGGTCCGAGTGCGAGCATACTAACTCCCTCGGCAGTTCTTACCCTGTTTATCGAGGGATCAAGAGCCGCAACAGGTGGTTATGTAAGGGCACGGGTTTGTCGAAATGAATTCCGGGTTCATATGAGGGCTTGGCAGCCTCTGGCACCATTGGACATAGTGATATGCAGGTACGCAGTACTGTCTGGAGTTGGTTGGTTTTCTTGGACATGGTTCTCGGGACGGGGCATTCAAAAGCAGATTTCACAATAGTCGTTTCAACGGTTATTCCAGGAATTGGGTAGGTAAAATAGTGAATATCGTGGGATCATTGGGTTAGTCCTCAAAGATATTTAAATATATATATCAATATATATCCACGTTTACGAGCAGATTTTTGTATCGGACTACTCCTTTCCAACCCTCTTCAGGCCCTAGGAACCTGTCTAAGTTACGTGTCTCTAATATTCTATCGTACTCCACGCCTGTGTATCTCCCCTCCCCCCCGGGATCGTTCAACCGTCCAACGGCCTCACCAGCCATGAGACGTCCAATTCGCCGGGTCCATCGACACCGTCACCGCCGTCCACACTCAAACCCAGAGTCACCCCGGGTGAAGGCGAAGGCCACCATTGCCTCCTCCGCACACTCTCCCTCGCAACTTCGCAATCAAAGCGGATATCCTCCACCAGAGCGTCGAGGCTGGCATAGTCCTTCTCCTCCCGCACGAAGCCTAGGACGAGGAGGCGCATGTGGGCGCCGTAAAAGTCGGCGGTAAAGGGATGCAGGACGTGGACCTCGGCGGAGCGAACAGTGTTCTTGTAGAACGGGTTGTAGCCTATGGACATGACCATTGGATACAAAAGGAAGGCGGGCGTGTCCCCATCAAAGGGACGGTCGGGGTGATCTGGCGGGAGGGCAAGGGAGGCCCAGCCGAAGTACACTCCTGATTTGACGTCGTCGATCCACGGGGTTTGGGCATCCACGGGGAGGTTGGCGGTTGGGATGCCGAGCTGGGGTAAGGATGTTAGACTCGGTGTTTATGCTATAGATCCGGTGGTAGGACAACAGTATTATATATACAGCGGAGCCGAAGGGGAAGGGTGGATGGACCAAGTGAAGAGGGAAGTGAGGGCAAGGGGGGGGGGAAAGCAGATACATGGGGCGAAGGCTTCTCCCACACAACGACTCACCTCTTTTGATCCGCGACCAAAACCGGAAATGACTTTACCCTCCATCTTGAGTGGAAATGGAGGCTCGGGGCCGTGAGCCGGTCCGACGATACGGGGCCTGCCAGCGGTGATGCCGGTTGTGTCGGCAGCGGCGCTTTGCTCTGCCATTGTCTGTTCTGCTCACTTTTTTCCTGAAAAGAATGGTACAGAGTTGCACTGTCAGTCCCTCGCACGACTTGTGCCGTGGGCTCTTACGACGGAAAGGCTGTGAGACAGAAGACCCAGGATAGTAGACGAGTCAGGGGAACCGAAGGTGAGACTCGCTACAGCGGATGTTGTGATTGGAGGGATGCTTTTAGATCGCGGATCGTCAGACGGAGGCCTACTAGCTTGGGCGTTGAAAAGAAGCCTTGGAAAAGAAGGAAAAGGAGCCCCTGTGTCGTAAGCAGACTTGGTGGACTTCGTTGATACCGTCGTGAATGTTCGCAAAGGTGCCACCTCCCCCACGCCGAAGGTGCTGGAAAGGAGGGGCAGGAAAGCCGAAAATGCATGTACATGTACTTATCTCAGGTATTACATCCTTGGAGACTGTTAGTATATGGTACCCACTGTTGTTCAGAGCAAGGTAAGCACATCGGGCGGCTACGTTAAGTGGGGTTTTTGCCGACCGAGGCCAAACCCACCGAGAAGTCCAGTGACACGGTGTGCCTCGGTCAGGGAGAACGTGGCAGCGAAGCATCATCTTTAATGAGACACTTGTGCTGGCGGCTCCACAAATAGGTCGTGGAACGTTGCCTTGATCGACTCTAGCCTCGCTGATGAGAAACAAGCAATTAGAGATTAAATGGTTTCTAGCCCTCGACGCTATTGCCGCACTTCGAACTGTCCATTCAGCATCGTATGCACCGTAATGATATGACGTAGTGACACCACACTGAAACGGACGGCCAGCCAAAGACAAGACCAAAGATGAGACCAAGTAAGATTTATCCCAGCCACTGAAGGCCGTCAGGCATCGAGAGATTCGAGACATGGTGTAGATCTCAGCTTCCTGCCACCCAACAAATACACAGACGGAATTGAAAGAAAGATGTTCCGTTATGCTACACCGGCCATCTTACACTCCTCTATCGTTCAAGCAAGCCAACATCCATGATCCAGCGACAGCACGAGTAGGAGGTAGCCCTGCGCTGGACTCAAGAAGAAGCGGTAGTAGTAGTCTGCGGCTTGTTATCCACCCACTCCGTCCGTCCCAACCGCACAATATCGGCCTGTTCTAGGACCCAGTACTTGCTGGGCGCCTTCCCCTCGGCCACAAGCTGAGCAGCCCGGACCGCCGCCCGCGCAATGACATCGTGATCTTGGCCAACCGAATCCTGCAGGCCTTGACCCAGGTAGCCGAGGCCGCGGACCAACCCCGTCATGACGCCTTGACCGGCACGCGGCTGCTCGCGCTCGCCCATGATGAGGCCCGGCCTCACGATGACGGCGTTCTCAAAGTCGAGATCGCGCACCGCGTCCTCGACGCCAATCTTCATCTTCGAGTACGGAAGGCGAGAGCTGATGAAGCTGCGAGTACCCGCCGACGAGATGAAGACAAAGGTGCGCACACCGGACGCCTTGGAGGCCTTGGCGAGCTCGACGTTGAGGTCGTGGTCGATCTTCCACTGATTGGCGAGGCCGCCGGCCTGGGCGCGAGTGGTGCCGAGCCCGGAGAAGACGGTATGTGGCGCGGGAGAGAGGGAGGTCAGCTTGGACGCCCAGGCTGTTGTATCGGGCTCGACAATGGCGTTTAGGTTCGTGGCTGATTCTGGCGCCTTGGGTGCGCGACGAGAGATGGTGGTGACCTTGACAGACGGCCAACCCAGAAGGGTGCTGAGGATCTGCGACCCGACGAGGCCGGTGCTGCCGAAGACGGCAGTGTTGGAGATGGCGGGAGTTGACATGCTGTAAAGGTGTGATGAGCTGTCAATGCGACAATTGTTACACGAGACAGACGGTAAAAGTAAAGGAAACAAGCGGACCGGGGTATATGAGGGGCTTGGGGGTTGAGAAGTGGAATTCTGAAAGCCAGGGAGTGCAACGCGAGATTTAGAGATTGGGATGAGAGATGAGCTCGGGTCTTTTAATCTTCACTGCCAGCGATATTTGCCTTCTTGAGGGAATAAATACACGTACCTGGGAGTGTTGCCTGGGGATGACATGATGACAGGACTGGATCAGATAGCTACTAGCAGCCTTGGGCAAACGTTCAATGCTCAGAGTTACTACGACGGAGATAACGGTATAAGGCAGGTAATTGTCAGATAACCCTTGCTCCGTTCTCTCCGTATGGTGAATGATGGCATATGGTCATGTGACTCACGGCGAAGGTGGGGCAGCTTTTAATCCCGAGCTCCGGGGCCCCGTCCATTTGGTCGTTAGGTCTAACCACAGTGGCTACCTCCGTTATTAATAAGGTATTGCGAGTACCATTACTGCCTGGGCGTGAGCGTTGGGAGCTCTGCTTGCAGGAGCTAATAATAAATTAGGTACGGTTCAAGCTACAACACCTACAGTCCACGTCTAATCCCATCATTGTACGACAATCGATGCTCGACTATTTCCAAGTCAAAAATCAAGCAGCAAGACAAACCATATCACACGGCTGGATAAGTCCATAGAATTATTTCCGCAGAGATGTCGACCCAATATGAGGGTAAAACGCCCTCTGCCCCCCCTGCCCCTGCACTTCCTTTCTATTCCGCCGTTGTTATATCGACAACGTGACAAAAGCCAACCCAGTACTAACGCACCGTTATAGTCGAGCATAACATTTCTCCCAGCACCCGCCAACGGGAGAATACCCGCCGTGTAGACATGTCGACCTTCGATTCTTTCCTCCGCCAGATTCTTACCACCGACCCATCCTCTTCATCCTCGACCTCCCAACACCATCACAATCCACATGCGACACCGACGCCGGTAGCCGCCGCCTCCCTGTTCACCCTCCTCCAGGAGCAATTCCAAACCCTCCACGCCACCGCTCCTTCCCCCGCAAACGCCTCCTTTCTCGAGTCCCTTGTCTCCGCCCTAGAAGCCGACATCGAACGGCCTCCGACCGAGATCCCGGGCGTCAACCAGGAATACCTCGACTCCCTCGACCGTGTAGACCGCAAGCGCCTCGGCGCCGATGAACAGTGTCCTATCTGTGCCGAGCGGTTCCTCGACGATAAGTACTGTCTGGTCGTGGAACTCCCTTGTCACCACAGCCACAGGTTCGACTTGGAATGCGTCAGCCCTTGGCTTCTTGGGAAGGGGAGCTGTCCGATGTGCCGGAAGGATCTGACCAAGAAGAAGGAGCCACCGGTATTGCAGCATGATGACGATGAGGAAGATGATGACCCAGATGGGCTTTATGCGTAGTCGGTTGGGAAAGGGGGCCGAAGTAGTCCAAAAGGGTTGCGCTGTGGTAGCGATAATCATGCCCCCCGTTATCGGCGGGCATCACGTTTGATAGACACGACGTGCGGAGGACATGTGGACTTTATGTGTGCATTTATTCCGTGGTAGTGTTTTTCTCTTATGATTAACGTCAAGAAGGGGACTTGAAATGCCATCATGAACATGTCTACTTCAGGGCCGAACGCCTGACCGCCTTCCCATTGCCCCGTCTTGGACCGTCATTACAAGGAAAGTCTTGAGAACAGTCTGTCCGTCCCGCACAGTGAGACAAGCGGATCTGCCCATGGCCGTCTCTCCCCCCTCAGGCGGAAGGCTTCCCCTTCTTAGCCGGACTCTTGCCACCGCTTGAACCTCCCTTCCTGACCTCCTTCCCCGACCCTTGGTCCGCCTCTCCCCTGTCACCCATCGGCTTTGACATCTCTTGGTTCGCCCCGCTGACCTCTAGTTCTGGCCCCTTGGCCGCCTCCATGGCCGCCTCGGGCGACGTCTTTTGCGGATTGTACGCCGCCTCGGGGTCTGCGGCCGCGTCCGAGTCGCGGCCAGACTTGGTCGTTTCCGTCCCGTTCTTCTTCAGCGAGGTGCGGTCTTGCGTGTCCTTGTACGGGAACTGGGCAGTGGAGGACCGGTGAAAAGGCCTTGTCGTTACTGCGCTTCGGTTTCGCAGCCATGTTGTTGTCTGGTGAGAGTGCACGCGGAGAAATTGCCGCGATGCCATGTTGCTTGCTACCTGATCGTTCTTGGGTTGGGTGCGGCGCAGGATCTGGAGGACTTCTTTGTTGTAAAATGTTAATTGTTTCAGTTATCGTGCGATAATTGTTTTGTTTCTCAGAGTTTAAAAGGCAATTGCACGACACAATAATCAATTGACTTGTAAGGGTAGTCAAAAACAGAATCACTTTTTGTTGCTTGTACGGGTACCGCAAGAACCCCAGCTACGTATAGCGCTGGCTGACGTCATGGGTACGCATTGCAAGTCGGTGGATTATCCTCCGCCCTGGCATCGGTGAGCGTCTCACCGAACTGGTACTGTTCGCAGCAATGGAACAAGAACACTGTCTCATAAGGTAGCTGCCAAATCAAAGGTCTTCCGAAAAGTCTACCGGTATCCGCATTTGACCGTTCCAGGTCTACGACTTTGTATATGGATCGGAGCTCGAGCAGTCCTTCCTTGAACCATCGCTGCTGCCGTCCTGGGATGGCCCTGAGAAAATGGGCTTGTGTTCGGCTCGGATATGAACCCCGGTCGAGATTCTCTTCCCTAGGTAGCTTCACAGTAAACAATTAGTCACGACAATGGGCACAGCACGAACCAGAACAATCCAAGAATGATCACGGTTTGATGGGACCAAAAATTAAGCACACGACCACCCATCACGTGAAAGAGGAAGTGCTTCGTTTAGGTTCAGGGAGCCTTCCCGGTCCGCGGCGCACAAGCAGATCTGACCAGCATGGTTTAGTTTTAGCCTTTGTTATTCCAACCCCGCCTCCCACAACCTATACCGACTAACACGAAATATGCTGTCACTACGTTGGATCAGCACTCTATTTAGTTGCTCTTCTACCCTGTGTTGTCTCCATGGAATCATGGTGGAATGGCGAATGCAGACTCGAAATACCTATGATAACTCCGGCAATGTATCACGATGTACCTCCAAGTTTCCTGGTCTCTAGTGCATCGTGCCCTGTGCTTAGACTATCGGCCGCTCTGCATATGCTAAGGTTGTAAGGGAGAGAACCGTGCGTATTTAAAGGGGTAGCAACGCCAGTGCAGGATATTTGGTGGCTTATTAAGACGCCAACCCTCCAAATCATCTGTCTAAGTTGAGGTGAAAGAAGAAAATGCGATGTGGGCAACTCGTTTGCGTCCCATAAAATCTGCAAGGGATGGAACCGCTGCTTCCCCCCGGCGAATCTGTCAGTTGATGCTCCGCTTCATGCGTACAACATATGTCTACCTCTGCCAGCTGCGAGTTTAACGCAACATCTGATCTGGTCGGCATACTCTTCCTTCGGACAGATTAAAGGGAAGTGAGTGTAGAAAGACGGAAGCACAGTCACAGGTGGGGGCACGTAGATCATCTTCTAACTAATCAGTGGCCAAAGCATTCGAGGCATAAGGAACGACGTGAGTTGTCGCCGGTTGGACAACCCGATTCAAGCCCATGACAAGGTCGACTTACAGTCCTAAATGAGCCTCTCACCATGACGGGTAGGTCACTGGTCAGAGAGCGGCCAAGCCGCCGCTAGCCTTGCCCCGTACCTACGCTTGCAATTGTCTTGCAATCTCTCTGGCACCGGTGTCAACGGAGCACGAGAACGTCCTCGTACGGAGCATTTCGTGGGCAAGGACAACCTTCCACATTGAGAATTTGAGAGCAGTCTTTGTGGACGTGGCCTGCCTATAAAATACGATTGCGATGGACGAAATACCACAAGGCTCTCTTGACGGAAACACACGCAAGGGAGAAGGCATAGATAGAGAGGCCGGACTCTTTGACGAATGGTGATTAGTCGCCATCCCTGCATGTGGGTGACTGACTTTTGATTCCTTCGGCACCAAGACGCCTAGAACGCGGTCAGTCCGAAAGTAAGAGATTATGTAACCCGACCATGATGGTGATGCCTGGGTTGGACAACTGCTGGCGGTCTTGCAGTGGTATAGGTTGTAGGTACTGCTGTTTGGGGTTGGAGAAGCGAGGCGTGGTGGTTGCCGTCCAAAGAAGGATCGGAAGGCTACCTTAGTCCGCTGCACACACAGGACACATGAGATGGAACAGGGCTGATTTTTAATTTATTAGGTATGATTATATTTTGCCGGTACGGAATACGACATCAGATGGAAATGAGACTCGAGTAGACCCACCTGCCTGACACAGCTTTCTGCGACGGGACGGGATGCTGCTACTTAATTACACGTGTACACGTGTAGATGAACCTTTTGCGGTTTCAGCCTGTGTGATCTGCAAGAACCTGGTGGGTGACATCAGCATCGGGCAGGGGTCTGTGTCAAAATGTGGTGCAGTGGGAGGGACGCACGTTACGTGTAGGGAGGGGCGGCGAAGTATTATTATTAGATACAGCGAAACCCAAAAAAAGGAGAAACCAACCCCCCGTCAGGGTAGCATTGGCGATTTAGAAAATATTAGAAAATATATTCAGAAGCCGGCTCGGTATGAGATAACGAGCAAAGCGGGAGATAAGAGGGAAGCACGGGAAATGAGCATATGGCTTTAACACGAGATGATTCTCGATGCGATGTGTCTCTCTGCAAGGGTGGGTATTTAATTAAGTTGAAGACGTTGGGTAAATGTTGGGTGGCCAATCAATGCGATTCCAGTACCGATCGACGACTACCTTCCAGAGTAGAAGGGTGTTGTGAATGTTTGGTATAGGGTGAGATCGTCGTCTCTTGATCTGGCAGGTAAGCAGGTAAGATGGTCTCATTTTGACTTGTATCGGTAAGGGAGAAGAACGCAGGTCAATGAATGCAACGATGCAGGTTGGAAGGCTTCTAGAATACCCCAAATCATGCATTCTTTTTCCCTCTCGTCCCCTTGCTTGTCCCCCGCAGCATCTCTTGTCGTTTATTAATGGAAGCTTGCACCCGGCACGGCAGGACCTATCCCAAACTAGGTACATCAATTTACGCAAGACCAGGGATAATTGACAGATTTATTAACAGAGTGACAGTTTATCTATATTGCTGCAACAAATACAGCTTAGACGGATCTCCGTCATATCGCAGTCAAAAACACAGATATGACTTGCAACTCGATTTGTATGAAATGTGACGAATCAGATAGGGGAGGGGGTAAAACAAAGAATAGAAGGAAAAGGAATAAAAGGGGGAAAGAGGGAAAAGAGGAACGAACTCCCGCCAGAACCCCACCTTCTCCCCTGAAGAACGGCGGCCTGCTAGGCGCACCCAACAATTGGGCAATTGTCGTCTTGGCTCCAGGGGACAGTCTGGATCCGGCTGGACCCTATAGGTTGCTGATAATGTAAGCACCTACTCCGTGCATACACATTTCTTTGTGAACCGGCCGTGGCGTTTTCTCAGCGAATCCAACTGAATATCTAGCGACGGGATGAAATGATGCCGAGGCAATTTTTTTGAGGGCGAAAACACTGAACAATACGGTGTGGGGAAGTTTATCCGTATCTAATTGGCATCGAATCTACAGACTATGCACACGTGGATGGCAAGGATCAGGTTGGCCGTCCACGTCTCTTGTAGGTAGGCATCAACAACCTGAAGGCCAACGGTTTCCCTCCAAGCGCCATCAGCAGACCCTGATAGATGGATCACATCTGGCAGGATCAATGCTGTACAAAATGTTCCACACTCACGAGTCCCCCTTTTCCTTCTCTAATCGTGGCTGAATGTCTGTTTCTTACAGCCATGTTGCCTAGCCCCGAATAGGTATATCCTTAGACACATATGCTCCCTTTCCACACAAACAAATCCCTACGTGCCAGTATCCATCCATCCTGCTCCGTCCTTCCGGGGGTACCGAAGGATTGGGACGCTCTAGGCCGGATACCCGGTCAAAGGAACAGGGTATGGGATCCTCGCCGGAGCGCGATGCTGCTGAGACCCGTATTTATTCGTATATTCGTGCTGCTATGCTTCCAGTCTTCCATGTTTTAGTTGGTTTACATAGTTGACGTGGGCCGTTATAGTGAGCTACTAGTGCCATCGGAGTTGTTCATGCCTTCGTATAGGATGTCCTTGTGCGAATTGTTGTAACATGTTTGGACGGTCAAATACGGAAAACAGGAGGCTGGATAAAGGTATGTTACGGAGTAGGGGCCTAGGTAGGGCATCGTGAACCACTTCCGTGGAGGGAGTGGAGGGAGTGGAGGGTTGTCTGCCTTCGTTATTTACTGGGTACTTAGGCAAGTTCATACACACGCTTACTTTGTATGCATCACAAGCTAAGATATTGCAACTGCACCACTAGAAATCTTTCCTCTGACCTTGTGTCAACGCTCTGATGTTGAATTTCAGAACTGCGGAAAGCGAGCCGGTCGGTCTGTCTCTTACATGAGGGGACGATTGCTTGCTTCCTACAAAGTCTTCAGTGTTGACGGATAGATCCCCACCTCGAGTAAGGTAGAGGTTTCCCAGCTGCATAAATCGCTTTCCTCACCTTGTACTTGGCTGCTTTGCATACTTGGGAAGGAGAGGCAACAAGTTCCTCACAACGCTTTAAAGTCCACTATCGACAGAGAATTCCAATCTGAATTTGACGCTTCATGTACGAAGTGCTTTGTACGAACTACGGAGGATAGACTGCGTGGGACGCTGAAAAAGACTTGCGGGGCTGACGCGCCAACGCATGGCAGCCCAAGACGAACCATGCGACGACGACATAATTACTTCGTGGCTGGTGAAGGGCGCTATTGAATGCGCTCACGCCGTTCTGCCCATGTGGCTGGCATGTGGCATGTCCGGGCCATTCCGCTACTTCGAACCCCCATTACGAATCCAAAGAATTCATTGGCCGTTGAGCAATCTAGAGGTATTTCCCTTCCAAGTCTCCATACTACACGAAGTACTTTGTACGAATAGACGACTACAGGTAATTACCTAGGTACTTTAGGCACTTATGTATGATCATTCCGACTAAAGTCGCTACGATTCTATACACCAGCATAAAGTTCGCGTTGATGAAGTATACTATAACCTTGACAGATACAGTGACTTAAGGTAAGGAGGTACTTACTCAAATTGCAATGCTCGACACACACAACTGTGTGACGAGCGAAGACCCCTGCCCCCTTACGAACGAGAGCCCTAATTGGTCCGATGGCCGGCACATCCCACAGCATGTATCTGTAGTTCATGGAGAGGGACCCCACAGGACGGAATCGAAGAAACCGTGGACAAATTCTGGAAGCCTCAAACTTTTTTCTTCTTCTTTTCCTCCCGTCTTATGCATCTGGAACGAAAGCAAAGGAGAGCTGGGAAAAAGCAACCATAGAAAAGATCGTCACACATCTAGGATGCCATGCACCTCGTACTTCGTAAATTGCCTATACGGAAGATCAGTAATTACGGAGTGGTAATGAAGTTACGAAAGTACTCCTTTCATACAGAACAGACCAGCAAAAGGACGTGGCCCATAGCTCTGCCCACATGTCCCCGGCCATCCACCGTGTGTACGACTAGAGATTGCTTATAATATCAAAGCCAGCCATCGCCAACATCACCCCTCCCACCCCACTCCCCCTATCGCCTTTCCAGCTGCGGCCCGTGCAGGTTCATGAAGAGCCGACTGACGCACTTAGCCCTGCCTATCGAATCCCTGCACCACAAGCCTGCTAGCATCCTCCTCCTTCTTCCCACCACGTTGTAGGTGCATGAGCTCGTGCTCTCGCTCAACACCCCCTGTCCCCCTTTTCCATTTGCGATCCGCTATCACCTCCCAAGACCCCTAGGGCGCTGACCGCCTGACCCAGCAAGGAGAGAGAGAGAGAGAGACGGGGCGACAGCCTTTTACAACAAACAGGCTCGACCAGGTTTGCCGCATTTTCGGGTGCAATTTTTAACTGATTCTGCTGGAAAGCACTCTGCTGGCCATGGATGACTTGGTATCTTCTTCACTCTAGCCGACTTCCCTCCTTCTCCTTTCTTATCATACAAGATAACCTTTTTTTTTTCCTCTTCTTTTTTTAAATGGCCTCTGTACCTCAACGCAGCGCATCTACACGATATCGAACAATTCACACATGTCTCTAAGACTCCGCTGATTCTTCATCTCGACACGTAATTACGGAATATCCGTACTTATCTTGTTCTCTGCTTCACCCCGGTACCGTCAGTCGGGGCGATTCAAGGCTACCCCCCTCAACATACCCCCGTCACTTGTACCAGGTGACTCGAGACAGGCCCACTTCGTGTCTGAACTCCTATTGTATGTAGGTATGTACTCCGTAAACTCCCATCTCCACTTCCTTCTGTGTCTTGCTTGTATTTCCGCCATTTTCCTACGAAGCACGAATAGATCTCTTTTGTCATCCGAAATTTTACGTTGACCCTCTCTGCCCTTTATGCCATAGATTGAACCTACAGGCGCGAGAGAGACGCAGAGACTCAAGCAGGACCGCGCCTCGCCATGGGCAACAGTCAGGGCAAACCCATCGATTGGGATGGCGAAGGTGAGTAGCTGATTATTTTCTTGGTTATGGCCGCCCCCTCGTCTTTCCTCGATGATAATTGTCCCGTTCCGCTAATTGTTTGTGTCGCTATATAGTCACCCTGAATCACTTCCGTCTGCTTCGAGTTGTCGGCCGGGGCGCCTTCGGCAAAGTACGCATCGTGGAACGAAAAGACACGGGCCTCTCGTTCGCCTTGAAATACATTCGGAAAGATGAAGGTATGGGACGTTGGGATCCCCTCAATTGAACGTTGGGCCCGTTTCCCAGAGACCCGACGTGTTCAATCGTACTGTGACCTGTTCAGGAGAGTGGCTGAGAGTGGCTAACTTGGACTCCTAACGGTAGTGGTGCGGTCCGAGAGCGTTCGGAACATCATTCGCGAAAGACGAATGTTGGAACATGTGAACCATCCGTTCATTTGTAACCTGCGATACAGCTTCCAAGACATCGAGTACATGTACGAAGGATTGTCCCGTCACCGTCACACCACGACTGGAAAACAAAGAAAAAAGAAATTGCAATTAACCAAGGTTTTAGGTATCTCATCGTCGACTTGATGAGCGGTGGCGATTTACGGTTTCATATTTCTAGGAAGACATTTACGGAAGACGCTGTTCGGTTCTGGATTGCCGAGCTAGGCTGTGCGTTGCGATACATCCATGGCCAGGGCATCATTCACCGAGACGTCAAGCCGGACAACGTACTCCTCGACGCCGATGGCCACGTGCATCTGACAGATTTCGTACGTCAGCTAGGTACTCAATTGCGTCACTTCCATTCAGAATGCTGACTCAAGTCGATAGAATGTCGCATCCGACATCGTTCCGGGGAAAACTTTAACAAGCAAGTCTGGTACGCTATCCTATCTAGCACCAGAGGTATACGCCGGTAAAGGCTATGACGTTCGTGCCGACTGGTGGTCCTTGGGTGTGCTCTTTTACGAGTGCATTTACAATAAGGTACGATCGTGATGGTCCCGCCCTCGCTGTTCAACGTATCTTGTTAACCCAGACTTCACAGAGGCCCTTCGATGGCAACTCGGAGAGCACACTAAGCGCCCAGATCCAAGCAGCGAATCCGAAATATCCGATCACATCCCCGCCTGTGTCTCTTCCCTGCCTGTACGCCATCCGCGACGCCCTCGAGCCGAACCGCGACAAGCGAATGGGATCCACATGGGAGAGTTTCATACATCACGAGTTCTTTTCCGTGATCGATTTCGATTTGTTGGAGCAAAAGCGTATCGACCCTGTTTTTGTCCCAGCTGCCGACAAGACCAACTTTGATGCGACTTACGATCTCGAGGAGCTGTTGCTGGAGGAAGCGCCTCTCGAAGCGAGGGCGCGCCGTCAAAAACCTCGAGAGAAGTTGAAAGAAGATGCCAGCGAAAAGGAGATCAGAGAAGACGAACTATACCGAATGATCGAGGCGGAGTTTAAGCCTTTCGACTATACAGTGGCCGCCTACAAGAAGTATGGTCCTGAGACTCTCCTTTCATATATGAATTTGGTGATGACTAACCTGAGACCAGAATAACCGGCCAAGCTGGCGCAAATCATGGCACTGTGGACAACGCGGCCGCTATCGGAAGTCAACCGCAAGCATTGACAACAGACAAAGCCACCCCTGCCGCCCTAGCGAATGTAAATACCGGCAGCCCTCAAGTTTACAACCCCTCCCCCGTACATAGAACGCCGAGCCATGGGAAGGACTCACTCCAAGAATCGCCAAGAGCTCCCTCTACCAACTCGGTACCCCCGCCAGTCCCACAGCATTCGGCACATTATTCGACACCGAAAACACCGGGTTCTTCGTCAAAGAGGGTAACTAGCCCCGCGGGTGGTGTGCAGGTCACATTAGATGGCGGCGGTAGCTGGTCAGACTTGGCAAGGCAAGACGCCACTTTGCCTACCGACGCCAATGCTGCTGGTGACGGCAAGGGCGAAGCCTCCGGTGGTGTGTTTGGCTTCCTCAGCAGGAAGAAGGGCCGAGGACACAGCCCGAAGCCCAAAGAACGAGGCGTGTTGGGCAAGGAGGGTGCAAGAGTTGTCATTGGATAACGATCATTGACCCATCGTCGTGGTGTCTGTTCAGGGAGCAAAGAGCTGGGCATGGAAACACGAACAGACTGGCCCCTAAAACCCGTGAGGGGCAGGATGAGCACGACAGGGGTGACAGGCCCCCCGACACGAGCAGCTCGAAAAAAAAGAGAAAAAAAAGAACACCCTGGTATATGGAGACGTCGATGCGCTCGAAGAAGAAACCGGGGCACTCGATACCTCCACCTGGACGACTCGACATGTCGGGGTTGTCGAATGCCGGCACTGTCATTCGACCTACAAATGCAGCTCCTACACAACTGGCCTTGCGTCATTCTCCCCCTTTCAAGCGCAGCTTGAACCGAACGGGGAGATCTATTTCCCAACTCCAGCGAGGTCCGGGGAAGGATCAGCATGTCCCGACTAGGCCCTTAGCCTTTCCAACAGTAATTACGACGGCTCATTGAAGCGGTCAACGAACTAGTTCTCGAGGGGCTGGGCCCTTCGGGCATGCGGCCCGTGTGGATGAAAGATAGGGGGTGGTGGGCGGGGTTCATTTTCAAGTTCATTCCGGGTGCATGAGTATAAAGGTATGGTCATGTCGTGGTCTATAGGGCTCGGATGGGTCCTTAAATTTTCTTTGTCTGTATACATACTTTTACGGGACGTGTTGGATGATACCTGGGAGTAAAGACAGGTACAACGAGTAGATGAGTCGCTGGTTGCTCGATTATTGTTTAATGATACCTCCATTGCATGATACATGTTGGCAAGTCCCCTTAGTCGGCCGGCGTCCTGTTTTCGTAGCGAGATGTCTCTCCCCTACTGGCTTTTCGCATAGGCAGCCTACCTTAGGTACCTTAGGTAAGGTACTGAGGATGCTTGTGGTTAGCGGTAGGTCGGAACGAACCATGTCCACCACATGCCTCCCATCGCAACACTGCGACGTGGGCGAGAGAAAGGCCGACGTACTAAAGCCAACCATGCGATGTACAAGTTTAGAAGGGTAATGACATCCACGGGAAGTATCTGAGACGACTCTAGGAAACCAGAGCGAACTGTTCCAGGATCGTGGCACACAGGTAGCCATATACCTTATATAGAATAAAGGATACAAATCTCGAAAGTGTACAGCATACCCAGGTAGGTCCTCTAGTCGTGGCGTCCACGTGATCGGATGAGTAGCATAGTGGTTACAAGAACTGGCGCAAGAGCAAGAATAATAAAGAAAAGAAGGAATCGCTGAGAAGACGGCAAACTTTCGTCTAGCCTCAGTCTCGGGGTATCTTTGTCGAGGTTGTTTCGCCCCCACCAGCCCAATGCCACCACCAGATGAAATGCAACGAGTCTAGATGAGAGCTCAGAGCCCCTTTTCATGCCGAGATGACGAGTCCATTTCACGCCTTTTCCGCCCTGTCCCACCAAACCAGCTAAAGCAATCCGTCCCAAGGTTGATTTTATTTTCGTTCTTTGTTTCTTCTTTATTGTTTATTTTTTTTTTCTTTTGTTTCGCTGAGTGGGCGATTTGCCGCCGAGTCGAACGCCGAGTCCCTGGAAAACCACCAACCGAACCAGACTTGGGCCGCTGCCTTGGCCGTACTGTTCTGACCCTTTTACCCGGAAAAAAAAATCCTGCCAAAGCTCAAAATTATACACAACCTCGGAAGTCGAACGAATTCAACACTCAAGACGTCGATGATTTGACGCAAGAGATGTCCTTGCCCAACCACTTTTTCATGACAGTATCAAAATCTCCTTCGGAAACAACAGACCCAGTTCCGGAGCACTTGGCTTTCTTTTGAAGCTCTGAGCAGAGACTGTCGAGATCAAAGTCACCGTTCTGAACCGTAGGGCAGTTTTGAATTTTCTCCCTGTCGAAGCAATCAGTAACCTCATCACTAACATCCACTTTTGAGTCAAAACATACCAAACTTCCTCACAGTCAAGCCCTTCTTGCTTGACAGCATCTTGTTTCGCCAGATCATTATCAGCGTCTTGGGCTGCGTCAATCTGGTCGATGAGGTTCCTCTTTGGAAGCGCTGGATTGGGTGCCATATTATAAGGGGTGAAGAAATCCGCATCCAGAGCATCTTTGAAGAAGCCGTCGTCAAAATTAGAGTTGGCTAGGATGTTGTCCTGAGGCTCACGATAGCTGCTAAAAAGATCGGGATCAAACTGGCCTCCATTCTGGTGAGCCAGCCAGTCGAAGCTGTTAGGATCAATAGAGGCGAAAAGTGAATTATCCTCGCCACTGGGGAACGAGGGCTGCTCTTCCCCTATTGTTGCCATGGTGTCTACTGGCTTGAATCCCATGGGTGACTGGTTAAGGGGTTCAGGTGACGTGCCGCATGACGAACTTGACCCGCCTTGGGACTGAGAAGATGCCGAGGGCGAGCTAGTTGATGTGCTATGAGTTGCCTGGGAATGCCCAGAAGAATCGATGCTTGTACGTGAGGCAGAAATGGACCCAGGGGAGACCTTGGTATTGACGTGCTTCGAGTACTTGGAGGAACTATCGGCGACGTTGTAGCCGCCATTATCAATGACAGGACTCTCGGTGTTTTCCTGGCGTCTGGTGGAGCCGGCCGGCTTCCCGGGAAGAACCTGCCGGGGGGTTGATGACTTGGAAGGCTGGCTGTTGGCGGCGGTACCAGTGGTGGTGGCAGTTGCGGCAGTTGCTGGTAGAACACCGAACTTGGGAAACTCGAACTGGAAGTTGACATCGTTGATGTTACCCACCGCTGGGGCACCAAAGCCTGTTCGCGGCCTACCCGGAGCAAGAGATCGGCTGGTCACAAGTGAAAGGCGCGTCTTGTACTCCTGGAGCTCCCTCGACATCTTTTGTACCTGGACACGAAGGAGGTTATTCTCGTGATTTGCCGTCTCAGACGCCTTGTGTAGTTCCTCGACCTTGTCCTCGAGGTCTTTGAGGTGCTTTTCCTTGCGCTCACGGAACGCTCGTTGAGCAGCTCGGTTCTGGGCCTTGCGCTTCTACAGACGCGCCGTATCCGTTAGCAAGCGTAGACGGGATATCGGGACAGCGGAGTTTAGGCAACGTACGGAGCTTGGTTCCGATGTAAGTGGCTTCCGCCCAGGTTTCTTTGCCACTTTTTCAGTACTCTCGCGCCTTTTAGCGCCGCTGGCCCCAGTCGAGTCGTTGGACTCATCGTCGTCGGGATGGGCTCGTTTGTCGGGAGAATCATTTTCAGGCGACTCAGATTTGTGCTGGCCTGGCAGATCTCCAATCAAGGTCTGTTGGCTCTCATTCGCAAAATCAAAGTCGAAACTGGAATCTCCGAACTCATAGTCGTAGTTGTCAAGGAGAGGTGTCTCCTGGAAGCCATCTAAGCTCTGTTCCTGAGCGGGAGACATCTGGAGGGAATTCGGAGAGAACGGCAGCGGGTTGGTCGCGGGCGGCTGACTCGCCGGCTGCTTATTGGAGTTCAAGGCAGCAAAGAGGAGCCTTTGTTGCTGGGGGGTCAAGAAGAAATGGGATTGACCACCGTTGGTGCCGCCGGACGCCATGGTGGTAGTAACAACGTGGAAGTGAATCCAGAGATACAAAGAGTAAACACGAGCCTGTTACAGATGATGCCGACTCGTAGACTCCAGATGAGCCGCTTGGAGCTACTCGGCAAGTGAAAGCGCTCTGGCGTCCGTGACACAATCCAAGAATAGTCGTATTCTGGCTTGCAGGGACACACCTCACGACAGGATGCTAGGATACAACCGAGTACGCGCGGCCAAAGCTGGATAGATGGTCAGGAAGGGCAGAAAATAATGAAACAATAATAAAAAATCGTCTATCAGGGGTAAACATAAAGAAAGGGGCATGAATCAGTGAAGGCTAGAACCAGGCAGCAGAGCCAAGGGAAAGCAGAGTGCTTGCTGACAGAGGCTGCAGGGAAAGGTACAGGGCCTTGGATCTGTCGTCCCTTCCCAGGACTGCGGAGAGGTTAGCCAGGACTGTTGGGCTATGGTTGGTTGGCTTGCAGAAATTGTACGTTGATGGACCACTGGCGGGAGTCGTGGTGGTGACAAGGCGAGAGTGAGCAGTGTAGAGAATCGTCTCGAAGGAGGGGAAAGTGTTGAAAGAAGGGCGGCGAATCGTATCAATTTGTCAGCGTCTGGGACTTTGCGCCCAGCCTAACCCCGAGAAGGCAGGCTGACCATCGACCAGCAAAGTGGTGGGCAGGATTCGGTGGGAAGGTGGGGAGGGGGAAAGTGGGGTACAAAGTACCTTATGAACAACGGGCTGACTGAGCCTGTCATAATAAGTGGAGACGCCTTCCAAGTTTTTTTTCTCGACCCGTCGTGCGGAGTAGTTCGATCTACAACGTAATTACCTTACACAGAGCCTGTATCCGGACGTACCACCCACCAGGACAAAGACGCGTCTCAATTGTCCTTCAGCATACGACGGTACGTCCGCAACCCGCGATACCTCCGAAATATTGCCCTGATCCGTCTTGTTGGCAACGTTGAGGTCGGCGCTCCTGCAGGATAAGATGGGCGTCGGACCCCAGATCTAAATGCAGAGAAAAGGATTCGACACAGACCACCTTATCGGCAAGTCTGGCCTCTAGCCATTGGCTATGAAGACCGCAATTATAAAATTAATGCGAAAGACAAACTGCTGATATTGTCCGATGTCGGCTCAAATCCCAAGCTTAATCTTCACGACGCACATCTCCTTGGCTATCAACACAGTTGGCAGTTGTTGGTCCCACTGGTCCTGGTTATCCTTGAGTTCAGCATGAGGTACGCAATATTTTGTACTGGAACATCGTTCAGTGATGCTATCATCGACCGATCCTGAGAAGAGCTCACCAATGTAGGAAGGCCAGATTCAGTTTGCTCCATGACTACCTAACTTTCGGTGGTAAGATCTCGCAGCCGTAATCACGCTGGCCCAACCTCTCACCGGATTAGCCGTGGTCTCTTGCTGTGGAAAGCCCTCCACACTGTACAGATGTACGAGTACATATTCCGGATGCTCCGTAGATGGTAAGTGGTAGGTATTTGAGGGCATGCTGGTGGCCACCCCACACGGACCAAACGCAAGCTTCCATCAGTCTGGGGTTTGTCGAGAAAAAGACCGGCATCTCTGGGTCGGTGTGCGCCGGAACCGGATCCGGTTCAAAAATAGCCTCGGTCCCACAATTCTGCTGGTACGTTAAAAGTCACTTAAATACCTACTGGACCGTATCCGGACGAAGTGTTCCGTACTGATAAAATCACGTGTTGCTGACTATTCACATTGTGCATTGACCACCTCCGAGATGCACACCCCCGCTGAACTGGTGCTGGAGATCACCGCGACTTACTATTGCTTTGTATCGTTGACTATCCGTAACGAAAGTGCCGAACGTTCGATCTGTGTTTATATACTTGATCTCATTCTTTGCAGCCGGCCTGCAGGAAGTAATAAACCTCTTGGAACGGATCGCAACTACTAGCCTTTACAGGTCTGCTTCGACCAACATAACATCATGGACTTGGCCTATGACCACATACATCAAGAAGCGTTCACAAAGAACAACGACGATACCGAGGGTGGGTCAAAGGACTCCAAGTCGGGCCAACAGTCGAGTCTAGATAAGGATCTGCAGGAAGCCTACAAGGCCATCTCGACCAGCGCTTGGGGTGTCAAAATCGGGGGCTTCTTGGGCAATGCGGTCAAACAGGCATGATCCATCTTGGCCCTACCTCGGGTTCCTACCTTCTCTGACCATGATACCAGGGACAATCAGTTTACCGAGAAGCATCAAAGGAGGTCACCGAACTCGGACAGGATGCGGCGAAAGGATTCAACAGCCTCCAAGAGACGATCGTATCACGAACAAGAGGTCTTTCGATAACAACACTGACACCCCAAACAGGGGAGTCTTCTCGTACCAAGGCAAAAGAGGCGGATGAGAAAGGAGAGGTGACCCCCACGATTTCGAGACCTTCAGGTTCAGGCGACGCTGCCGGCCATTCAGAGACGTACTTGGCGAGACTTCGTGCCGAGGCAGCCAAGCGGTTGAAAGACCTACAGAGGGCAGAGGATGCTGCGGATGAGGCATTGCTACGGTTTGGCACCAACATCAGCAACTTTCTCAAGGAGGCCGTTACCATTGCGCCTCCGTCGGCCTCGGACAACCAAGGAGACAACAGGGTGCTTTTTGAAAGCAAGGATGCACAAGGCAAGCGGGTCATTCACGCGTCTAGGCAGGATGCCCAACTACATGTCATACACACCAGCCCAGACAGCTTTTCGAAAGACCCAGCGACCGAGGAGTTCGTGCAATGGTCAAGGACCTTTGATGTCGAGAAAAAGACCTCGGACATCAGCGACGACCTGGACAAGTACCCCGAACTTCGATTGACAATGGAGAAACTGGTCCCAGATCAGGTGCCTTATGTCGACTTCTGGACACGATATTATTTCCTGAGACACGGTCTGGATGCAGCTGAAGCCCGACGACGAGATCTACTCAAAGGTAAAACCTTTACTCGCTATGCTCTCTTCTATTGTATTTGTCCCCAAAGCTCGAGACACATAAGGCTAACACCGGCGCTAGCCGCGTCTGCTGAGGACGATATTGGATGGGGCGACGATTCGGACGATGAAAACGACGAGAACACCCAGTCCAAGGCCGACCAGAAAAAGCCCGCACATCAGCAGGACAGACCTGCGTCGGCAGCATCATCCACCACTATCCAGCCACCAGCACCAGCACCAGCACCAGCACCAGCACCAGCACCAGCACCCGCGCCCGCAAGCTCCCTTAAGCCCATCGAGTCCCGCAAGTCGAACGATGAGAAGTCGCAGGCCGGTAGCGAGGCCAGTTATGATGTGGTCGGCGCGGCGTCTGGCGTTCCAAGCCAAGCACCCAACAGCCCCAAGGAAGCAGGCAAGGTGGATGATAGTGACGAGGACTGGGAATAGATCTGATGGTACTCGTGGTTGGCGTTATGCTGGTCGAATTCCCCCCACCTTGGGGTTGCGTAATTTGATGTAATATTTGCTTTCCGTTGGTACGCAACAAGGCAACACAACGTCGTCTCTCTATGCGTCCCAAGCCCTCATAGGCCAAAATCCATTTTATGGCCTACTTAGCACACAAGTATACCTTCAATTAATTCGCCGGGTTTTCGTGAACACTATCTCCTCTTTGTGACCTTGGTGAAGCCATCTTCGTCCACCTCTGTCGGAGGTTTCTCCTTCGGGGCAGACACAAGCTGCGGGGCCTTATCCATTTCAATGTCGTCGTTGATTTCCCGGCCGTTCCTGTCTTCATCGTCGTCGTCGTCGTCATCGTCATCGTCGTCTTCGTCATCATCGTCGTCGTCATCATCCGCATCGGGGTCCGCCTGTACCAAAACAGCGACTTTCTTCCCCTTCCGACTCTCCCATCTATTCCTCAGCTCAGAGACATCATCAAAGCGGCCGCGCGCACATTCGGCCCTCAACCGCACAATCTCCTTCGCAACATCGTAGGCGGAGTCATCGTCGATGTTGACGTCGAACTCGTCCAACATCACCTGCAAAAGAAACTCTTCGACATATGGCGCGTCAGGCTCTTCTGGAGCGGTACCTGCGGAATCGGCGCGGGGTACTGCGACACTGTTGATGATTTTGTCGAAGGGGGCGAATAAGTCGGCGACGGCACCGGCAAACCAGTCGCGCTTGTCGGAGGAGTCTTCACCTCCCCATCCGTTTTGTACGGCGACTGTCAGACCGGGCCAGAGGTGGAGGGACAAGACAACAGATTGCTCGAAATTCTTTTGCGCGTCGGCTGGCAGGGGGTCGTGTTAGTGTGTTACTGAGGCTCCAAAGGAAAGCATACAGGTCCAGGTGTCTTGAGACGGCGGGGTTGCGTACCTGCTGTGAATGCAGCTGTGGCGCCGGCGGATGCCATCTTCGCTTTTTTTTTCCTTCCCTTTCGTTTCCTTATTAATGTCTTCCGTCTTTCCCCCTTCTTGTTGCAATAATTGTGTTGTCTTCGAGCTAATAGTATTTGGATTGCTTCTAGATTTGAGGGGCTCCCGTTTTCATCGTCATGTCTTTCTACTTTTTGTTTCCTGCGCCCCGCGTCAAAACGTGTGCGTGACTGATAAAACTGTATTCGTGCACTGTGCGCCCGTACATTCCAAGTACCGGACGAACCTCCTCAGGGACACCATAGGTAGTACCTAAGTTAAAAGGGTGCCAAGGCCATGATAAAAATGACATCACAAGACCCTGGCTAAATTACCAAATTAGTCTCCCTAGCCCTGTTCCTGATTTCTTGGTACCCGCGTCTCCCTCTCATCCTCATCTCGACAACACACAACACACGATACTCATCTATCTGCTCGACTACCCAAACACATTGCTGATATACGAATGGCCTGACCTTCCTTCTTGTAATGTCAATTCGCATACGTAAGATCTAGGCGTCCTCATTTGCGATTTATTGTACGAAATACCTTCTTGTGGATGAGAACACAGCTCGCCATACAGGCTATGAGAGCCTGCTTTCCCAAGTCACTTCCATCGCCTGAAAGTCCTTGTCTCTTGTCTGGTTGACAAGGGCGTCCTTTCTTGATCCTCATGGGTCCCCTTAAGCTTAACACGGTTTCCGTATCCTTCGCCGTCACGCCTACAGTCATCTCCACCCTATTATCTCATGTAAGTTACCCTTCACTGCCTCGGGATCGACGACATTGGGCTTCCTCGTAGCTTAAGTGATCTTAAAACGTCTCTGGTATTTCTCTGCTTTGCTGCTATAATATGTTGACATTCTCTCGTTGCCTCTGGCTTAGTACCTCAACCGCAAGGCTTTGGAACAGAAGCCAACCGCCAGCATTTCGTACCACGAAGGCCTACAACTCATCCGATCGTTCCTTCAGTTCGCTTCCTACCATACCGTAGAGGAACTCCAGTCCTTCACCAGTCAATGGGTCCCTCACCCGCAATGGGTCCGCGTCAAGGATGTGATTATTCCCAAGTCCCAGCTCGACGAGGCTGCTTCCCTGCTTCAAGCCCAGCTCGGCCAGGACGGAATTCAAAAGGTCGGGGGGCACAATTGGTGGCAGTGGAGGCAATCCGAGAACCCACTGAAGGCCGAGTGGATCGAGATGAGATCTGACTACCTGGAGCGCAAGGGGAGTGGCCAGTCATGCAGGCGGGTCATGCTTTACGTCCACGGCGGTGCGTACTATTTTGGCAGCGTCGGTGAACATCGCTATCAGATGCAACGCCATGCCCGAAAGCTCAGAGCCAGGGTCTTGGCCCCTGAGTACCGCCTTGCTCCTCAGTACCCCTTTCCCTGTGGCCTCCAGGACTGTCTTGCTGCCTACTTGTATCTTCTCAGCTTCCAGGAGCCCAACACCATTCTTCTCGCTGGTGATTCAGCTGGCGGCGGCATGATCTTGTCCATCATGTGCACTCTCCGCGACCAAGGCATTCCTCTGCCTGCTGGCGCGATTCTGATCAGCCCCTGGGTAGATCTCACTCATTCCTTCCCCAGCGTAGCCGAAGAAAACGACTTGGACTATATCCCGGCGTCGGGCTTTCACCATAAACCGTCGCGGGCTTGGCCGCCCCCGAACGAGGATGACATGGCTATGATAAAAGAACAGGCCGAAAAGAAGCGCGCTGGGAATGAGAAAGCGACCAAGACTAGCATCCTTGAAGCAAAACAGGCCAGCCCTTTTAAGATGGCACCCGCTACTGGACAAATGATAAACGGCGCTGCACCCCCGGAGTCCCGTGACTTGACCGAGAAGCCCCCGGAAATTCCGAACACATCGATTCTTCTCTCGCTTACCATCGATGGGAAGCACACTGTCGTGAAGGATCAGATTCAGGTATTTTGAACTATTGGCCCCCTTGCCTACGCTTCAAAGCCAAACTGCATCCTTAACACCCTCCTTTCTTTACCTTATCCATTGCTTCGAAGTCTCACGACATGGCAGATGTACACGACCAACGAACTTCTATCCCATCCCTTGGTAAGCCCCGTCACTCAGCCGACCTTAGGAGGGCTTCCTCCTCTGTTGATTATGGTAGGCAGTGGAGAGATCTTGCGGGATGAGCAAATCTATCTCGCCCACAAGTGTGCCGACCCTGCCAAGTATGCACCTCCCGAGGAGAAAATGGACAATGCAGCCAAGGAGCTTCTGAGGAGATTCAGGCCAACCAACGTTCAACTGCAAGTCTGGGATGACCTTTGCCATGTCGCACCGACGCTCAGTTTCACAAGACCCTCAAAGTATATGTATCGCTCGATCGCACAATTCGGCGCCTGGGCTCTCGCCCGAGCTCAGGAGGCCGCTATTGACATTCTTGACGATGACGCCATCTCTGTAATATCTAGCTCTGAGTCGGACTCAGGCGGCGACATGGTGCAGCAGAATGTGGGGGCGGTCGAGACCCTTCAGAACAACAGCTCTGCTGCCCATTTTCAAGTCGGAATGGCCGGCGACACCTTGCCCCCGTTCAAGGAACATATGATTCGACAGAGGGTGACCCGGAGCGGTGTCATATACCCGTTGCCGCCGCCATCAGAACTTCCGGCGTGCACCATAGATCCCAAAGAGATTGGTGTGGCCAAAGAGATGCCGGTTCGTAGATGGCTGGCGAGGAAGAAAGAATGGGAAACCAGGTATGCTCGCGCCAGAGCCAGAGTTCACCGGAAGATGATCGAAGACATGGCTGCGGGGTTCGTCAGATACAGTGACGGCGAGGACCCTCCACCGACGGCCCTCGCCGGACGGAGGAAATTAGACTCCGAAGAAAACATTAGAAAACCAACCAAGAGCATCGGACTCGCTCTCTGGTCCCTCTGGGGTTCCAAACACGACGAAATGACCGTGGAGAGGGAGAGAAGGGCAGAGCAACAACAGACAGAGCAGATACCTGATTTTGTGGTGGTCACTGAGGAGGTCTCCTCTCAAAACGCAACCCCGACACCCGTCGCTGGCCCTTCTTCGCCGTTGTCTCCCAGTACTGAACGGCCCCAGACCAGGTCCAGGACACGAAGTGTCGTCGACGAGCACCAGACATGGCAGCAGAACGAGGAACTGGATGAACGGACTCCCATTGCAGGCCTCCTCGCCATGCGCAAGGAGAGCGAGAGGAAAGCACAAGAGGAGGGAGGAGCCGGCAAGTCGGCCGATTTTTTGAGCCCCGACTACGTCACCGAGACGGGTGTAGCTGGGAAGCGTCCCTTCCAGGATGGTATCGCCCTGCCATTCAGTCTCGACAAGGAGGCTGATTCTGCCAGCATGGTGACGCTCGATTCGACGGGTGGCACTTCTGATGTCAGACCCAAAAGCCCCATTCAGTCTTCTTCCAGAGATGCAGTGTCTACACAGGCGATCCCCATCGCCGGTCGTTCTGCGGAAAGAGACCCCACCTCGAAACACGGCATTGTCTAGTGCTGCACCTCCAGAATGTGAGGGGCTTCCCGGTCGTCTTACCGGCCCAACAAGCGCTTGGTGATGCGGTGCTTCCCTAGAGCTACCTATGTTGCAGATTGGTTCGGTTTAGGATTGTGCAGTGCCAGAATTGGGGAAGGGCACTGCTAGATGAAATTCTCCCCTGCAAGACGGTTCATTCTTTTTTTTTCACGTTTTTTTTTCTTCTTTTCTTTTTGGGCAGTAACAAGGCTGGGACAGAATACCCTGATCGGATATAACTCTTTATGTGTCAGACTAGAGTAGGATTATAGTAGCCCTATGGATTAGCAATAGCTTCATTTTCTAGTAGTTCATTGATGCTCTCGTCCAGTTAAGGCTCTTCTCATTTTTGCAGGCGTCATTCCTTCGGGATGCCTGTGGCAATGGTGGTTATGAACGTGGCTATGATGTCGATCGACATAAAGGCGTCAGTGAGTAGGGCAAAGTAGACGGATCATCCAGCAGTGCTAAGACATCCGAATATCTGATAAGCGAGAAAAAAAACACGCAGACATAAAAAACTGAAAGAGAGATAGAGATGTCTATTCGAGGGCAATGCGATAGTATGATACACAAGTCGGGCGCGATGCAACCAGGTTGCAGACAGATCTTGGTGTCGTCCACAACAATTGAGCTTGCTATACAAGGGTCCTTGGCCCTTTTCCAGGACAGACAAAACACCACGCACAGCACACCGTGTCCAGTTCGAGATCAGATGGGTGGGACGCGGAAATGACAAACTTGGCCGGCGTCTCGAGACGAAGAAAGCATGGTGCAGGAGCACGGGAATGCAATGGCATGCCGGGTGTATATGGGTGTCGTTTACTTGAGCTGAGACCAGAGCTTGGGGGCCGCACAGGTGGTGGCGCAGTGTGCGAGGTGGAAGACTGACGAACAATATCAGCACTCGGCCTTGTAGGCGGGGGAAGGGTTGAAGAAAAAGTCCCCGGGGGGCAAAGCGGAATCAAAGAGAAGTCGGGGAATAGGGCAAAACATACATTCCTCGACGCAGTCCTCCTTGGGACCGCCTTCGCTCTCGGCGGCAGTAACACGCTCAACGCAGTCGTCGAAGTGGTGCTTCGGCTCGGCGCAGACCTTAGATTGTTTGCATTCTGCAGTACGGCGCGTCAGTGAGTACTCAATCAAAGAGCTCGATCTCCCTCCCACGTCCCGTGCATACTCTGGTAAATGGCGCTTCAAATAGCAGAGGCGGCGCGGATACCGGGAGCAGAAACGAGTCATCGGTACCAAAGACGATTGCGGGAGGGAAAAATAACCCGACTAACCTTCTTCAAGCGTCTCCTTGGGATCCACGGTCTCTTCCTCTTCTTCTTCCTCCTCCTCCTCCTCCTCCTCTTCTTCCTCCTCCTCCTCCTCTGCCTCCTCTACCGCTGGCTCCTCTTCGGCCTCCGCCTCCGCTGAAGCCTGCTCGGGCTCTTCGGCCTTGGTGCTGGTCTCCTCGGTGGTCTCCTCAGTCTAAATGTAAATTCGTGTTAGCAGCCGAAACCAAGACAGCCATTGGGTCCGCAGCATCGAATCGCCCAGCCCGGACTTTGTCGCAGGACAGGGCCCTTCGACCACGAATGTCTGCAACAGAGCCGAGGTTAGTGCGTACCTTCTCTTCGGCGGCGGGCGCCTCAGCCTCCACTGTGCTCCATGGAAGCGCGGCCTCAGCGAGGTCCGTGACAAGGTCCCAGATGCCCATTGTGGTCGGTGATGCGGTCGTCAATGGCTCGGTGTCGGTGGGTTCCGTCTCGGGAGGAAGGGAAGAAGTCGGGTCGGTCGTACCAGGTTCGAGGTGCGAAAAGTGATCTGGAATTGAGACATTTTGATTGGCTCGTGTAGAAACCGTCGGACACCATCACGTGACATAGGCAATGACTTCCCGATTATGTAATGAGAAATGCTTCCCTTTCTGCCGAGATTTGACTTAGTAATCGCCCCGATCGGTCGCATGATAAACCTCGTCGCCTCTCTTGGGATGAGACAACATTCATGCTTTTCAGCAGCAGTGGAATGGGATATACTGCAGTGCTATTGAAGAAAGTGATACTGAACCCGTCGCAAAAGAACAGGAAACTACCTAATATCATGTGTGATTGTTGTCTTTGAGCTCCAACGTAAAGACCTGGAATCACTAACAGTGACACCACATGATCGCCGCATTACTTCTTAGAGCATCATGGTCAAAGTTTACTCTGGTTTATGATGACCGCTCTTCTTCATCCCGAATATGGCCTTCTAGCCGCATACTCAGTTGCTGTGCCTGAGCCTCTTCATAGTCCGGAGGAGGTTCGTCGGGCCGTGGGTTTTGGCTTGCAGAACTAGTCGACCGGGGTCTGGAAACAAGGGTGTTAGGTTCGAGATTGCTCGGCTCCGAAGTCCCTGGTTGTCTTGGCTCGTACGTCGGCAAAGGTTCGTCGGGTATGTTAACGAGCTGGCCGGTCTCCTGCTGAACTCGCCTTACGTGCTCCATCCTCTCTTTGAGCTCTTCAAATTGGCGATAAAACTCATAGTAGCCGCCCTCCCGGAAGGTCAACTTGAGGCTGAGTCTCGGAATGTCAGGTGGCACGCCACCCCCAGGGCTTGGTCGCACGGTCGCAGCCCAGTACCAGGCCCCGATCAGAGGTGAATTCACGTAGGAGTCTTGACAGTCCAGGATCCAGGCCTGGAACGACTTGAATTCAGCCGTCGGCTGAGCAGGGATGTATATGACCTGAGTTGAGGGTCAAGAATGGTTAGCCACGTCTGGGATGCCATTTGGCTAACTCGGACTCATACTCGTCTTGTCGTAATATAGGCAGTGCCTACATCACTCCTGTGCGAGAAGGGCTCACGGCCCTGCTGAAGGGCCTTGGGAACGGTAAGGTCGAATTTGATCCTTTCGATCCTGAACTTGATGCGTTCGTGGTCTAAGGGAACAATATCGCCGTCCCTCAGCGTGACCCAACTAGAGCTCTCGTCAGACTGTGAAATGGCTTCGGCGGGCTTCCTCGGCCTCTGAAGTCTCCGGGCGAGATGATATGCATGCTGCTCTTGCAAGTACTGGTCTGACATGACGGGAGAGTCCTGTAGGGTTAAAGTGGAGATGGAAGGATAGACTGAGGCGAGGGAACCCGTTGCCGAGCTTTCGGTGGTAGATGGTATGAGGGAATAGGGGGAGAATAGGAGCATGTAAGAAAGGAGACATGTGAAGGGGATCAAGACGGGGAGTGGTACAATGACGGCAAGCTGGGAGCTAATGGAGAGTGGATGTTTTTAAAGTGATAGCTAGGCAAAGGGGACGCCAGAGACGTACTTTATTGACATTTTGAATGAGAAGGGACTCTCCACGAGATCCCCTTCAAGACCGCGAGTAGTCTCGTCAGCCAACCGACCAAACGAGCAGCAGTGAAAGGGCTGCAACGAAGCTTTGGATATCCAGGGACTGATGGTGGGGTGGAGACCAGGTCAAGGGGTCCCCTGTCTCTAGACTTTTGGGATGGTAACTGTGCTAAGAGATACGTCGTACGAAGCAGAGAGACAAGGAGTGTTCGTACGCAGTAGATAGACGGACGTTGACAGGGACGATGGAGCGAACGACGAGCCTGGCCGCGGGCGGCAACTAAGGTAAAGGGTGGCTGGGAGACGAGCCGGTGCTCCTCCAGATCAGTATGTACCGTTGTATGGGTAAGTCGCCGAGAGAGTGGGAGGAGGATTTTGGGACGATCGGCAACAGCAGAAGGGTGGGGTGGGCTCCGTCGATTGGGGTAAAGTGGGAGGGGTGTCCAAGACCACACGGAGGGGGGAGGGAGGATCTTGTCTCGGCGGGGTCTGGTTCGCGGATGGTGTGGTTCTGTGGTTCGGACAACTTACTCTGCGTGGGGCGGTGCTTGCGATCAGGGATCAAGGACGCGGCTAGGGTTTTAGGTAGCCGAGGATGGGATATCTATGTGTAATTTTAGTAGGAAAGTGCAAGAGGCCGTGCGTGATGACAAGGACGAGTGGAATAATAGGTAGTTGGGGGGGATGGACGAGCTCACGAAGAGGATTGATTGCCGTTTGTTTACCTTATCTACTTATCTATTGTCGCGATGGAGAGTAAGGTAAGTTGATTAATTAATCACGAGGGGACTGCAGTGGTTGCCTACCTTACCAGGTAGGGTTGTGCAGAGTACATAAGGTAGGATTCGACGCGTCGTAACCTGTCCTGTTCGAAAGAAAAAGACGTCAGAAGAACCAATAAACACAGCTAATGATAATAACTCGAACGTACGTAGGGGTCTGTAGTCGCTCGCTCAAATTAGTCTATATATTGGTAGCACTCCGTGACGTGTGCGTAAGGTAACGCAAAGTGACATGGCAAGTGGCGTGGACCAGTTTGAAGCGTTACGTATTATGGCCAGCAGGTGTGTGTTGTCCTCGAGTAAATGTACTTCGTATATAGGTATTTCCTTCGTACAAGTCCGTACAAGTTGAAGTACGACTACCTACTCCGTACATACCTACCTGGGTGCCGAATAATTGAAACACTTCCATGCAATAAATACCTTAGGTACCTAGACTTGGCCAGAACGTGCAAATTGGGGACGAGCTTCTGATACTTTAAATATCTGAGATAATTCCCACGGCATTTAATATCTTTATTATTCCCCTCAATGTGTCTGCACGACGACTGTTTTTACCAAATCTGGGGGCATATTTCAGATCCAAAACATGCTAGCCATCGAGCTGCGCAACTGTCGTGTGAATGCTTGAATAAGTACAACAGCACATCTTCGGACAACTATATCCCGTGATATTTGATGTAGACGATGGACAAACATATCCAACGCGTGTTGTGTATTCGTATTGTTCATACTTATACTGGTAACTGGAGGCTCCTCGTGGTTCTGGTTCGGCAAGGTATTTATTTTCCTTTCTTTTTCCTTGTTGATTTCTTTATTATGGACACACACACAGTATCCGTACACTTCTCAGTAGATTGCGCTAGCCAAGCCGCATGTCCAGTCAAATACTCGATGGGACATAGCGGCGAACCAAGTCCGAGATACAACGTACCTTAGCCAAAGAAAACAGAAGCAGTTACGTGGTCCGAGACTTGTCTTCGAGATTGCCACTCTCACAACGGCTTCTTTACAACGTACCTTGGCCATGCCGCCGCCAGAGGTAGTGTCTCAGTTGGCCCTTGGGTCCTCAGGAATTCGCCCAGAGCGGGGGATTTCAGGATCAACAGAAAAGTGGTAGAGTGAGATGATGAGCCAGTGTCTCGAGCTTCGGTCTTCAGAAAAACGCCCCGAACACCCCTCACTGATGAACCCCAGCCACGAGCTGCAGCACATGCCTATGCTTGCATAGAGACCCCGGCCTTGCCTGTGCGGGTCTCAAGACGCAAAGAAAGTTCTCTCTCATCCATGGGGCTAGGAAACTCTTCATTATTATTTCTCCAGCTATTAGTGTGGAGTATTCAGAAGGTGGAAGGCATGTAATTGCGGTGAATAACTACCTTACCTAGGTACTGTTCATGTTCTACGGATTTAGCTTGGGTCCCAAGAGCAAGTCCTCCCAGATTTGCTGGGAAATGGGAAAATCCGGAATCAAAGAGCCCTGAGTCCGAGAACAATCCGTAGGTCCAGGCATCCTGATCGCCATTCTGATCTGCTGGTGAAGATAGACTGGGTGTATAAACGTCGTGATTACCATGCATCATCCATGGGGAACGATTCCACGAATTGGCTTGAATGGAAGATGCCGCCAATGGTGGATACCTAAGGGGAAGGGGCTCACTGGCAACTTTACTATCTACACGTGACCCAACTGATAAGACTACGAGCTAGAATAAATTTCATTTGCTCGACCTGACAGCTCTCCGACTGGTTCTACGGAGAGCATCATCTCATCCTTAAAAGTTTTGCTGAACCGCGTAAAACCTGCATGGAATTTAAGACGGAATATTCGACAGTGGTCCCCGGCTGTGCTTTTGATAATCTGATATACTGATGATTCGAGAATTATCGAAACTGTCCTTGAAAGGCGGCGGCCCGCTTTGGTTACAGGCCTGCCTTCCGACATGCGTCATGTTGCAAGGGATGACCAGGTTGCCAATACAGGGGTTGACAGCAGCTGTTGCGCAGTCCTTGGGGACTCATCCAATGACATAGGTCATCAGGGGAAAGGTGGAAAAAAAAAGACCCAGGAGCAGAACCCAACACCACGCGATCCCTTCAGTTCGAGAAGCACTGTGCCAGGGGGAAAGGCAGAGGCAGAAGTCGGTCAGGCCGGTGTGGAGCGCTCCGGAGCGCTCCGGTCGGTGATTCTACCAGCGGTCATCCATTCCCCCGGTTTTCTTCTGAAAGGGGGAGGCTGGGTTCGGCAGTAGGTAGGTACATATTTCATGATCTCATATAAATCCATACACATATATTGAGCTTGACCATCTTCACCAGAGATCAAAATAGGACAGAGGGTTGAAGATGAGACCGGTATAAAATATTAGTCATTACGGGGGTGATCGTGAACGGAGTACGTTGTAGGTAGAGCCCCGACACCGGTGCCCGTCAAAGCCCCACACCGACGGATGGTACGAAATTATTCGTACGTTTCGACCGAGGTCCTGTGCTTCGGCGTCATTCCTTGCATCCATCTCCCTGTCACATCGCTCCTGCCACCCTAATACCTACCTTCTTGTTTCTTCGAAATTTCCTCGAACCCATTATCGCAGAAGGCCAAGACCAATCGTCCAAAAACCAAAGATTACAGCCCCTTACTTTCCGGCCTCGGCGCTTCGAGGATGAGCCCGGAGCATCCCATAACCGAGAGCCAGCTGGCGGCTCTTCGAAAGTACACGGCATGCGATATATCAGATGCCTTGCTAAAGCTCAGGGTGCCCGGAGCAGGATTCGTTGCCGACCTCCAGCTTTACAGCCAAGCAGGAGGAGGCCCCGATGGTCCCATTACTATAGCTCCGGCTTTCACAGTCCTGTTTGTCCCCAAAGGCACGACGACCTTTGATTCGCACCCATCCAACATCCCCAAAGACACTCATTGGGCAGACCTCACGCGGCCAGGTACCGCCGTCATCATTCAACAACCCGACGGTCAGAAGAATGCGGTCTGTGGCGGGATAATGGCCCTGCGCATGAAGGCTCGTGAGGTCAAGAGCATCATCGTCGCTGGCCGAGCCAGGGACCTTGATGAGCTGCGGAGTACAGGGCTCCCGGTGAGATCCCCACTGGTCCCCTTCCCCCGCCCCTTATCCCTGCCCCGCCCTTTTGCCGCTTCTCTCCACTGACGGAACCCGTCTCTACGTTTACACTAGGTATGGGCTCGGGCACTCTCCACTGTTGGTGCTGGTGCCGCCAGTACTGCGTGGGCGGTCGAGGTGCCCCTTGACATCGACGGCACGTCCGTCACACCGGGCGACCTCGTCTTCAGTGACCCGGCCAATGGCGTGGTCGTAATCCCCAAAGACAAGGTCGACCAGGTCCTCGAGCTGCTCCCCCGATTGACGGCTGCGGATGAGAGGGTCAAGGAGGACGTCCTTACGGGCGTCAGTGTGTATGATGCTTTCAAGGCCCACAGAAGTAATCTCTGATTCATAGAGTAACTATCTATCCCCTTGCCGTCCCACTTCACACCGGCTTGCCACTCGCCGCTTCGGTCGTAATTGGCGGGTCGACATCGAATGGGGAGACGGGAAAACGTTGCTCCATGCGGCACTGGGATCATGGGCGGCTACCACGGGAAGGAAGTACATGGGCCGCCAGAAGACCGACAACCCTCCACGTGCTCCAATTCGATGGTTAGCATGGGTCGAGTTCAGAAGGGATGGGCAGAGGGAGCGAGATCTCCCCTCTGATGACTACTGTAGTGCCCTGATCGGCTTTCGATGATTGGAGAATAACGTGCCTGTTGCTACTCGGAAGAACCTTCGGAATCTCGGAGGCTACGAGGACAACCTTCCTATCCGCAATACTTTATTTAGATGCTTTCTTTTGGTGCACTCTCTGACTCGGCAGTCCATGTACTCTGTCCGGTCGCCGAGGCTGCGTGGGGAACGTCTCCCATGCTTGTCGCGGTACAAGGTCCTATTCCGCTCAAGAAAACACCGTGATCTGAGCACTTACATTAGTCGAGGGTCCATATGCTGCCGCTGTTCCACACGAAGTGCCAGAAAAGGCTAACCGATCAATCCCCGGACGGCTCAATGTGAAGTGCTAGTATAAATATGGCTAACTGTGTGTGATCATATCCACTCGTTCGTGCCCACTCATGAAGCCCCAACATCTTCTGATAGACCTGCTTGTGGGACCGTTCACCCTTGTCCCAACACTTACTGTAAGGACTGGATTTGGAAAGACATTGGCTGCGATCTAAGAGGGTTCCTGCTAGCCTGGAGGTATTGGAGTACGACGTAGTCTGGGCTATCAAACGTTTCCTCCTTGTCTCGTCAGTACGCAGAAAGTTATACAGACCTATCTCCCTTGTCTTTGCTAACCCATCCTAGGCCGGTTATATACCGCAAGTCAAAGCGTTCCGCTAAGCCCTTCGTGCATGGGGGAAGGAGAAGAGTGATGACAGGTAATGAGTTCCATATCCTGTCAGTGAGTCTAGGAATGAATCAACAGCTACGTGCACCAGTATCACATGGCAGCACGCATCAAAGTCATACAGGCCAACATAAAGCGAAAGTCAAGCTGTATCATGTCATCAATTCATTAACGTATCCATACCATGCCGTCATGATGTTCGAGAATCCCAAAACAACTGAGACTTCATAATTACAAGCCAGACAACCAAACACGAGGGTGCCGTAATGCCTTGACATTCTGGGGAAATTAGCGAGCTTCCTTCCCTCAACCAACATAAAAGAAGAAAGAATCAAGTGAGTTGTGAGGAAGGGTGAAGAGCGTGGCGGGGAAAGAGCAATACCCTCCCCCAATATCAAAGTCAAGGTCGTGAGGACGGAACCGAGTCCTTCGTGTGCCGTGCAAAGTAAAACAACTCGCTAATTTGGGTCTCCTTTGGATATTCCATGCGCAGACGGAAAAGATGAAAGGGCCACCCTCTCATACCCGCTCTCACGTTCAACTAGGAAAGCCAAGCATCCCCGCCATTCTTCTGCTGCTGGTGCTGCTCATGGTTGGGAGTCGACAACCCAAAGTCCAACCTCGGCATCTCAATCCTCGGCGCAGCCTCTTGGGCCCCGTTTCCGCCACCGGGCTTCTGACCTCCGCCCGTCTTCTTCCGGGGACTGCGGGAGCTATCCGCCGGTGGACCATAACGAACTTCGCGCACATCCCAGCCATCTTCGGCTGCGGCAGCAACCCATGTGCGGAGAGCCTCGTGCACACAGCCATAGAATTTCTCCTTGCAAAGACGGAGGCTACCGCCAAGGCATCTCTCCCAGCCGGAGATGCGCAAATCGTGGCGAAGAGCATTGCGTTGTTCCGCCGCCGGAGTACAGGCAATGATGGCGTTGACGAGATCGAGGTGCGAGGCGAGGTAGTTGGTCGCGTCCCATTCTACTCCACCAACATAAGGAGCCGCAGGAACCGGAGGTCGAGGCCGAGGGAAGTGTCTTTGCATGTACGCGAACGGTTGCTCGCCAGGGTTGTTAGAGGGAACATTGTCGAGTAGCATGCCGCCCTTGCTGGACATCTCAGCCGGCAGGGCGATGACATTAAGGTGGTGGAGGAAGATCCAGAAAACTTCCTTGGTGACACTGACAACCTCTTTATTCCAGACAGTGTAAGGTCGTTCCTTGCGCATTTCGAGTACGAAGGGCACCGGGCGCTCCTCTTCTTTGGGTTCGGGATTGCGAAGATAAGACAAAACGGTCTTGGAACGAATCACGCGCTCCTGTGGGGTTGCAGTTTCGATGTAGGTAAAGATGAGGGAGGTGATAATGTTTCTGGTTGTGAATTCGCTGGGTCCCTTCTTTTCCGGATCAAAGATCGTGTGAATCAGCCTCGGGAGGAGGTCGCTCTGGATCGAGTCGAGATACTGTAGCGCTAGGGAAGTGGTGCAAAGCGCCTTGAGGCAGAGGAGGTCCTCGTGAAGCAGAGCATCCTCGTGCTCCTCTCTGTAGAATGACGGTGTTAGCTACTCATGTTCTCCTGCTTGTAGATGGGGATCGTCAATCGGAACTTACCTCCATTCCACCTCTAGAATGCGATATAGAAGCCCGACGATTTCTTCCATGCCACCCTGCCGGATGAAATCCTCTGCCCACGAAACTGTCTCGTTTCGCAGGAGCAGACGCAGCTTATGTAGCTTTCCGACCTCAACCATCTCAGGCTTCCGTACTTTCCTTAAATACGACACGAAGTCACCCGGCCCTTGACCGAGCTTTATCTTCGACAGGATGCCGTTGCTCGTCGAAGAGCCAGCTGAAGTAGGTCGCTCACCAACAAAGCTCTCCGTCGATTTGGTCCTGAAATGTCTCCCCAATGTGCCCTCACCTCGGGATTTCTTCGATGGCGATTTTGATTCTTTCTTCGCGCGTCCAAGTGTGAAGCTCCTTCCCCTGGTTCGCTTCGGGTGGCTCTCCTCGTTATCGGTACCTGCAGCAACGGCGGACGAGCTGGCCTCAATGCTAGCCCTGTTGTCGTTACCATTCTGCTCTCCCTTGGCGGCCATTTCAGCCCAGTCCTGACGAATAAATTCCATCTTGATTGTGTCGTTCAAGTTCCGCATCTTGAATCGCTGGTTTTCGGGGATGTTTCTGCGGTCCAACATCGCTTCCAGGTGAGCGTTGATGTCTTTTGGATCAATGGTCCTGTCAGCTGGATTCTTCGGCGAGGAGTGTCCCCGTCTCTGCTCTGTTGATGAGAAGGCCGTAAACAGCTTCGGACGCTGAGCCTTGCTACTGATTCGTTCTGAAAAAGCCGGTTTGTGATCGTTCATGTTGTGCTTCTTTCCTGCAACGTCGGGTTGACTAACGTCCCTCGACCGTACTTCTGGCTCCATCTTGTGACTCTGAAATGACCATGGACGGGCTTTGGTAGCCCTGACTGGCATTTGAATTCCATCATCGGTGCCCCGACTACCATTTGCACTTCCAATGTCAAAGGAACTTCTTCCATTGACTTGCTGTCTTCCCAGATCCCCGCTGGAGAACTGGGCGTATATGGGAGGGGGAGGGCCCCCAAGCCCCCCAAGGTCCATTGTCGTAGTAGACGCGGGAGGTGTTCGGTTCTCCTTGTCCTTCATAGCCCTGGCCTCGTCTTCTTTGGCCTGCTTGTTAAGACTCTTGAAGGACTTGGGCCTTGAGAGCAAGCCGGCAAGATTGGTCGAAGACTTTGTCTTCTTCGGTTTTTCTGGTGAAGGTTCCCGGGATTTGGAGATCTTCGAAGAATCCTTCATGGCCATCCTGGTAAGTGTGGTAAAAGCTGATTTGGTCGGTGAGCGTCCTCGTTCTTCTCTGGAGCCGCCGCGGCTCTCATCTCGAGACTTCCGTGGTGACCGGGATCCAGCAGCATCTTGCTGATTTTGCTGGAGTTCGCCGAGGGCCCCGGCCGCTGACCTTGGGAAGCCCATTGCCGTCGGACTTTCCAACGAATATAGATGTTGGTTTAGGTGTGAAGGGTCGGCCGGGTTTGTGGCGATGGATAACGCAGAGGGCAGATAAGATCCGTCAGACTGGTTTCTTCGATGCATAAGAGACTTGAGCACCGATGATTTGGACCTCTGATGACCGCCTTGAGGGCGTGGCGCGTCATTGAGATCACCAAGTGAAGTTGCCATGGTAGCAAAAGAAAAGCAAAGAGAAGCAAGCGACGCAAAAGAAAAGAGGAATGCAAAGAAGTGAAAATAAAGGGATGTCTGGAATGGGGGCCTTACTCCGAATGCTATTGTCCAGAGGTCTTTGAAGAGTCAGACCATCATGGAGCTCCTTTGATTAGGAGTTCTAGCGGTTCAGAGCGATCGGTAGACCCGGAGGTAGGAATGGGGGATAATACCTTGATTCCAGGCGGTCAAAGACCTTCAATCCAAAGTTGGAATCCCATGTGGGGTAGCAAGCTTTGGTTAGGTACCCTTGGACACGTTACCACAGTAACGCCAGATAAGCCGAGCTCTTATCTTATCGATAAACAAACCTCCCAGGTCTTCGTGGGGTACCTGAATTAATCTCCGTTCCTTTGCTCTGAAGTCTCCCGTCGTCAATTGGCATAATTAGAGGCGTTGAACTGCCACTAATAAGCAGCATCACCATTGAGTCGGTCACCCAGCGTAATCTCACGGGATTTCGCAAATGTGAAGCGTTACAAAAGCCCTCCCATAGCAACAGCCTACCAGCTCAATAATCCCCTTCCTCTATCGAAGCCTCCACGCAATTGTGTTTCCGGCTTGACCACCTTGCCCTGTAAGACGGTGTATCTTACGATATTCTCGCAATCCTCCGGCTTCACCCTAGCGATCCAGATACACTGCGCGGCGCCCACGCCGCCACTCTCCTCTGCAGCTGTGTTCCTGATTACTGGTTTCAAATCGCCACCTTCCTGTGCCCTTTGCCTGCCGTCAAGCCCGAAGGGATCTGGACGCCTGTATACCATCACGTTTGCGCTGTACTTGTGTCCACCCACGTGCGAGATGAAGTAGATCCCCACACCACCAGCCCGTGTGTCGTCCAAGTCACGATACAAGCCCAGCGGACGGAGGTGTCTCTCTAGTTCCTTGCGTAGAAGCGGTGCCGATTGGCCACACCGTGTATCTCTGGTCTTCTGAGAGCAGAGCAAGATGAGGACACTGTGAGGGCACGGACGGCTGGCAATTTCGACAGCCAGAGAAGGAGAGTGATCAGTAGAAGGCGCTGGGCTTTTATCTAGGGTCGCAGATTTAAGCGGGGATGTGGTGGTCGGCGCCTTCTCGACGAACTCGGACATGAGCGTGGGCACGTTCTGCGGGGTGACATTATCGAGGATGGTGAAAGCGGGGAGTAGTAAGACGGTGGTCGGTTGATCGTAACTGCTGTTTCCATGGGGCGTGGGAATATTGGATGCCGAAAGCTTCATTCTCTAAATTATCGTGCAAGGGTGAGTATGGATGGGATGGTAGAGTTGGATGCGAAAAGGAAAGGGGGAACAAAAAAGTAAAGGCTTCAACGAGAGAGCAACGAGACGACAGCAGGAAATATAGAGGGTTAGACACGCACCCCATTTGTCGGGGGTTTCGCTCTCCCGATAGCCTCCATGACACTCCCCTTCTCGTCCTCCACATCTCTCACCCAGTCTGTTTTCCCCGTCGCGACGAGCACATGCGTACTCCAGCCCTTGACCTCCCCATAGAGCGGATCGGTCTCATCGATCTTGAAACCACGCGGATACTGGACGTGGCAGCTTTCGCAGTCGTGCGTACAGGCATCGCCGTCAACGGCGGGATCTGTCTTGGGAAACAAGTCCACCATGGACGCCGGGGACTCTCCCAAGGCCAGCTTCTTTGCCCCGGCGACGAGCGATCGGATTGTCGAGGTCATCTTTGAGATTGTTAGGTTTCGGCGGGTTCGGTTGGGAGGACGAACGGGTGCACGTTGAGTTTGACGAAACAAAGAAAAAACGACCGGAGAGATTCCCCCCTGACCCTAGCGCTTCTGCACGAAATCCTGCCACTTCTACCCCGACTCAAGAGATATAGTTATATGTAAGCTGATTTTTGGAACGTACGTGTGAAACTGAAATCTGCCCCCCACTGTCGATGCCGGTCTTTCCACACCCCGGCAGTGGGTTTCGGGGAGTACCTACCTAAGGTACCCGGTACATAAGATTCATATCAGATCATTTCACTCTACGTCATTGGCTCGGCGATATCGGAATAAAACGAATGTGTCCCACCATGCGACTAATCGATACCCTGCGTCGCGTCATCAGCGTCAGAGTCTCTCCATTATGGTATCTAGCTACGAGTATCTCCTTCGTGAACGACGTTCGAAGTACTTAAAAAGTACAGAGTAAGAGGCAAACGGTCTGCGGCTACGCCAATACGGCTGCAGCAAAGCCACCCACGCCATTTCTAGCCTACCACGTGTCCCTGTCTCTCAGATCTGGCTGCCTTCACGTATACTTCTTCCTGGCTTCGGTGTACTCGGCATCTTCCTCCTCGCTGCTGTCGTCACTGATCTCCAGCTTAGCGTCACCGCTTCTTCTTCGTCGCAATTTCATCGCCTCCCTAATCTTCTTGCTCGCCATCTCGAAGCCACCCGCAGAATCGAGCGTGGTAAAGCCACTGACGGGAAACCCTCCGGAACCAATGGCGCCCCCGCTGCTACTGCTCCGGCTCCTGCTCCTAGATCGGGATGGTGGACGGGTCGAGAAGATGCCGACACCGCCAATGTTGCTGAACGATTCGTTGCGTGGCAGGCCACGACTGGATTGCGTTGTATTTCTTCTGGTGCGTGGTGGTGTTGGCGGTTCGTGCCCGCTGGAGCCATCGCTCTCCCGCCGGCGGCCTGTCGTGGGTGGCGGGGCAGCAGCGCCGTCCTCAGTCCGCGCACCGTCGGGAAGCAAGCGCATCTTCTCAAAATCGGGGTACATCTCTGGCCCCAGGGTATTGATGAGATCGGTGACTTGTGCACTGAGCCTGGCACGCGTCTCTCGCAGCTGGTGAATGCCGTACATCGAGGAAGGGTTTAGACAAAGAACCAGGGGTCGTAGAGACTTGAAGATATCCATCCCGACCTCGCCGAAACGCAGGGCGGCGAAGGTAATGCCCACCATCAATGGCCACATCACGAGATAAGTCGACCACCAGGGTACCCACTCCGGCACATGACCCCATAACCGATCTTGGTAGACTTTCCAGGTCACGATAGCCGAGTAAAAGTGATAGAGGGTGGGTGCCAGGAAAATGGAGACCATAAGCTTCCATGTAGCCATGACGTCTCGCCCTTGGATTTTCACCGACGAGGCAGCCAACGCTTGCTTGGCCTTCCGGATACTGATCACCTTGCCAGCTATGAAGACAGGTGCAAAAAGAACCAAGCCGGGCAAGACGCCGACCAAGAGGGTAAGAAGCTTGGCGACGCGGTATATCAAAGTAAATATGACCTTGGGAATAGACATTCTCGCGTATTGGACCTGGTGGTCGCGGAGGTTGAGATAGCGTAGTTGTTTGTTGTATTCCTTGACGGCCTTGGTAAGACGAACAATTCGCTCGTCATCCTTGTATCGCTCATAAGCCAGCGCAAGCCTACGGTTCAGCTCGACCACAACGGGAAGAGGAAGCTTCCTGCCCGTTGGATTATAGAGGCGTCGTGCGGCCTGGATGAGCATGAGGGTGTCGTAATTCGGAGTGGAAACGGTGACGGCGCTCAGCATCTGGTGAGTCGTGTCGAGGAGTTCACCGATGGCCTCTCGTCGCTGGTTGTTTTTGTACATTTCCACTAACCGAGGAGGGATGTCCAGCGGCGCGCCAAACTCGACAACGGCCCTCGAGCGGAACTTATGGGCGTGGAAGTAGTTCATGCCGACAGGGACAATTTTCAGGCCGATATCAGGATCCTCAGCCAGAGCACCGAGAGCCATGATGGCCACGCCGGCCTTGAGGGACAGTAGTTCAGTACGGTCGTGGCTACCGCCCTCGGGGAAGATGCCGACACATCCTCCGTTGCGTAATCGGTCGAAGACGGCTTCGTACACTTTGGTTTGATCAACCTTGGGCGCCAGTTTGTACTTTGTCCCCTGGAACCCTTCCTTGCAACCGTGAACCTGTTTGTTGATATATTTCCCGTCCTCGTCAATATCGTCGCGTCCCGTCAATTGTTGCAGTGCCACCTTGCCCTTGAATGGTCGCTTGGTCCGAATCTCTTCGGGACTAATAACCTCGGCTATGTCGACGCTGGCGCCTGTCTCTTTCTTGGTCGACGGAAGGAAGATCATACCGCCGACTTCGCCTTCGCCTTCGCCGAATTTGGTACCCACGCCGCGAATCAGGGTCGGGTCGTTGATAGGGTCTGGAAGGTAGACGAAGCCAGAGCCGGGCTTGGCAGAATCCTGCGGCCGTCCCACAGGCACGGAGCCAACTTGGCGAGATCCCCAACCAATAAAACCGTGGACAGATTTCTGAGCGATCAAAAGGCTGACTCTGCGACCGGCGTCGTTGCGCAGCGTCCGCTGGAGGACCAAGGCGTCGACGAACTGCGGAAAGAACACCAGTTAGACACACGATTGTTGGGGTAGTACGGACGAGGAGACCCGAGCAGTTGAGGGATGGAAGAGAATTGGCGAACCTGATTGGCGTGGGGAGCAGCGACGAAAAGAACAGGTCCTGTGCGAGGCACTTTCCAGGTACCGCGAGGATGGACTTCTCGAAAGAAGAGGTCGACTAAGACACCCATGACCCACAGGAATAGGTCATATTTCCACCCTACCATAGGGTACAGCTCCTTGGGTTTGGTCCTGGATTGCTGGCTCTGAGGCGGCACGGTGGCCGCGGTGCCAGTCTGGTCCGGCATGGTGAAGGGAGTAGCGGGGGAAGTGGTCTCAGAACGGACAGTAGAAGCGAGAATCGCCCAACGAGGAAGGAGGAGGGACAAAGGATGGACTCGGACTGTTGCCGTCTTGAAAAGAGGATGGACTCGTCGAGTCTTTGATTCGCGCGCTCGTGAAGTAAATCGTGAGGAGGCTAGATTTTCATGTTCGAAAGCGGGTGGTACGAAGCGAATGGCGTACAAGAAGGCCTTTCGCGTCGCTAGGCGGATGTCTCGAGCTGTCGATTAAAACGGGGGGCCTGAATTGATTACTTGGTTGAAAATAGGATAGAATACCCTGTTTGGGAGCTTTTGAGTAACGAGAAACGGGAGCGGCAGTAATACAATGTAAATACTTGAAGGAGAATCGGGGTATTAAATAGAAGACAAAAGCGACGAGAGTGGGAGGGAGGAAAGAGTGTGACGGCGCTTGGTGATGTAAGTACGAATAAATGACGAGATTTAACATAAGTATTAACTCCAAATCCGGACTGGCCGGAGCTCCGTCGGGGCTCGAGCACTGGCCCTCGTTGGGGGTTCTGATACAACTGGAGCCAGCCAGTGACGGTAGCCCACCAATATCTGACAGAATGGCAACCTGAGGAATCAGAGGGGTTCCTATCGGGAACGCCTATTGGCCAGCTCCGACGAGGAACCCAAGCCCAGGGACCAGGACAGAATCCTAAAGAGCACTGCTGGAAATGTCTCAAAAAATCAACTCGTCAAAAAAAAAAATTAAGAAGAAAACAGAAAAGAAGAATGGGGAAAGGCCCCCATCATCTAGTATCAATCGCATGCCAGAAGTGGTTTCTGTTGGCGCATTGTTCAGTAAAATGATATAACATAATGGAGGGGGCATGTCTCTGTAAGCCGTATTCATTCCACTTAGTGGAGGTTGGTCGGGTCGGTTGCGTTGGGTCGAGTTCGTGAGCACAGGCAAGAGCTGAACTTTGAGCCCCAAGTCACCCAAAAGTTCCCATGCATGTAATTACGGAGTACCTAGATAACCCACATATTCGCTAGCTTCTAGCCTCCGTTCCTCTGTCAATTTTCATATTGTACTTCATATTATAGCGCGTGTTGCGTTGAAACTTAACAAGTTGACTCAACACCGCTATCGACCTAACTGTGTTTACGCATGTTTAGTTTTTACGGAGTGCTGTAGACTTATCCACGATGCTGTAACGGCGGTATGCCCATGAGCCAACGGTGTGCTCTTGCATCGGACACCAGTTCAAATTCCTTACTAAGCACGACGGAAGATTTGGTCTTGGGGTCCGTATCCGTACTGTGAAATATAACTGTGCGACCCCGGAATGCCCCTCGTTTCTTGGCACACCCCGTGAGTCAGGTTCGGGTCTGAATTTACCCCTCCATATCATATCTATTGTGGTTTCTTGGGAGAAGAAAAATTCCACCGACGAAACCCAACGTAGATACATCTGCCGTGGGGACATAGCTTTCGCATTGGTCGCGTGGAATCTTTCTCACCCAAATTCAGAAAAGTCCAAAAGGAACAATCCCTTACCAACAGCCATTGGCAAACACGTCAATTCAATATGGCCGACTCAACTGCCGCCGCTCCACCAACGGAGCAGGTGGCCAACCTGCACCTCGACGATGTTACCGGAGAGATGGTTTCCAAGAGCGAGCTGAAGAAGAGACAGAAGCTCCGTCAGAAGGAAGCCCAGAAGATCGAGAAGGCCGCCGCCGCACCCCCCAAGCCTGCCGGTGCCAAAAAGACCAATGCCGAAGCGGACGAGAAGGCACTGGATCCCAGACAATATTTCGAAAATCGATCGCGTGCTATCAACAAGTTCGTTTGTCTATTGCCATTCCGTTTCCCCGTTCTTCGTATTTCAGTGACGCTGACGACCGTAGGCTGCGGGAGACGAAGCAGCCCAACCCGTACCCTCACAAGTTTCACGGTAAGCCGCATAGACCCCCTTTTCTTTCTTGTTTTTTCCCTCTCCTGAGTTTGGGGCTGTACCGCTAACATCATGCCATAGTCGACTATGACGTCCGAAACTTCGTCAACGATTTCAGCCACCTCAAGTCGGGCGAGCATAACAAGGACAAAGTGATTCAAGTCGGCGCCCGGATATACAACAAGCGTGCCTCGGGCTCGAAGCTCTTCTTCTACGATGTGCGCACCGAGGGCACCAAGGTCCAGGTCATGTGTCAGGCACAGGAGGCCCAGGGCAGCGTTCCGTTCGATGAGCAGCACGTTCACCTGCGCCGAGGCACGTCCTTTACCCCTGACCTCCGCAATCCTAAAGGGAAAAGACATGTTAACAGTTCTTAGGCGACATCATCGGTATTGTTGGCTACCCCGGAAGGTTGGTGGAAAACCCCCAAACCCCCAAACAAAAAATAAGTCACGCGTGGACTTACACTTTGCGCTAACTGGCTTCTCCCTCTCTTTGCAGAACAGCTCCTAAGTCCAAGATCGAAAAGGGCGAGGAGGGCGAGCTGTCTATCTTCGCCACTGAGATTGTTCTCCTGACTCCTTGCCTGCACACCCTCCCCGACGAATACTATGGTTTCAAGGATCACGAGGAACGTCACCGCAAGGTTAGTCTGCGCTGCCCCTTTTCTTCAATGCACAGCTAATGGTTCGGACTATTTAAGCGGTATCTGGATCTCATCATGAACGACCGTAGCCGCAACGTTCTCATTACCAGGTCCAAGATTGTCAGCTACATTCGACGCTTCTTCGACGAACGGGTACGCTGCCCTTGCCAACAAACCTCCCCACATCCTATTTGTTCTGTTCACTCGCAATTAACTGTCTTTCTCTCCAGGACTTTATCGAGGTCGAGACCCCCATGATGGGTGCGATCGCTGGAGGTGCAACTGCCAAGGTGAGGTACCTCATGGTGGATACATATTGTCTAGCGGTACTGATCAAAGAGAACAGCCGTTCGTGACACACCACAATGACCTCGACATGACTATGTACATGCGTATGTTGCATTAAGACGCTCGTGCAAGAGCGCTTTTCCGAGTCTGACTTTTCTCTCTAGGAATCGCCCCAGAGCTCTATCTCAAGGAGGTCAGTAACTTCTTCAGAGCCCCCTTGGTTGTCCGAGCCGAAACTAACTTCTTTCACAGCTCGTCGTCGGAGGTCTTCACCGAGTATACGAGCTTGGTCGCCAGTTCAGAAGTCCGTCCATCCATAGCTCTTGGTTCGCCTACAGAGACTGACTTCCGCGTAACAGACGAGGGCATTGACCTAACTCACAACCCCGAATTCACCACATGCGAGTTCTACCAGGCTTTCGCTGATGTCTATGTGAGCAGTGGTTCTCAAGCTCCATTCCCCTGATCCCGAGACTGACGCAGCCCCAAGGACGTAATGAAACTCACCGAGGAGTTGGTGAGCGGCATCGTCAAGCATGTCACTGGCGGATACAAGACGAAGTTCACCACCCAGTCAGGCGAAGTGTATGAAGTCAACTGGGAGGGCCCCTGGAAGCGCTACGACATGATCCCGACGTTGGAAGAGGCCACCGGCGAGAAGTTCCCTCCTGCCGACGAGCTCCACAGTACGTTCATGAAGCCCTTACACGATATGTATATCATTCAACTAACATGTCCGTAGCGGCCGAGGCGAACGAGTTCTTGCAGCGCGTTCTCAAGAAGATGAACTTGGAATGCTCCCCACCCCTTACCAACGCTCGCATGATTGACAAGCTGGTTGGAGAGTACATCGAAGAGCAATGCGTCAACCCGAGCTTCGTATGCTGCATCGCCACCTAAGATCTCAGTGCCTCTTCCGAAACTAATGCTGTGGTAGATCTTTGGTCACCCCCAAGTCATGTCGCCTCTGGCCAAGTGAGTCTATGAACCAACTCGATTCATATAGACGTTGCTAATATGCGTCCAAAGATATCACCGAGAGATTCCTGGCCTTTGTGAGAGATTCGAGGCCTTCGTGTGCAAGAAGTACGCACCCCATATTCTGCTGATCCCAATGGTCGAGTCACATACTAATGCTATCTGCTATGGCAGGGAGATCGTAAACGCATACACCGAGTTGAATGGTCAGTTAGAGATGATACAGAGGATCTTGAGGCGCATTTCTAACACGAAGTAGATCCTTTCGATCAGCGACTGAGATTCGAGGAGCAAGCTCGGCAGAAGGACCAGGGTGACGACGAGGCACAGTTGATTGACGAGAACTTCTGCATGTCTCTTGAAGTAAGCGCTACCTCTACCCATAGAAATTTAAGAAAACCATGCTAACCATTACATAGTACGGTCTTCCTCCCACCGGAGGCTGGGTAAGACTCACTTCCAAGGCTTGAGAGACTTGGGCTGCGAACTAACGGTGCTTAGGGTATGGGTATTGATCGTCTAGTAATGTTCTTGACGGACAACTACAGGTAAAGCAAAGCCGAGGAGAGGAGAATCGCTGCGATTCACCTACTAACAACACTTTCTGCAGCATCCGCGAAGTCCTCGCTTTCCCATTCATGAAGGAAGACAAGTCCGCTCAGAAGGAGAAGCTTGCTGCCGAGGAGGTTGGCATTCAGCCCGTCCCCGAGGAGGGCATCGGTATGTGTCGAGGGAGGCTGTCATCTCCAACAAACTGTCCTGCGGATCACTGACCAAAAGTCAGCTCACAAGTAGGACGAGTCGAGTAGCGGCCCTGACACTATAGGCTCCTGTCTTGTATGTGGGTTAAGAATTCCATGGTCAGAGTCAGCTTGGACAGAGGAGTGTCATGATCAGACTGTAGCCGGGGGTCGTCTAAAGAATTAAAATAGACAAAGAACGGTAGAGAGAGGAAAAATACAGCGCCAATGCGGCTAGCTTGATAGATCCTACATACACATGGTTCTACAGTATTGTTGTTACAGTTACACGTATTGATGACAAAAGGTGACAGCGCAAGTCTATCTATCAATGCTTTGGTGTTGTCGGTGGCTTGATTCGTTTCTCCAGCATGGCCAACGTCGACTTGGGCACACGCAGTTTATGGCCCAGCACCAGGACACCGGTCAACAAGGCCAAGCTGCCAGCCTGATGAGTGGCCGCCAAATGAATGGGAACCATGTAGATGAGCGTGCTAATGCCTAAAGCTGCTTGCAGAAGAACGAGATGCACGACGCCAGTCATGCCCTTCTTCGCCGCCTTGGGCAGAGCTGAAGCCGGCCGGCCCTTACGAGAATAGGCGAAAAGGGCAAGAATGGTAGTCGAAGTGGTCATGGCTAGGATCCGGTGGTCAAGCTGAACGGTGCTGGGGTTCTCCAGCATATTGCGCCACCACAGATCCGAGCCGTCTTCCTTTCGGGAGTAGAACTTGTCCCACAGCTCGGAGCGAGGAGGGGTCAGCCCTAGGCCCATTTTGGGGAACTCGTTGTAGATGAGACCGGCGTCCAGGCCGGCAACGAGGGCGCCGGACATGGCGGTGGTAAACACGAGAGCGGCGAGAGCATAGACGGAGCGGCGGAAGGGCGCAATGGCCGGGTTCTTAAGCGCCGCAATGGTCTTCATGGCCGCAGTCGGATCCGCAAGCAGTTTCCGAGTGCGCAGCACAGTAAGGGCCGAGAGGAGCATCGAGGAGTAGCAGAGGAAGGCGGTGGCGAAATGGGCGGTAAGACGGTACTGGCTGACGCGGGGGTGGGCGCCCGGGGCAAACAGGTCGTCCTTGAGGCCGGACTTGACCATCCACCATCCGATGAAACCTTGGAACCCGATGAGGGCGGAGATGCCGAACAGATTGAAGGCCATAGGTTTGGAGACGCGGCGACGAGCGACGAAGTAGGCCGCGGGTAGAACGAAGGAGAGTCCGACGAAGCGACCCCAGGCGCGGTGTAGCCATTCCATCCAGTAGATCTTCTTGAACTCTTCAAGGGTCATGTGTGGGTTGAGAAGGACGAACTCGGGCGATGCGCGGTACTTTGCGAACTCGGACTCCCAGTCGTCGGCGGTGGTGGGGGGGATCGAACCGGTGACAGGCCTCCATTCAGTGATGCTCAGCCTTGAGAAGACAGACAGGACTATGTTAGCACCTCCGATTGCTCACAGTAAGAAAGGGACTTCAAAGATGTGGGGGGGGGGGCTATGAGGCAGCAGCGTACCCAGATTCGGTCAACCTCGTCAAGCCACCCCACACGACGATGCCGAAGACACTGACTGCACTTCCCAGTAGCCAGTAGGCCACAGCCTTGGATGTCGTCTTTTCCGGAAACGCCTTCTTCGCCGCATTAGCAGCAGCTTGGGCAGCGCCTCCAGTGCCAGTACCATGCGCTGCTGCAGCATTGCCACCGAGGCCGGCCGCGGTGGGCGACTGCGTTCTCGCCTCGGCGTAGGTTCGACATCGAACCAAGTTGATGATGCGGGACGGGGAGCGCAATTGAGGCTGCTGGCGTGCACATTGTCGGATAATTGGGGCCTGACTGGATATTCGGAAGGCCATTCGGCGCAAACCCGGGGCGAAGAACGCCATTCTCACCTAGGGAGGGCGAGCAAACTTGTCAGAGCGAGGTGGTGGTGGTCGAACTTGAAGTTGGGAAAGTGGGACGACATGTTTGGAGAAGACGTTTGACGCGGGAAACATTTTAGGAGAAATGTATGGATACAAGGTCCGAATGGACTCGGTACATGAGAGATAGGTACACACCCCCCAGTGACGATAAGATCTGGAAGTGGCCCCTGTACGAAGTAAAAACTGAATCTCACCGCTTTCGATCCCCACACGGCAGAATCGAGAAAATGTCCAAATTCTTTTGAGCAAGGTAACGGGGACCGAATACAGTTGCAACCAGGCATCTCGACCGAAAAATAAAGCTCCATTCCGTCAGCAAAATGGGCGGACGTCAAGCTCATGGTCGGCCTCTACTTGGTGGAAAACCAGCAGCGAAACCTTCTAAAAAATCAAAGCTCAAAGTTCAAGCTCGAGCTCTCGACGCCTTTGGCATCGCTTCAGAACAATACCCCACGAAGGAGAAGCTCACACCGCGATACCGCGACATAGTCGGTGATGTCGGGAAGAAACGCCGTACAGAACATGAGGAGGACGCAGACGAAGATGGCGAGGAGGAGGATGGAAAGTCCCGGCGGAAGAGGATGAAACCCTCCGCGGCCACGGCTGGCGATGACGAGATGGCGGACGAATTTGGAAGAAGTGATAGCGAGGAGTGGCGGTTCGGCGTTGGGGAAGACGATGACTCCGAGATCGACAGCGACGAAGCCTTTGGCGAAAGCGACAAGGAGACCTTCCAAGGGTACGCGTTCGGTGGCAGCAGCAAGAAGAAGGACAAGAAGGCGAAGAAGCAAGACGACGGCTCGGACTCAGGGGAGGACTTCGACGACCCCGATGATTTCGACCCTGGGAATGACGGCGAATCTCTCGGAGAGGAGGCGATTGATCTCGCACAGGCTCTAGATGAGGCGGAAACCGAGTCCGATGAAGGGGAAGACTCCGCTACATCGGGGTCGGAAGGGGACGATGAGTCTGACCCTACTCCCTCAGATGACGACGATGTAGACGACGAAGCCGATCCGTCCAAGCTAGATGCACTTCAAAATTTTCTCTCGGAATACGGCGGGCAAGACGAGGAGGAGGATGGTGCTCAAGGCCGCACAAAGCTGCGACAGAAGATCACATTCAAGGATCTCGGCCTGACCGCTGTCAAAGATCCGCAGATGAAGAAGTCGGTGAAGCTGATGGCGAAGGAAGAGAAAGAAACACGGCCAGGGGCGACCAAGAAGCTGGCTATACCATTAAGCAAGCGGCAGCAGGACCAACTAACACGGAGTGCGGCTTATGACAAGACGAAAGAGACCCTCGAGCGTTGGACGGAAACGGTGAAACACAACCGACGAGCAGACCACATCGTCTTCCCTCTACCGGAAAACGCACATGACGAGGGACTGAACCATGACGAGATTCAGCCCATCACGGCCAAGAACCCCGCCAATGAGCTGGAAGAGACGATCATGTCCATCATGACGCAGAGTGGTTTGGCTTTGAACAAGGAAGAGGAGGGCCGGGCTCGAGCGCAGAAAGAGGCAGACGACGAAGGACTCTCAAAGGAAGCGCTCAAAGAGCTCCTCAATCAGAAACGCAGGCAAAGAGAGCTCAACTCGCGCGAGGCCAAACGTCAGAAGCGCATCAAGAAGATCAAGAGCAAAGCCTACCACCGGGTCCAGCGCAAGCAACGCGAGCGAGACGATGTCCGTCTTCGGGAGGCAATGCTGGAGAATGGCGAGATCGATTCGGAGGCTGAGCGCGAAGCCCAGGATCGTGCCCGGGCTCTGGAGCGCGTTGGAGCCCGCCACCGCGACAGCCGCTGGGCCAAGGCCGGGGCTAGTAACAAACGCGCCGTCTGGGACGATGACTACCGGGCCGGATTGCACGACATGGCTCGGCGGGAGGAAGAGCTGCGTAAGCGGAAGGAGGGCCGGGCCGGCAACTCTTCAGACGACGACTCGGAGTCTGCCGACGATTCGGACGAGAACAACGATGGCGGCAAACCTAGACTGCTCGCGCAGCTAGAAAAAGCTGACAAGTATGAGGATGACGGACCTGAGTCGAGGCTTATGCAGATGAAGTTTATGCAGAATGCGGAGGCAGCGCAGAAGCAGGCCAATGACGATATGATCGCCCAGATCCGGCGCGACCTCGCCTCTGACGCTGAGGACGCCTCCGACGATGAAGTCGAGGAGGTGGGCCGCAGGACATACGGCGGCGAGAAATCGGCCATCTCAGCTCCCGCTATTTTCGCAGCGCAGGCGAAGAAGAACAACAAGAACAACATGGAGAACGGGGGTCTTCCCGGGACCTCAGGGTGGGAAGGCCCCGACGGTGCAGCCAACCTCAACAGCGGCTTCTCTATCACCGCTGAGTCGACCGCTCCGAAAGGTGACGCCTGGTCTTCAGCAGCCCCGAGTAAAAAGTCCAAAAGGAACGCGGTCGGCCCCATCGTGGAGACCATCAACACCACCAACATCATCGGCGGCTCTTCCTCCTCCTCCAAGTCAAAACCTAAGGCCAAGCCGAAGTCCGAAGCCAAGGTTACCAATGGAGCTTCTACCAACGGCGCGGCCCTCGACCTGGGAGACGGCGCCGACTCCGACGCCGACTCGGACGTCCACCTCCCTCTTGCCATCCGCGACATCGAGCAGCTCGACCGCGCGTTCGCGGGGGACAACGTCGTCGTTGACTTTGAGCGCGAAAAGGCCTTCGTGGCCGACGAGCAGGACGACAAGGTCATCGACGAGACGCTGCCCGGATGGGGCAGCTGGGTGGGCGAAGGCGTGTCGGCGCGTGAGCGCGCCCGGCATAAGGGTCGCTTCCTGCGTACTGTGGAGGGTACGAAGAAGAAGGACCGGAAGGACAACAAGCTGGAGAAGGTCATCATCAACGAGAAGAGGATTAAGAA